CTCAGGAACAAAACGGTAGCCACAATTTACTCTCACTGTTCGAAAAAGCAAATGGCCGTCTGTGTCAAGAAAGACTGTTGAGACCCAGAAATCTTGCTACTATAGTAACATGACATCACACTTCTCTCCATTTTTCAAGGGGTTTAAGGCCTGGGTCAAATGTGGGTTCGGAGCATATGATTGAATGCAAATATCTCCCACTAGGAGACGTAGAACAAATTGAAATTTTTTCCCAAAGTAAATCTTAAGGTCGTCTTGCGCCTTAACGTTTAATTATGGTCACATGACATGTTAATTACGTGACCAAAAATTGAAAATGAAGGGAATTGGCGAATTTACTTTGTTTGGATAAATAAAGTGGCTTTTCTCATGGAAGATAAACATACCTAACTTTCCACGTTTAGAACGAATGTACGCGAAGTTTAAAATTAAAGTGTTGAATAATTCAAGGTTAATTAGGGCATTTAAAATGATGTTTGCCGTCGTAATTTTTATTGAAGAGCAATGGACGGTCAATGCAAACGAGAAGTATCAGAGATATTGAATATGAATGAGAAATATGTTATCGCTCGATTTCTTTTCTTAAATCCGCCACCAATTTGTCAGTTTTTTAAGATTTTTAGCAAAATGGTCACGTGATATATCACGTGACCTATTAACACAATATTTATACTTTAAAATGTTAAGGACGATGAGTTCTTTATGAGCGGTAAAGTTTGATTCAGCTCCATAATGTGTGCCGAAGTAATAGCCAATCATTTTCCTAGTAAACCTGTTAGACCCAGGCCTTGAACTACTTGAGTTATTCTTTTTTTCTGAAGATTTCGTTTTATTAAGAGTTTTCGTATGACTATGGTCCTGTAAAGATTGGCCTGCGAGGAAGTTCTCTACGAAGGGATATCGTGCGAAATCACTCCAAGACACTGCTTGCTCGTACGTAAAGATTGGTTCAACGCCGCATGTTTTAAAAAGGGTGAAGTCCTTAAATGTGAGCAGTAGTACGTGATGAAGAATTTTTGCTAAATTGTTAGCTTTTTGCTTCAGGTTAGGGAATAATTGAAAGAGAGTAGACTACTATATGAGGTTAGCTGATTGCCTCGACTTTCACGCCACTTGTCAAGTTTACCGAGTTATAATCACATTTGCAGCAATTTCTAGTGCATAGTGGTATTTTGCAAGAAAACTACGCGGTTTTCAAAGCAATAGCACATAAAACAGAAGCGAATCTCGATTCAAATACAGATAACTCACATATTTTTTCTGTCCTAATATCTCGCGAACCATGCTGTTTTCCTCCTCTGTTAATAAAACAGAAGGCGCATGTTTCTTTTTCGCAGCCATCGTTCTACTTGACTGTTATTCGTGCTGTTATGTTTTCGTTTCTTTGTTGACGTCAGTTAACGTCGAATCATGCGCGCGCAGGATAGTTGGAATGACAAATTTTGCTGAATACACCTTGTTCACGATACCCGCCATCTTTGCACTCGCTTAAAGACTGAAGATGTCATGTGGTCTCTCAGGGGGCAAACAAGCGATAAAATCTGCTAATAAAATAAATCGCGGTCGAATTTCTTTATTCTAGACAACAGGAAAATGAAGAAATTTTTCTCCTTTATTAAAAGACGATAATGGCGAGTTGTGGGTGGAAGTGATCATTGCTACTTTTTTGGATGCAGTAAACAACATTCATGTAAAACTTGTCAAAACTGAAAGTGTACATTTTGCATTGCTAAAATCTTCTTCTCGTTTTGAAAAACTGATAAACAAATAGGTAATTTTTGGTTATAGTTATGCAACATACGGGCGTAAACTTGACCCAAATCTTCCTTTCACATTTTACTAACTTCTCGGAACGATCCAAAGAGAAACAGAGAAAAGGTAAAAAAAACTGGGCATGATACTCATGATGAGCCATTTCGAGGCTTTCAGCAGGTCAGAAACGAACGCACATTAGCCCCGTAGTCAAATGCCTGAAACGATGGAAAGATAGACATCCCTCATATCCTTTCTGTTTTTCTTTTTTTTTTTCTCAACAATGTTCCTCCATAATTGACCGTGAACGAAAAGACAGACTAATAACTCGAGTACAATCTGTACAATTCATCACAGATTTATCATGTCTTTTATGGGTATAGTTTTAAAATTACATGTCTTTGATATTTCCATAACAGGGAGCAGTAAAAGCCTATTTCATCACACGCAGACAGCACATTTAATACTAACAACTTAAATCTTTTTAGTGATAATGGATGTTCAAAAGTTTTCACGCTTTCATTCTCTCACTTATTTGCATGATGGCTAGTGCATGAAGAATACGAATTGTGGGAAATGTGTGTGGTATAAAATATTGAAAGTGGAAAGTAAGCATCTCCAACCGCTTACTGGTAATTCTGATAAGTTTTTATTCCTACTGCAGCCCATAATTTGTCAAAACAAAGCAATGGAGTCCAGCGATGGAAAGTCCAATAGCAACAGCCTCGTTCCCAGTCGTCGTCGGCGATTGGGATGTGACATCACCTGTCAAACTTGTCGGGAGAACTCGCGCTCCTCCGCTCATTCGGGCAGCGCGAACTGACCTGGGGACGAGGCTGCAGCAGCGAATATTGTTTTATGATTAGAGCGGTTTTCACTTGACTGTCGTAAAACCAAAACCAAAGTAAATACACTAGCCAACCAAAGGGCGTAGTAAAACCAAAACCAAACCAATTCCTCAATTACTTTCGACAGTCAAGTGAAAACTGCTCTATCTACCTATATCAGTCCCTTCGCTTATGTCGTCAGATAGACCGATCGGAAAGACTATAGGCCAGGATTAATTTGCACGCTCCCTCTGTAACTCAACACAGATAGGACAACGGCGTTTGCTTGCCCTTGTTGTAATCAACTGAGTATCAGGTGTCCTTAATGTTTTGATAAAAAGAACTCGTAATATCCTTTCTCTTTGACAACATGCATGATATACATGATGAATTAGAGACCTGTACATTTACCTAAAAGTCAAGTTTTTCTATTGGAAAGTATCTAAGTTGTGTTTCAGAACGTTTTGCTTCAAATCGTGGAGATTTTCTGATTACTAAACAGCTTTTCTGAATTCAATCCGTCTGTTAACTTGAGAGATATATCAGTTCGTGAAAACCTTGGTCACTTATTTCGATCAGGTACATTAATTATCATCAGGTACATCCAACTAAAGGCCGGCACTGAAAACTGACAATTCTGTTTCAGTAGAAGGACCAGTGGAGTTACCCGGAGAGAGTGGAGTTAGACGGCTTGCGGGAAGGTTAAAAAGAGCCTCATAATGTAACTTACATGCATTGTTTAGTAACTTATCGTTTTAAGGCGCCGCAGTATCCAAATTTTCAAGACGAAAAATATCTAAAATTATCGACATTTACAGTCTTAATCTTTTCATATCAAATGAGATATCCTCAATATTATCGTATTCAATTTACTCTAGCAATTCCCCAGTTTGCGTCCAGTGAAGTCAAAATAATGAGAAAAATAATCAAATGATTTTAAGGAAACGACAGTGATGTACAAACAAGTCACCCGCAGACCAACACGTTTCCTAAAACAAACAACAATGGCACGCTTCATGATTTACAATAGTTACATGGTCCACTGACGGGTTGAATGCAAACTCGAAAATAAACGTATAAAAGTATCTTTGCAGATGAATTTTAATTAAGTCGATTGAATACACCCATGATTTAAAGTCATTTAAAGATTGATTTACTTTTGTGGGTTAGCAATTCGATCGGCAAAAATCTTGCGCTGCAAAATTGGCCTGGATCTTTGACCTGCTAAACAGGGAAAGAATTCATGCAATACTGACGCAGGCTAGATTAAAACATGGTAATTTTTCGCCTTTACATTTTCAGAATTCCCAGAAGTTCAATGCTTTTAAATAAAGAGGATATCGAACGCCTAGTTATAAATTTTCAGTTTTTAACTTAGGCGTGGTTCCTTGTTTGTTTGTTTGTTGGTAACTTATGGTTGAGCGCTTGCAAATAACGTACCACCGATTTCATTCTAATGCAACTAAGAAACAATTGTTACTAATTCTTGCCTATTGCTTTATTTCGTTTCTTCGTTTTGAAAGTCATAAAAGTAGTGATTATATTACGTTACATAAACCAGCCAAAAGAAGCCTGTTCAGCCACCTTCACCATGAAGCTATTGCATATACGATTAAAATTCAACACACCAGTGTTCGTCAAACGAGAAATATTAACATTGTTTTACTACCTTTTCTCCAAATATTTTTATTTTATGTGTAATCTGGAAGTGGAAATATCTAAATAAAGCTGGGATCCTTAAAACACGAATTAAAACCGTTTATATTGTAAGTGATATAAACTTTTCAAACTTGCCCCGGGTAACTTGTTCTTAATATCTCTTGTAAGTGTTATGTTAAGGGCTGAACGTGTCGAGCTATTTGCCCTTTGGTCTTATGATTTTGACTTTCACCCTATGCTGAAACAAGGTCCTCTAGACTCCCCTGATCATGCTGAGCCAATTTTCTAAACGGGTCTTAGTTAGACGCGGTGATTTTAAAGTCCCTAACCCAGTGGCCGACAAGCTATCCGGTCTCCACATTGAAGTCCTCCCCAAGACGTATCAATGGACTTTGAAATAATGATAACTCTTAAAAAAAAACCGTAATAACACTCAGAAGCTATTCAAACAAAGTAAAGAAAAGTAAAATTTACCCCAAACAGGGCGTAATTAGTCTTGAAATGTGTTTTTCTTTTCGAATTAGCGCTGAAGGACCAGTTGGAATTAGCCGAGCTGATTTCAATCTTCCATCGATCACTGGGCGGAATAACTGGTACCCTTATGAATATTACATAATTTACACAAAAGCGGCTAATTGCCTTTGTTGTTCACACGCTCTTCCCCTTTTATGGTCCAACAATAGTCATTCATGTTTGTATTCAAGAGAGGGAGTAACCTCTCTGGTCCGTTGTCGATTCTTTGGCTGAGAGTTCATGTGCATTATGAACCCTTACACTGACGAGGCGACATCGGCAATTGACGTAAACATTAGCTCATTGACCGGATTGCCTCAACCGCAAAGCTCTTGTGCGGAATATTCCGACGCCGATGACTCTCCTATCCTCCTAGAAAACGCCTTCTATTCGCCGGAAGACTGTTCGGAAAACGAGGACCTTTCGAGAACATCCAAGCCGTCTATTGAGTGCGTCGTCTGCGGAGACAAGTCATCCGGGAAGCATTACGGGGTCTTTACCTGCGAAGGCTGCAAGAGCTTTTTTAAGCGAAGCATCCGAAGGAATCTTTCGTACACATGTAGGGGGTTTAAAAACTGCCCAGTGGATATTCAACACAGAAACCACTGCCAGTATTGCAGACTGAAAAAATGCATGAAAGTTGGAATGAGGAAAGACGGTAAGCTTTGCCACTTAACATCACTGCTTTATTTGGCGATGAAAATTTTGACCCAAGCTGAAACTGTATAAACTGCTGGTTCATGTATTATCACTGTTCCGTTGTATTGTCCGATAGCCTGGTAGTTAACTTTATCTGACCGGTACATCAGACAATAATGTTACGGAACAATGAAAGTAAATAACACCTAATTTTATCGTAATCGTAAAATAAATAACTGCAGCAGCTTGTGTTGCTATATTAAAGCCACACTCTTCTTTAAACCCGTTCTGTATCTCAGCTCGTAGAACATCCCTTATATTAAGGAGCAAGAGCATAAGGCCTGCCGCACTACTATTTTTCCTTACCACGTATTAGCTACTACTGCAGGCCAACTTGCTTTATAGCTTTATGTGATTTATTGGGCAATTTCTATATTCTATTCTTTTATTCATGTTCGTGGTGATTAAAAAATCAACAAGAAAGAATAAAACCCGAATCAGGCGACTGAGACTGAACAAAAATCAATAAGTGGAAAAGAAAGTATTTCATTCATTCTCTTATTCATTCACTCATCCATTCATTCCCAGTTCTTCCTTCACTCATTCTGTCCTTCATTCCGGTCATTCGCTCGTTCATTTCTTTGCACGTTTTGGAGAGCATTACCCATGACTTAACAAGACGCGGCCGGACAGATACGTTGGACAGAGGATCGTGGGTCACGATGTCCCAACAGGAGTCTAACCCGCGACCGGTCGCTTGCTAATTTAGAATCTCCAGCGCACAGCAGCTGTTGGTAATAAATAGGAACGCTTACAAAAGCATATGATTTCACAGAAATTCGTTTGTGACTGCGTTTACAGAGTTGGTCTTGATAAGAACCGTGGTTTCCTACCCAGTCGTAGTAATTAAGCGCTTACCATTTGGAAAGGAAATTTCGGTAAAAAATTTCTGACAAATGCTACCTGACTTAAAAACGTCTCCGAAAAGAGAAATAGGTAAGAGTTGTATCATTTGCAAAACACCAGATAACGAGTGGACCTGGGTTAAAACAAATCACCTCAGTTCCGCCTCAAAAGGAAGCCTGACACTGGTTAACTAGACAAACGGTACAAATAATTTCGGTCGTTTCGGTAAAAACGGAAAACATGTAATACCTCGAAAGGTATTACTTTTTTCCGGAAAATTTCTACCGGGATAAACCATACCATTTGAATTCTCCACGGTATTACCGGCTTTTCGATACAAATGGTAAGCGCTCATTGTCATAGAAACTTTATTATCTTCGATAGCATGGGGCCCAGTGTACCTTAGATATATGACCTACGCAAATAACGATCGACTTAACTGACTTTTGCTTTTGTCAACAGCTGTCCAGAAAGGCCGCATCTCAGCTGCGCAGCCTGACCTTGTCAATTCTTTCCAAATGGGTCTAGGAGACATGCGCAATCCACAGTCCTTTTACTCAAGTTACATTACACTCCTACTCCGGGCAGACACCATCGCGCGCTACCAACAATCCCTAAGGATTCCCGCCAGCATTGCGGGACTGGAAAGCGCTTCAGAACTTGGCGCAAGATTGTTGGTTTCAATCGTAGAATGGGCAAAGAACATTCCCTTTTTCACTGAATTAACTCTTCCTGATCAGTCCATCTTATTGCGCTCATGTTGGAGTGAACTTTTTATACTAAGCACCGCACAACACTGCTCACCGTTTCACATGGCACAACCGCTGACCATAAGTGCCCTTACACCGCCGTCGAGCAGCGATTTGTTAGCGAGCAATAATGGATCAATGTCGTTTGATTTCGTTGAAAATTTCCAATTGTTTGAGGAACAAGTCGAAAAACTTAAAAATCTGCATATAGACTCCGCTGAGTTCTGTTGCCTAAAGGCTATAATTCTGTTTAACCCAGGTAAGTTGTCAGTTTATGACCGCATTTCTTCAATATTTTACTTCTATTTACTACATTGGGCTAACAAATTTCCTCTTTCAGATTGACCTCGGGATTCCGAAAAGCTTTATAAAAAGTGCGATCTAAATTTCAAATTCTGATTCAAATTGTGACATGCTCAAGTAACTGTTCATCTTTCTTTCGGACAGAGAAATTAAAGGTGACCGTCTTCAGTTGGTCTCTGCAAAACTTAGACACTTATTTTGTCTAATTGAGGGTTATCTTCGCTTAGCATTCCTATGAGACGAAACATTTGAACAAGGGCGGTTTTCAGCGAGCTGTAGATGTGCAGTGAAATACAACAAAATTAATTTTATCTACTGGGTTGAACAAGCTCCATTCGAGCTCCATTCCAGGCAGAAGCTGTCAGACGTTAAGCACTAAAAATGTGGGGCTATGGTTGACAATCTCAAAGAAGTGGATTTTGGAAAATTGCACTTCAGAAAATCGTAGGGAATTTTCTAGATAAGGTTCGAAAACTGTACATGAATGGGATGATCATCTAGAAATTTTTAGACTTTCTCAAAGTATAGAAATTTCTAGGCAATTTTTGCTTCTCCGAACATATATTGTACAGAAGACTGTCGTTGGGTGTCCCTGAAATAGTCTATCTATGGCACTTGTAGCCGGGAGTACATCTTGACAAAGTGCCGGTTTAATAGAAATGCAGATAATATGGACCACGGAAAATGTGACCGCGACCACTTAAAGGAGCTGTGTCACGAAATTCAGCCAAATTAGGAAATTACATAATGCCCGTTAAATTAAGAGAAACATAAAAATAACCGCTTAAAACTCTAGAGGAAGGTTGAAATAAGATAACAGAAACAACAGATGTCACGGATGGGCAAAACTGAAGAAGATTGAAACGGATTGAAATTAGGGTTTTCGAAAACTGTTCAGCCTAACAGTTTTTCAAAGTTGATCCCTGCTGCTTCAACTTCAAAAATAATGCTCAGGAGACATATTTGTTTGTCTTGGATCTCTGATTTTGTCATTTACATGTAATTTCTTTGCTTACTTTAAGTTCCATAGCGATTGAGGGCGAGTAATTGGCAAAATTAAACAAAATGAACTGGACTGCCGTGACACAGCCCCTTTAATTGAGGTGACAGCTTAAAACGGTTTCGAAGACTTTAGTAAGTGATCGCTTAAAATAGGATTGCTTAATAAAGGTTTGGCTGTATGTCTTTTAGATTCCCAGGGACTCGCTAACGCTGCGCACGTGGAAGGACTTCAAGAACGTACTCAGTGTGCATTGGAAGATTGCATTCGTACGCAGTACCCAAACCAACCAACACGATTTGGCAAACTTCTTCTCAGGCTACCCTCCTTAAGGCTGATTCGTCCCGGAACGGTAGAAGGGCTTTTTTTCCCGCCAATCAGCTTGGGAAACACAGTGGAAAATGCTCTGAACGAGCTGTTGGTTATGAATAGTCCCAGTAGTACTGCGCATGCCCATGTGCCTGCAAGCTCGCCAAACAGTTGGCCTGGCAATATGTTTCCTAATAATGTCCCCGACATAAATAGTATTAGTAGCGTGAATAGCGTGAACATGAATGGTGGTGCTGTGGTATAGAAAAAGGTGGAATTCCTGTGCCATCACAACAAAAGATTCCGTCGGAAATAATCATTTCCAGCTATTTATTGTTTTGTAATGATGTCTATGAAATGACATCTTACAGCCTGGAGATCCATTATCTAATGTTAGGCTCATGCTATTGTAGATTTTCTCGGGATACATGTTTTCATAATTAATGTTTAAGTTAGTTGCACTAATTAAGGACAGAAAAGAGTATTTTATGCAAAGCCACACAGTATATGATAGCTGGTTGAAGATTTTATAAAACAAATTAAAATAAAATTTTAACAAGTCCGAAAAAATAATATTTTTGTACACAGAAACAAAAGAGTTACGAAATAAAAAAAAATAACCTTAAATTTTAACTATCACCCTTTTTTCCTTAATCCACATAATCACAAACTAACATATCTTTGATGTCCGTGTTCCCTTATAAATGCAGTCAACGCCCAGAATAAAGCTTTTCTCTGATTATTATCTTCCTGTTAGCAAAAGCGAGCTGTTATCGGTAATTATTTTTCCAAGGAAGTGAGTTTTTTTTCGCGAAAATTAACATGAAAACTGATGATGCGAACTAATACGCGGGTAATATATTTCTAAAATATGTCTGCATAAATGTTGCGTTGCATGATTGTGGAAATTCACGCTGTTACGCTTTTTAACTCTCGCAACTCAAACATTTTACACGCAGTTGTCGCCTCTACTTTCTCGCTACAGGCAAATTCGTCGCGCGTGGAGGAAGCATTGCGCCCAACTGATAGCCTGCGACAACACCCGTTGCTCCTCGCTCTTCGCCCAGGAGAAACGGATGTTTTCGCAGCCTACCCAGCTGTCGACAAATCCAGTAATCTCATTCAGATCGAAGTCTGTTAATTAGCGATGCAAGGTTCTCAGGGTATAGGTAACAAAAAAACCACAAAAATTGATAGAAATACACTTTGTTTAAGCCATAATGTTTAAAATTTATCTAAGCCTACTAATTTCCTGAAGGGCTCGAATTATGTAAGAAAATAAATATTTACCTTTACAATTTTCAAACAAAATATTAGACCATTTAAAAAGTATTTAAAATATAGACAAAACTGTAGTATAGTTTCAAATGTGTCATTTAACTAAAACAAATAAATTTCGGTTCAAAACGAACTGTACAAGTTGTGAAGAGTTCTTTATTTGCTTAATTTTCCGATTAAGACCCATCCTCCAGCCACAAAAGACAGAATTGTTGGGACATCAGTATGGGAAGCTTTCCCTCTCCCTGTAAAAACGAGGGAAACGGCTCGTGTTTGGAGATTTGGTGTCTGGAATTTCAGAGCTTAAACTCGTGAAAGCCTCGTGTTTTGCTGGAGATGTGCTTGAAAATCGCTGGGTTTTTTTTATAGCTTTGTAAGGTCTCGTGAAAGGCTTGTGTTTGGATATTTCTTGAAAATCCCTTTTTTTCGCAGCTAAGTAAATCTTGTGAAAGGCTCGTGTTTGGAGATTTTGTTGAAAATCGCTGGTTTTCACAACTTTGCAAAGTCTCGTGAAAAGCTCATGTTTGGAGATTTTCTTGAAATTATCTCTGGTCTTTCGCTCATGAGCTATGTAAAGTCTCGTGAAAGGCTCGTGTTTGGATATTTTAGCTTATTTTGTTGAAAATCGCTGGTTTTTCACAGCTTTGCGAAGTCTCGTGAAACGCTCGTGTTTGAGAGATTTCTTGAAATGATCTCTGGTCTTTCGCAGCTATGTAAAGTCTCGTGAAAGGCTTGTGTTTGGAGATTTTATTGAAATGATCTCTGGTCTTTCGAAACTTTGCAAAGTCTTGTGAAACGCTCGTGTTTGGAGATTTACTTGAAATGTTCTCTTGTCTTTCGCAGCTATGTAAAGTCTCGTGAAAGGCACGTGTTTGGAGATATTCTTGAAAATCTCTGGTTATTTACAGCTCTAGTATCGCCAAAGGCTCGTGTTTGTAGATTTTCTTGAAAATCGCTGGTTTTTCACTTCTATGTGATGTCTCGTTACTAGCTTGCGGACAAAGACGTATTTCCATTAAGTTATTTTTCGGGTGGAGATCCAGAAGAGACGACCGGTAATACATCTGTGTCCGCAGTTTATCTCGTTAACTTCTCGTGTTTGATTGAAGATACATGTATTCTTAGAAATCTCTGTTTTTTCACAGTTATGAAAGCTAGGTGAATAGCTTGCGTTTGGAGATTGTCTAGAAAATCTCTGATTTTTCAAAGCCTTGTAGCTGGTGTCAGGTGGTTCAACCCGACCTCATTTTCAGGTCTCTCGCTCCAGGGACCTGGAACTGAGGCAGGGAACTGGAACGAGGCTGGGCTCAGCTTTGTCTGGTGTCTCTTGTAGGGTTAGGCACATTATGCTTGAAAATTTGATCATTATGCTGTTTAAGCGTCACTTTGAAAATTATATCATTTTGCCGAAAATTATGCCGGTGTCGGCGGATTATGCTACATCGATACTGGAGAAATTATAGTCCTTTTCCTGGCCCTGCCCAAACAAGTTACCCCCAGACGTCAACACCACAGTGATTTTTAAATTTTAAATTTTAATTTAAAAAAATGTTGCTAGACAGTGCAATAAAAGAACTTTATGAAGTAACCAGGCCTCGAAACCGGTAACCAAGGGTTGGAATGAGCATAATACTGAAAGAAGGCAGTTGGAAACCAATTCTGGTAGATTTTTCATTGAAATCAATGAAAGATAAATTTTGTAGCTCCAAAAAAATTGCCCATAGCCTGCGAGCAAGCTCTCCTATTTGGGCGAGCGAAGCGAGCCTCGTCTCGCGAGAACGTTCGAGCGAGCGGCGAGGGGCCGAGGAAAGGAGAGTTTGTGAGTGACAGTGCCTCTCTCGCGTCTACTTTTCAGGATATCCCCCAAATGAAGAGCTAGCTCGCAGGCCAAATTGTTATTATGCCAGTATCGGGCTCAACGCTCTAATCTTAGCATTATGCACAACATTATGCAGGCATAATGTGTCTAACCCTAGTCTGGTGTCCCAACAATTTATCACCGAAACATTGATCTTTACAAAACTTCTTACGGTCTCATTCAGAGGTTAATATAACATCATTAGTAACAGTGCATGGTGCAGTGCAGGTGTTCGATTAGAACTGATGAATATTTAATGTTAGTAAACTTGAAACGCGACGACGGAAGGAGAGTTAAGGTGATGTTGCACGGGACGAGATCGCGACGACGATTTTTAGCACCACACATCGTTGCAACGTTGGAACAATGCTGTAACTATTCGAAACAATGTTGTAACAATGTTCCGACGCTGTGTTACGCTAAAAATCGCCTTGCGAATCGTCTCGTGTAACATCACCTTTAGAGCGAGTCAAAATGGCGGCAAAAAATTGACCCAGCCTGTGAGCGAGCTGTTCATTTGGAGGAATAGCGAGAAGAACCGCGTGAGCATCACTCGAAAGGAGACACTCGCGCCTTTTCTCGTGGCTCGCATAATTGACGCTACACACTTCCGTTACTTCCCTCACTTCCGCTCTAAGACAGTGACTACTGATTCAACGATCAGCTTGTTTTTAGAACCGTCTTCCTTGATCGAAAAAGCCGGGGCTTAGAGTTCAAATACCCTGAGAAACGAAGAGTAACAAATTCACTTGCTTAAATCAACGTCACAAAAAACGTTGCAAGTTTTTGTTGACCGTTTTACCACACCTTAAGGATGAAGCAAATGGGTTTCAGTAGCCCTTTTGAGAGGGGTCATAATCATATCATTCCAGTGCCTAAGCTCCGAACCAAATGATTCAAGGCCCAGAGTAATGTAGCCAATTCTGTTTGTTTTCTTCACTGTATCACCTCGGTAGACTTCACACATTATGCTTGAGTGTGTTAGTTCTTCATCCTTCATATCAAAGACAAAGGCTTCATTGAAGACTGGTGAAGTGGATTTTTTAACAACTTTGGTCTTTTTGCGTTCAACGACTTTCCGTTGGACATAGTAGAGTACTCTAACAAAAGTATCTGAAAAATACAAAATACAAGGGTGCCTGCAATGAGCGTGCCATAACGCATCAAAATGCGGAAACAAAACTTGCCTTGCCAGTAAAATACCTCTTCAAAAATGATAAAGAAACCGGGTCGAGTTACCTTTCGCAAAGACTTCTGGAAATGTTACTAAGAACAGGGGGAAAAATTGACCAATAGCTGACCGTCGTGTCCCCAGTAGCGATCCCAGAAACACTAGGGGGACACATTTCGGCTGCAATTTCCTCGGCGAATTGTCATTAACGTCCACGAGAGGCGAGATCACTCATCGGGGACTTGATTAATAATGGCACGCATTTGTTGTTTACTGCAAATCGTGCATGCAGCTGAAACACAGTCAAACTTACATGTTCGATTATCTCTCATAAGCGACAAGCTCTTCAAAATCTCAAATATACCTTTTCCAGTCAAAGTATTAAAGTTGAAACCTCTCAAACGCGACTTCTCTTACCCCCCTTTCGTAAACAAGCGATGCCATTTTCAACATTGGTAACCAGGTCTTAAGTCGTGGTGGATGTAATTTATATTCTGAATTAGCCTGTGCCAGGCTCTCTGTCAATGGAGACGAACAAAAAAGGCGGGCGAGCAATGGAAAATCAAACGAGCGAAAAACGGCGGGAAAAGAGAACGTCTCTCCCCAGCTCCCCAGCGGGGAGCTTAGAGCTTGGAACAGGCTATACTAATCCTGAATTATGTTACTAGGCAAAAAATACATTTTTAAATAGTCTTATTGTCCTGAAGGTTTCTCTGATGGGTCTAGGAAGGGGACAGGATATCGACCGGCTGGGACATTTAGCAGTAGTGAATAATATAGACCAAGTACTTTTTACAGGGTAGGTAAGAAGTTGCGAAAGGGGTTTGGAAATAGAAAGGTATGTTACCAAGTCCGCCAGGCGCTTCTGCCTTTAGAGGTGGAAGTCCTGTCGCTTTTAGAATGATGACGTGCAAGTGGCCAGTGGACGGCTGTTGGCACAAAGAAACCATCAAGGAGCCTCGGTTTTCTGACTGAAAGAAAAAAAAGAGAGTGGAAAATATTAAGCCAAGAACAGTAAAAGGGTAAAAATGGACGTTTCGTAGAGGCCATTTTAACACTAACGTTTTAGTCCCTCCGCTGTTCTTGGAGACAATTTAAGCTGGCGAAACTTGTGGAGAGGCTAGGCGATGCATTTCTCAAATTTTAGGGCATGCATGTCAGAACGAAATATATTGTTCTTTCTATATATGAGCGAAAACTAGATATGAGCTTAGCCGGTAGCCGACATTTCGCCACGCAAACTCTGGTTTCGCAAAGGAATGACGTCTGAGGAACGAGCCGCAAACATTCTATACTGATGACGCGTCACTATCCAGATCTGGGCAATGATCCTGCCTGGATGAATCAAACTTTCAACTAATCAGAAGCACTGTTTAGATCTGGGTAGTGACGTGTCATCATGCACTATGGAATTTCAGCTGAGGTTCCTCAAACTTCATTTTGCGGGTAAACCAATGATGGCGTCGCGAAATGTCGGCGTTTTTCTTATGCTAAGATGAACTGAATCCGCAGGAAGAGTTGGAGAGGTTGCACTAGAGATAGGCTCGATTTCCACGGAGCGCGGGCTCATTTCCCGAACAGCGGCTGGTAATCAAGCCTACAATAGAGACGATGGTTCGATGTTGTGTCGAGGTGCACTATGGGACTGTTTTGGGGAACAAATATTGGTCCAGTTTTCTGCGCAACGTTGTAGCAATAGCCAATAACAGAAACGATAACGGCGCCATTTCCACAGAAATGGAAATCAAGCTTCAGAAAAATCGGAAGAATTCGGAACTCCACATCACGAGAATCGAACTTACGACCCTTCTTTTACCATTGAGGCTCAATGGTGAGCTGGGTCAAAATGTAATTATATCAAATGACACACCAGCCAAAGCGAACCGTACATTATAAAAAACGTTATAATAGAACTCATTGCAAGGGCAATGATCGTGACATCGTGACAGGCGAACTGTATACTGTACTTACGTCATCAATAGTCTTGGAGTTTAAGTGGCGTGACAACTTTGCTCCTTCAACCAAGTCAATCTCCAATAGTGACAGCATCACCTCGGCGACGAATTCACTTCGAGAAAATTTGTCGTAGTCAAGAACAACGAACTTCAGAGTGCAACTATAAAAGAAAAGAAAACATCCGTTAAACAGCTTAAATAATTAACAGGAACTGCACCGGGTGGAGAACAAAATAGGAAACAATTGGGCGAATAAGGAGCCTTTCTCTTACTTGCGCTCGTCCGATTTCCCCCGCTTGCGCGTGAGATTGCGAACCAAGGCCCTTTAATGTGCCATTCTCTTTCCCAGAGCAGTGATCCTTTTGACCAGCGCCACGAACGGTTGTCCACGGATCGAGAGTTTTGGAGACGGAAGTCCGCAAATCATAGACTTCCAGCTTTTTGCGCTGTCTCAAAAATTTAAAAACATACTGGTTTTCAACAGTTACAAAAAGGGGAAACTATTACGCTTGCCAGTTATCCTGGTCCCAGCCAGATCTCTCGATCTTCGATCTATGGCACTGCAGAAAAGGATCCCAGCTCTGAGATTGCTTGTGTAAAGCCGCCCCCTCCCCTTGAACAGAATCGCGGAGAGGGACGATTGAAGGGACGGGCGGCTGTAGACAGGCTACTCTAAAAACGTTTTGGCAAATTTAGAATACGTTCTTAGTCCCAGAAACCCGTCAGCAAAACCCTACGAAAGTTAAAATGGTATTTTTGCACTTCTAATGACATTTCGGTCCCTTTTGACGTATATCATATTATAATTCGAATTTGTTCCCGTCAGAGAGGAGCTTCCACTTTCGCGGGAAAAAGTGCCCTAAAATGTTTCTAAAAATAAGCCGGTCAAGGGGGTTCCTAGGGGACGAAAATGTTAATTTGCAGGATAATGTACCACTTAGGGTATGTCACACTATGACAAAAGGCTTTTCGGTATCTTCTGAACAGCAGCCCCCGACACCGACACAAGTCATTCACACCCATCGAATATCGTGCCGGAGCGGTAAGCCGCGAGAGCTGAATATTTACTTCCGTTTCAGTGGTTTCCGGTTCTGGTTCCTACTTATTTACTTCCGCGACGGCCGAATAGGTGTTCACATTGCACCAAAGTGTGGCACAGAAGCCCTATGAGGTATGATTTTTAGGCCGGCGAAAAAGCTATCGAGTCTAGTGTCAGCATAGCCTTACTTCCGTGCTTCTTCCAATGTCAGCTGATCGAACATGCAAATGCGGTTGGTTGCAAGATTCAGGAAACTCGACCTGGGTTCCTTATTGCGATCTCCAGGCAACAGGTGAACGCGAACATACGGGGTAGAGACCCCTGACAGACGTACATGCGGCAGATCAAACGCCCCGTTGACCTAGAAAAGAGCGGCAAACGATGAGGAAATGGCATGATAGTCTTAGAGTTATATTGCATTTTTAAAAATAGGGAAAAATAATAGTAACACAATCAATACTGGCCTGCGAACGCAGACAATTTTCAGGTCGTCGCAGCTTTTCTCTACCCGAAAAGTACTTAAAAGGTGGGTGTTTTCGAAAGGGTGAAGCGACGACAGGAAATGCGCTTGTGTTCAAAGTCTTAGTCAATATATGATGGATACGCCATTTAAAAGCCTAGATAAATAAGTAAAATTGATTCTGCTTTCAGTTTAAATTATGACGTGAACAATAATAATAATAATAATAATAACAATTGATAAATAAACTCGTGACTGAAATCATAAAAATAATAACAATAATTATGGCAAGAAAAATGAATCACATTAATAAGCCAAGAACATAATTTTTCAAGTGACTAACTTTGGACACTAGCAAAGGAAACAACAGATGTCTGCAGGCAGCCAACAGAGAGGGAAATCAAACTCTTTTTAGCTACAGTACAAGTAAACAAAAGTTTCAAATAATAATGGAAGCAAACCTGAACAAACAGAAGATTTTTCTCCGTCATGAACTGTATGGAAACTTCCAGTTTTCCGTATGGTGCCACGGATGCTTTCTTCAGCGGCTCTCGCTTCGGTAGCATCACGTACTGCGACACAGCGCGTCGAAACTGAGGTCGATACTCCTTCGTAGCAATACCTTCTTCGACCGTACCAGATTCGGCGCTTTCTTTATTGCGGGCTATAACAAACCCATGTCTCTGCCCCAGAGGGGTCGAAGGAATAGGCATCGATAAGGATCGTCTAACTGCCAGCGGCGAAAACTTTGCCGTAGGTTCGTCGTTTTCGATTTCTCCGACCTCGCTGCACGGTGTTGCGGTCCCCTCGCTTCCAGTTCCTTCAGAGATCAACGTATATGGCGGGATAGTAAACTCTGGCGGCTCTTTTGTCGTTATGTAAGCCCCAAACTGTCGTTCTATTTTAGGACCATTTAACGTCTTCAAATATCGTCTCAAGATTACAATCCCCATGATCGCAAGAAGCAGCAGAAAAGTTAAAGTTCCGAGTCCAGCCGAAGCGGCTATAGATAAAGATTTCATATCTCCCGCCTTCTTTACTTGTCCGTTGAAAATTGATACTCGCACCAGAAAAAATCAGGAAAACTGAATCTCTGTAAGACCACATAAATTTCACTCACCAGTGTCGATGCATAAAAATTGATACTACTTTCAAGACAAACCATAAGTCTATTACACCACCGATCCAGCCACGCCGATCTGAGTTCCTATTAACATTTTGAATCCTGTTGCTGTGATTTGTAACGATTTCAACTGATGATCGATAAACAGAAGCGTTCAAATATTGGCCTTGACGCCTTTTGTAGACTCTTTCTCGTTTATACAGTAATTCCGAAACAATCCAAAACCGTGGAATAGTGTCTGATACAGATTAATCAAAATTTTGAGGAGCTGAGGAATAACATTTTAGGGGTCGCCTTTCCCCTCATGTCATCAACACTTCGCTACTCGTAATCCTTGATCACGACAGGAGGTTTCGTGTTGTGTATTGATAAGGTATCTGGTTGCTACCACTTCCTGTACCTGTACATGAGGTAACGCAACAGGGTAACGCGAGTAATGTTGCCTGCTAGCAAGCTCCTGTTATCTCCTGAACACTCTTACAACAGCAGTGGTTAAACGTGTACCAAGCATTGAATCCGATCTTTTCCGATCTTTTTCAAGAACACAAAAATGGCCCGGTTAGCTTGCTTGTCAGCGTAAGTGGGAAGGAAACGAACTCCACTCGTTTTAAACACAGGGTATGTGCCGCTGGCCTCTCAGAGCCCCCAACCCATTATAGTCTAATCTGTGGCCAATTATAGGCCTCATCTTAGTCACTTGAGGGCAAACAGGTAATTTTCGCGAGCCCAACTTAGTCACTTTCTATATTTATGAGTTGACCCATTTTTCGGATTGAATGAAGAACACGTTACTTTTCGTCTACAGTACAAACATTCTGGTACGTTTGCTAACCGTAAATATGATGTGCGACCCCATTCTAGTAACTCTATTGAAAATGCGACCCCATTATAGTCAACCCAGTCGTGAAAATGCGACCCCATCCAGCGGCACATTCTCATTAGCCTGTTATAAGAAAGTACCCTCCCCCCGGGACTTAACAACTGTAGGTAGAAAACGAAGACGTAAGGCCTAAGACCCAAAAACAGAAACCCCCCCTCAAAATCACTTATAAATAGCTAGAAACGGCTATATTGACCTGGGATGTGTAGGAAACAACAAGATCGTCAATTATCAATGAATTTGACCCGTTTCTAGCTTTTTATAAGTGATTTTGAGGGAGGTTTTCGTTTTTGGGTCTTAGGTCTTCGTTTTCTCAGTATCCTAAAACTAAACATGCTTGTGCAAACGGGCCTCGAAAAATGAGTAGCACATATTCGTGGGGGGCCGCCCAAATACAGAACTACTTTTATTAGCTGACTTGTCGCTGGTTGGCCCGTTCTATGGCAGCTTTACTTTTTTAAACTTTTCAGACTTAAAAACACTTTAGGGCCACTTTGTGTCCTCATGCGTGTGACACGATATTGTTCGATATTACGGTACTGTATTGCATTTTGTGTATTGCGTGTACAATACAATTATACAGTGTCGGAAATACCCATACGATAGAATACAGTACACAGTACAGTATTAACCAAGAGAGACACACAACAGCCTTTTACAGTTTTCGAACTTACGGTACTCTGAAACAATGGAGTTTTTTCTTTTAAAGTGTTAGGGATTACCCTACAAAGTAATTACAGATTTAATCAGCAGGAAACCAGTAAGTGCAGTGCCAATATAGGAGAGGCGGATCGCGCGCTGTTCAGGAAGATCTCCAGCATGCCCGGCCACCATTTGCGTACTTTCCTTCCCAAAACCCAAAAAAGTTCTGTGCGCCTCCGAGTTCCTAGCAGTCAAATCTGGAGAATCATTATACACTCAGCGCTTTAAAAACAATTTTATCAATAGGCTCTTTTTAAAATCAGCACAAAGTAGTAATTTAATGTAAAACTGGTTTATAATGTTAATGTTAATATTTCATGCGGAATTGTTTTTTTTAACTTTCAACTCAGTTTTTCATTGCTTTTAACTGTACGTTTTCTTAGTTTTTCGCATGAATTTTCGCTGAAAACATAATTGAGACCTTAAGACATTAAAGAGGGAAGATATACAAAAATAGAGGAAAACAAGCAAAATATTGAAGTAAATATAATATAAACTTAAAATACAATCATGATATTGTACCTCACTATAACAAAATTCAAAATAAATATAGGATAATGAATATTTTCGAAAGCACGTAATTTGAATATTTAAATTGATGGACAAAAATTTCAAATATGTATATAAAAAAATAACGATGGAAGGGTGGTTGGCAATACGAAAAACAGTTACAAGTAATAGAAGAGCGATAATTGTAACACAATAGATCTTCCAAGAAAATGTTCAGTAGAGGTTAGGAGGAGTGAGAAAAACAGACTACTTAATTTAGACTTAAGGGAGGAGAGCGGAAGATTTTTAAAGAGATTTGGATGTTGGCAAAGAGGAAGCGGTAGAAACCCCAGGTCGGAACTAAGATCATTACGAAAAGTTTATCAGCAGTTTTCTGACAGTCGTCCACTATGCGTTTATCACAACCTCGTCCGCCAGGGTCCTCTCGTTTTCCAATAAGGCTTCTTTTAAAAGGCTCGGAGCCATTCCTGTAATTAACGGCTAGAGGAGATTTAGAGAAGGGCTTTTCTCTTCTGTCGCCGCCAAATTGGAAAAGGAGGAGACCCTGGGGACGAGATTTCTTTTATCAGGCCCCATAAGATCATAAAGAAAGAATTTAAGACGATCCAAAGGTCCACGTGAACTACAGAGGAGGGTTTAAATCTATTGTTGAGGCATTTGGAAGCACTCAAATTCAGAGTACTTTAGATGAAAAGAAGAGTCGGAAAGTTTACTGTATTCAATAAGCCGAGATCAAAAACGGCAATTTCAGTTCAAAATTTTAACCTGTATAATCTTTTCAAACGAGAAATTGTTTCTTTTTGGCGTGGCTGATTCGCCAACCTGTGCTCTCTGCCAAAGTGAAGTGGAATCCATCGAGCATTTACTCTCGACTTTTCCTGTAAAGTATCATCCGATTTTTGGAAGCGTGTCTTGTCCTGAAACGAGGGCTGCCAGTTTATGAAATCTTTACTGAAAACATTACAGAAGAAGATGTCATTTTTGGTAAGTTTGCGGTTTCCCTCGTTTAATCACAGTTTGCTTTTGGGTAAGTTTAATATTTATCCTCGGAAATGCTAGAATTGTATATCTTCTCTTCAGGGTTTCATATCCAGGACAAGGCGTATCAAAGGCGTATTTATAATATCGAACTCTAGATTCCTGGGAAAAGAGAAAAATTAGACAATCACTTTAAAAAGTAGGAAAAGTTAATTAACGTCGTTTCCAATAAGTGATGTTAAGATTATTTTCCGATTGTTTGTGTTAAGTTTAAAGTGTAGTGAGTGTCATGAGTGGCTATAAACGGGGACACTGTATTGCTGTATTAGCTTTTGTGTGTGCGTTGATTTTCAAGCCTGCGTAGCTGGTGGGATTCTTGTGCCCGGGGAACGTTTTTGGCGGCGGAGCTGCCATGGGAAGTGAACGGCTTCGCCGCGAGGGAAAATCCTAATTGACTTCAAATTGACTTGTATACCCACCCTTCTCGCGGCTACGCCCCAAAACGATATAGCACTCCCACGCTTATCCCGCCAGCTAGGCAGGCTATTGATTTTGTACTTATCGTTGGGTAGCCTGAGAAAACAGACGACATCTCGCGACGCTACCGGTGGTTTCCCCGCGAAGACGTTCCACCGTTAGCGTCGCGAAATGCCGTCTGTTTTCTCAGGCTAATCGTCCCAGTACCATGTAAGAGTTATTTTCTTTTTATCTTTTTTTCTCCCCTAACTTTTATTTTGTATGTAAACTTAAGTAATTCTTTGATAAAATATTAACAACAACAAAAAAATACAGGCCGGAATGTAATTCTGGTGAGATTAAGGAAATAGACGCCTTAAAGAAGTCGCCGGGATAAATGGCTGATATATGCCCAGCACGCTTCTGGAGACGAAGGAGTCGTAACAGGAGATGGTGGCAGCAACCCCAGACAGCAGAACAATAAATAAATTAGTTGTTAACACGTGAGTTATAAATCGTAAAGAAGAGTTGAAATTAAGATAGAGTTTTTAGTACGATGAGTGAGAGAAGCAGAGGCGATATGTGGTGCTCCCACGATAGGCCATTGTCTAAAAGAACTACGTTAAGAAATTTAGCAAAGTCCACTGGTAATCAATTTGGACCGATGCACTTCCAGCTGGAACTGCGTTTCTCTACATGTAGAATCGTTATATTGAAGGTAGAGATTGAATTAGTTTTGGTTGTGTTGAGAGACATTCGGTTCAGGTAGATACGATCCTTACAAAAGGGGGTGGAGAGACATTGGCCTACATGATTAGACCGACGGAAAACCTGAATACGAGAGTATAAAATTCAAAAGTAGGTTGAGTATAAAATTCGCATGAGCTGTGGGTGCTGTGTTGCCTACTCCATAGGCCTCGCTATCATCTACGTAACCAATGCGTTTCTGGTCACGTGGACCGAAGTGAAGCCCGGGAAAATGCCGTGCAAGGACTAGGAAAACGACAACGAAACCCTCGTTATCTCGTCATGCCAGATCTACATTTAACTGACGTTTTGGCGCCAAAATTGAAAGCGCCACCAGGAGATATGTATATTTTACGTGTCTGTGGCGTGTGATATTGCATTCTAATCCTTATAATTAGCCTTAGTGGGAAGAAAAGTACTCTCTTTTTCTCACGCTTTCTTAACGCCAGTTCAAACTCACTAAGACCCTGAAACATGTGGCCAATCATGGACCATTGTTTATCGCATGTGCAAACTTTCTTCCTTCTCTTAATTTTTGTACATTCGGCTTTGCACGTGCAAATTAATATATAGCTAAAGATCATTATTGAGTATCATTTTAATAATCGTAAGTACATTTTTATCTCCCCCGGGTCGTGATTGAAAACGTACGATTCAGTCAGATAAGACAGCTAATGACGTTGTCAGGTCGTGTTTGCGATCTCTTCATATTTTAAATTTGATTGATTATTAATAAAATCAACATGTCACGGATAATGCTTTTATCTACCCTCATGTCGAACCCTATTTGGACATTAAATCTGAACTGATACACGTGTGTGTGCTGGTATTTATTTTGGAAAGAGCTTTTACGATCCCTGATAACAAAAAAAATTATAGCCGTCTTTGTTTTTTCTTCTTTTCTGGAGAATGGAGGCCACGCTTAACTGTACTTATCTTGAAGAATGCCAAAGAAGATGCACAACAGCTGCAATCTTTATTTCCTTATATCTTAAGGGAAAAGATATTACGGAGAGAAAATACGTATACCCTGCTAGCAAGGATTCTATAACAGCATACAGTGCTGAATTGTGGTGAAGATTATTTTTTGTCTTTTATTTACAGGGGAAGTGGGGCAAATATACTTTTGCGATCAGCAAACAAGATCAACAGAAAAATTTCCTTAACTATTTCAGCAATCAAATTAAATAAACCGGAAAACCAACAAACATCTCATACTCAAGTACTCTTAAAAATCTGTAATATGATTCTTTGATCTAGCTCGCTCAAAACCTTTCCAGTCCCATAGTCTCTATTCTGAAACATCATGTTGTGTAGTTTTATAGCTTTCGAGTCTGTGGATGAAATCCTACATGTACAGTATCACCAATCAAATCTCTACTAATCTCTTCAGCAGTACTGTAGTTTTTTTCATGGCTCAATATTTTATAAATGAAAATTTGATTATTTATTCGTTTAATTTCTAATCACTGGCCTTCTTTCTCAACATATGGCACGGCCGACGGCACGGCCTCGTAACTTCCATAGAATAGTTTGAAGATAAAATTGCACAATACAGCAACTGAATGCCCAGTCTGTGCAGGTTATAGAGATTCCTCACTTCACATTAAATCGCTTTGCAAGAGACACTTCTCAGAGTCCCAGTAAACTGGAAATAAACACATTTTCTCTATCAGTTGCTTCATTATTTTTAAGTTAACATACTTAACATTTTTAATGAGGGATTTGAATAAGTTTGGAAAAGTTCTGTTTCTTAATAATTGTCAAATCATAAACTTAATTGTGTTACTGACTTCCGGAACTACCTACGACTAGGACCGTGTTATAGTGGTCTGTTTGTCGCTACAAACGTGCTAACTTGCTTGTTTTCGGTGTGCATTGAATTTTGTTTTCCATCTTTTTGGCAACATGAACATGTCCTGATCTTGGTATCCCAGTCGTAAATATATCAGTATATCTTAATTTGAAGAACACAAAGATCTCCCCGGGATGTCCCTAAAATAAACAACCTATTCCTGAAGTGCTGAAAGAAAGGTCGAGGTTATTTCTGAGCGTATCCACGCGTTTGACATTCTTCTTACGCCCTGTAACTGGAGCCTTTAGCTTAAACGGAAATTTGCAGAGCAATATTTAGATGACAGTTGACAAGTAGTCGTATGAACCGAGTAGTCATGCATACTCAAAGCGGTATGGACGGACTGATAAAACAGTAAAGACACTGAACGACGAAGGCCTCTTATCATTTCTAACCGTCCGTGCGTGTTTGGGGAATCTGACATTGCAGCAGTAGAAGTGTCTTACGAGATCGAGAAAGGGAGAAACTCCAAGCTCGTGTCGAGACGGTGACCGTTTCTCTTTCAGAGTAGAATACCTTTGCCCCGTTAAAGGAGAACGGCACGAATGTCCAGTTTGGTAACAACGCGAAATGTTTATCGGCACCTTGGTTAGACAGTTGTGGAAGGATTCCAAAACTGCTTTAAAATGAAAGGTATTTTGCGATACACGTATTTCCAGTAGTAATTACAATTTTGATTTTCACCAGTAGCGGTGTCTAATTTGATGAACAAGTAGTGAGGATTAACCCGATTTCTTAAATTTCAGGTTGTTAACAAATAGTTTTAGCGTTTTAACAATTATATAACCCACTTGCAATTTCTTTGTTATTTTTCATTCCTATATTAGGAGGGGAGGTTTGAAGGTTTCAAAAAATGAGATTCCGTTGAAAAACGCTAGATCATAAAAGGTCATATTGGATCATTATTATAATAAACGACCTTTCTATGTGATTTTGGGGATCATAAGCCCGCCAAAATTTTGTAACTTCATTTTTAGCGGATACGATAAATATACACTAAAAGTAAAACCTCGTTGGACACTAGAAATACCGAATTCTTCCCTATCTCAACTTCAGTCTATATTCTACAAGTAACACGCATATTTGATCGATATGTCCGTTATTCAAATACCACAACTGTTGAATGGTCCACTGACGAAGAAAATGATTGGAAGTTCTTTTTGAGTGTAGAGCCATTTTTACACGCTTAGACCCATATGTTATTTCTAATAACTTGGAGTCTACCGTAATAGTCAACATTAGGCTGTTAGACAGCCGAGAAACTGTAATGACTCCTTTAATTTGTCTGAAACACTGTTCTGACACTCGAAGATCATTTAACATTTTTGTTTATTCGTTCCTCTCACTTACCACTTTAACGATACTTCTAGAAAACAAGGAAGCTGAAATCTTCACTTGTTTTGCAAACCTACCAAGAAAGGTTGTTTTACGAGCTCAGTCACGTTGTTTTCGTGACCGGTGAACCAGTTTAAGCAAAACGGCATGTAAATAAACTTAAACAAACAATCCTCATCTTCATGTAATCACAGACTTGGAGATATTGGCGTCCTCTTGATTTCTTTCCCAAACACCATTGTTTGAAGAAGAACCGACCGGCACAGGTTTTAGAGACTTTCTATTGCAAAGTTACACAGTTGAGAAAACATTCCCTTTTTCAATTTTAAAGCTCTTAAAAGGAGAGCTTACGAGACAGCATTTCGTTAAATTAAAGTTAACTCGTCTGTAGTGAGTTGGGTTTTTCGTGATTCATATACTAAAATCCTTTTTCTTGAATCTCATCTCTGTGTCCTTTGGCGCGACTATTTTGAATAAGACCTTTCTTTTAGTAATTTCACATTGTTTATTTTGTTTTTCGGAACTGAAAAAATTTAAAATTTTTCGTAGAATTTGGTCATGAGGCCATAAGGAGTGATAGGATTGATAAACCCAAAATTCAATTTTAAATTCCTATTCAATCGATTTTTGGGCACTAAGGTATATGATGAAGAAGTAATCCTCTTGATACAGATGCTCTGAGAAGATTGTTTGAATAACGCTTTGTTATAATTCAGGGGCATCCAACGACTGTTTTCTGAAAAGCATCTATTCGAAGAAGCAAAGATTACGTAGAATACTCTATAGCTTGAGGACGGCTAAAAAATTCTAAATGACCATTCAATTCATGTACGATTTTCGAAGCTTATCTGATAAATTCCCTACGATTTTGTGAAATTTAATTTTTCACATTTCACTCCCCAGTTTAAGTTATATTTGAAAAAAAAAGGAAACCTAAAATTTTCGGATTCAAACATTTGATGGAGAGAGGAATCAGAAAAATGCTAACCTTCATAAAGCTTTAAATAGCATCTAAAATTTTCGGGAAAATAATAATGAAGCCCTTGTAATTTCGAAAAGACTCAAGTTGCCCTAGGATGACCGAACAGTTCCAAACTTTACAGCGCCAATTAAAATGCATTTGTATCGATCTAAAAGTACTCTGGGCAGCCTAAAAAGTGTTTTCATTGTATTTAGGAGGAAACCGTCGTTCGGTGCCCCTGATTGAATAGCACTGGAGAAATAAAAAAAGAATTTGATTTGCCCATTGATTTTGGAGACTTAGAAAACCTGTAACCTCCGAGGAAAAAGCCGTTTAGGCGATTCCTGGGCTTGACCTCCTTATCCCCCCCCGATCCCCACCCCCCTCCCCCTTTCACAGGCAGGGAAGCAAGAAGATTGCAGAAAGAGAGAGCTCACAGGCTAAGAGAAACAATTGTGGTTTTTTTACTTATCACAGAGTTTAGACATATTCAAGAAAATGCATGATGAAATCGATCCGTAAACATAAATAGAGAGAAACGAGGTGGGACTGAATTACAAAGGAAGGACAGTGTAGATAAAGCGAAAGAGGGAACCAAGAATCTCTTAACGTTTTCATTTATTTCTCTAAACCTCTATTTTAAGGGTAGTCTAAGCATGTTATAACCCGTCAGATAGCCAAGTTTTACTGTGCGGTTTTTCATATCGTTTCAGCTCTTGCGACAGGTATTATGTGACCTGTGATCTCTTTTGAGCTTCAGCGGAACAGAAAACTTAGCCAAAGTCCTTGTTACCGTGCTTGATCAAGTTACATTGTGCTAAGATAACTAAATTTCCGTAACACTCCTTTGAAGTCAAAACAATCAAAAGGCATGATGAAAAAAAAAAAAAAAGAAAAGAAAAGAAATACCATTGTTCCAAAGGGATGGAGAGTCGAGTCAGGACATTTATAACCGGTCTGCAGACTTAGCCTCTAAAGAAAATCAGTAAAATCAAAACATGCACGGTGTCTTCCATTTCAAAACATGTAATCTGAGCAAGAAAATCGGCGTGAGATCATGCACTTGCAGTCAGGAGCTTTTATCCCTGATTATGACTTCTGTTTCCGGGTTTTGTCGGCCAATCATCACACGCCGCGATAACTGGAAATGTTCCCATCTAGACGGTTCTGATTGATTGAACTTCCTAAGGTCAACGATTGTCTCTACAAACCACACAACTGTGCTCATCCTCGTCAAGATACGTAGTTGCAACGCAAAGGATTTTGCTTGATCCTCGCTGTGAAGATGACACGTTGACTGCAGGGGCCTGAAATGGTGGCAAGCAGAAAAGATAGCGAAAATAGAGCCGGGCAATGGTAGTATTGCGATGGATACAAGAAACTGCAGTTGTCGTGGTTTGAACTTTTATTCCTGCTTTCTTCTGGCTCACTATTTCCTTTCCTGCCCAATAAATTAAGCAGCATCCTTTACGTAATAAGTAGAAAGGCGAATAGAGGGAACAGTACCCCGGGTGCCAGAGGGTTATTTTTTTCATTTAATTCCTCATATAATCGTGAGCACGGTTTATGTCATCTCAGGCATTTCGAGACCTCTGGAGCCAGGGTATGAGTGCACTAAGTGGAAGATGCAGCAAGTTGTGGGTTATCAATTCCCTAATAGTTTCTTTTCCTATTTCATTTCTTGTTACCAGGAACTTTAGCCCTCGTGATATCAGTTGGTGTAGGAGCCGCGGTCCTTAGCGCTGTGTTAGCAGTATTCTTGGTCAAGTGCTACTTGAACTGGAAAAGACAACGTAGAAAGAAGAAGAAGCAGTCGAGTTCGACCGCCGATGGAACTGTTCAACAGTTGGTCTTATCCTCACAGCCAGTTGACTTTGTCCCGCTTTTGATTCAAGATCAACTGGAAGAGGAAGAAAATGAAATTGAGGGTCCTGCGAATGCCTTTGTAAGCGGAACATCAAGCGAAGATATTAATTTCAATCAGAAAACCAGTCAGGCTGACGAAAAGGTGTGAAATACCCTTTTAATGGTAGCTTTTTGCATGGTGTTGCAGACGGTTGCAGTCATCATGCGTAATAATACATGTATATTTAGATTTATCCAGAGCTAAAAGCGAAGCTTCCTAGTCTTCCGTTTATGCATTTTAAATTTACTACAGACAATGGACTTTAAACTTTTGAAAAGGCCACAAATCTATACTTAAACTCCAAAAAACACGCGACCTCGATGAGTTGGCCCCTGAGCCCGCGATAAGGTCATGCGACACTGGTCAGCGGATACCCTTTTTTGACACCTGTCAATTACCATAATATGACTATTTTCAAGTTAAACACCGGTTACAGGCTCCCACACTAGCTTGAAAATTTGACATTTCATATTGGATTGGCCTGTGGTGCAAAGATTGAACAGACACTGAGCAATACCCACACCACACATAACTCATAAGCAAACCAACAATGCATGGTTTTCGAAACACCAAGAAATACCCCTGATAATGGTGTCATAGGTTCACCCAAATAAGCCATCCTTACCAGGGGTTGGGGGAGGGGAGAAACAAGCTTATCACAACCTCAAAACAGAATTTGAGCTTATCCACATCTTCATTCATATTTGTCTACAATCGTTTGTTAACGCAAAGTTCTTGGCTGCCATCTTGTAAAAAAGTTCATATCAAAAGGGTGATTCTCAAGTTTGCATGTCAAAGTTAAGGCCCCAGTTTTACAAAAAGTGGATAACGCAATCAGTTGAACAACGCTACTACTTAAACGCTGGATAATGACCTTTCCGTGTGGACATCGCTATCCATCGTTTGAACAACCGGAGCTTGTTCCAACTCAGAAATCTCTTCGGGTAGAGATAAATACTGTAACGAATTGAGTTCGGTATGTCTTGGTTGCAAACTTCAGGAACGTTTTTTTTCTCTTCTTTGTCTTCACGGTTAAGGAGAAGAAAGTTGTACATCCTCCTCTTCTGAGATTAGACACCGCTTCAAGTATCCTGGACAAATATAGTCGGAAGTTGAAGAAGCCAACAGAAACCGGAACAAGAGGAGAGTCTTTGTTTTTTGATGACAGTGATAGTTGTAAAAGTGGTAAGACTAGAAACTAGAACAGTGATGTCTCTCTAGTTTGAATTTGCTAAGTAGTAAATGTCAAGTTTCTATAGCCTGGGATCAGGCTCGTTCGTGGGGAAAAGGCGCGGATAACCGAAATAACGGGGCGCAGAGCGCAAAGAAAGAGGCGAGCTAAAAACCGGGTTACTGAGAAGGATAAAGGTGTCAAAAGAGGCACCTCCTTTTTCCTCTTCCCGGCAAGCACTGGGGACAATGTTGCCTCCCCAGTTCCTCGCTCTGCTTGCGTCCCTCGCAGATTTTTTCGCGATGTTTATCAGACAAGTTATACGCCTTTTTTACCTACCAAGAAACCTGCTCCAGGGCTTAGTTACAAGAACATAACGTGCAACCATACGAAAGGCTTAAGTGATAAGCTATAAAGTGCGCTCAGTTGTAGGTGCTAGGCTAGCCCCAGTTTACTACTTTCAACAAAAAATTACTGGATCCACCCTTAGTAAAATACCGGTTAAAGTCTCTTTTGATAACAGGCACTGAACATAAAAAACGTTTTCTTAAAAAATAACATTAGATTATTTCTTCGTAAAAGATTTTTTTAATTTATGTCTCTTTATTGACAGAATCCTTAGGTGTAAAGAGGAAGAAAAAGACCTCTTTCGATGGTTCTTCTTTTTCACAACGTCCCGGGGTGGGAAGTATCAAACGAATTCCATTTCGTCGCCGCCTTAGTTCGGACAGTACAAAGAGTCTATCACGTGAGTCGCTAATTAGCGAGGGGCCTGACCACACCCCACATATGATGAGTTCAGTTGTGTCTACCGTTGATACAAAAGCACCGCGATCCAGATTAAAGCGACCACGAATAAATGAAGAAACACCCAAGGGAAAACCAACCAGGAAAGTATCTCGCACTCCTGAAAAACGCGGAAATGTGAATTTCAAGGTGAACTACGTGAAAGATAAACACGCCCTGGAGGTACATTTGGTTAACGCTACAGGCCTACCAATCAAACGTAGTCAATTGTTGGATTCCTTCGCGCGCATTTCTCTCAAGACACCGTCGAAACATCTGCGGCATCAGAGTAAGATTTATAAGAAGACCTGCAACCCGATATTTGATGAGAAGTTTATTTTCGAGAGTGTTTATTTTTCTGAGTTACAGCAGGCAAATTTGAAGATCAAGATTTTGAATCGTGTGAGCGTCTCCCGATGCGAGCCGATTGGCGAAACAGCGGTGGCTTTATGTGATGAAGATGTCATGCGGGGAGAACCCCTATGTCGAGAATTAGTTGAGAAAGCTGGGAAAGGACAGGTGAGTATAGGTTGGCAATACGTGTCAAAGCTCGTAAACGTCACTACTCCAACAGGCATTTAGCATTTACTACCTACTGAAATAAACTTTAGGTAAAATACGTATGAAGCGACAACGATTTATCTGACGTTAATAAAATGTTTTAGACGGCAATTTACTAAAATCAGCTGACAAAAAAAGGCCTATTTCTTGAATTCTTGAGAGGTGTCACAGCTTTGTAAGCGGACAGGACCACAGTTTTTTTTCATATTTTTTATGTGTGATGAATATTTTCCTTCACATGTTATAAAAGACTGTACTTCTGGCAATACTAAGCCGCGGTCTTTTATAGCTTAATGAACATTGCAATATCTAGTCTTCATCAAAAGATAAATTGTATAAAAAACTCTTTTCATAAGGTATCTTTGATTTAAAATGCAAAGACGCTTTCCATTATCTCACAGAGTCTTCACCAGCAAACTGATTGTCTTCAAAATTTCAAAGCTTTTTTTTTAAAAAACCTTTATTAAAGGAGTTTTCATTCTACACTAGCCAAGTCCAGACGTTAATGAATTCGGGGAGCGTGATTGTGATTCCACATTCTCAACATGCTAGTCAGTAATCTTGAAGTACGATCCACGAACCTTTGTAAATAAATTGATGCATTTTTCCTTTTGCCTTTAGTGCGCCGGAGAACTGATGGTATCTGTTTGTCACGAGGCCACCTCGTCGCACATTAAGGTCTTCATCATGAAGCTTAAGGATCTTCCAAAATCTGTAAAAAGTAAATAACTTGCCACGTCTTACTTCCTTCAATTTAAATTATTGCGGGCGACCAGAGGAGCTTGCAGTCCTAATCTTCACGTTGCTATTACGCATGCGCGGCATGTATGTAGCCTGCATTCGCGGAATTCCACTAAGAACGAATGGAATACATAGAACGCAATCTGATCACGTGCGTTTAGACCTTCTATTAAGTGAAACTTACGAAAAGCGTAGCGTTGGAGGGGGAGCGTTTTGACGTGTTCGCCTGCACTCCCAAAGCTTTGGTTTAATACCACTAATGCTACTAACATTCCTAGTTTTAAAGTATTTCTCCCTTTCTAGGCGGAGTTGTTTTGGCACATGGCTCGTACAAACCGATTCGCTGTAAAATGTTTTAATCACTTTAAAAATGAGAACTTTACTAATAACGTTCTCTCCCTCTGGTGCTGCTGCACATTTCTTGGTCATACGGGTAATCGCCCGGCTCTATCGCTTTGGATATTTAGTGGCTGCAACCACTTCTAATACACCATGATTTGACGTGTAACACGTGTCAAACGAAAGCTCAAACTTTTGATGCGACATTTTTATGGAAATAGGTTGCTTGCTTTCCTTACAACCACGAAAAGATAAAGCTTCTAACGGTTATCCCTCTGATTAACTTATTCAGATTTCTCTTACTTTTCAAGGTCCCTCTATCACTGTGGAACTTACATATAAGAATGAAATTCTCCAACAACGTCAAGTCAAAGCTAAAAGGAAGACCCAGAATATAAACGAAGAATTCAGCTTTGAGGTTGCTACGAACAGTTCTTTCACACTAGACAACTTCGGCGTTCAATTCACCGTGTACCAACATGACTTTATTCGCGGTTACGAGCGTGTTGGACAAGTGAGACTTGCGATGGACGCGCCTTTGCAGACGGAAGTGAAGCACTGGACAGCGGTCGTTTTGTCTCCACACAAACCTATTGCTGAATGGCACAAGTTACATGCGCCTTTTCTTTAACTGACTGTTGACAGCGGTTGGCAACACACCCGGATGTCAAGGAACCCGGATCAAGGAAAAAAAACTGCATTGACTTGAAAGGGTCTAGATGGGGATGTCTTAAGTAAAATTAATTTGGACTGAGAAAAAGCCAAAAAGGAAACTGTTTTAAAGTTTTAGTCTCAAAGCTATCTTTAAAACATGGAATAATTTTTGACTTGTGTACTTCAGTTAAAATTTTCACTTTGATAGTCAATTTTTGGGCAAGGAGTTTGCTCTCTAGTTGTTTATATTATTGTGGCTATCTTTGACATCAGTTATATTTAGTTAATAAAAATGCCCCAAAAAATCTAACAGTATTTAGATCTCCAATTGAAGAACGATGATATCGTCGGGAAAAAAGAATTAACCATTACTAGAATTAACATCATTTCCCTCGTAAAGTATTTTGGTTATTTTGTTTTACTATTACTAATGATTAGGCCATCAACGAAACAGTCTTCACCACGTTCCAGCAACCACTGAGACAGCTGAGATCTATCACTCCTTATTAGTTGTACATTTTTTTCGGAACGTGCGTCTCTAAAAAAATCAGGAGCCGATAATGAGAAGAATATGTTCGCCGATTTGTATCCATCTATTTTCAGTGCGGGCACTCCGAGTTTCACTAGTGTTTGCAAGACACGTATTTCTAGCTCACAAAATATTTTAAAAGATTATTAAAAGATTCGCTTCAGGTAAGGAAATCCGGATTGCGTGAAATTTTGTTCGTGGAATCCGGGATCCTAAGCTTGGAATATCCAGAATTAAGCTCAAGGAATCCGGAATTCCGCTAACGAACGGAAATGAGTTTTATTTGCATGAGATTCATATCAGTGGCTTCGCACTTAAACTCGCTTTGAGAAAAAGGGTTAGTGCAACTCGGAAATTGCCTGATACCGGAATCCAGTTTCCACTGACAAAAAATCAGGAATCACTTTGGGGACTGTGGAATCCAGAATTCAAAATTGTCCAAGCAGTCTTAACTTACTCGAGTGATGAAAGCCAAATACAAAAATAACTATACTCTCCATTGTGGAGGGCTCTCCCTTACATTTTAGTAGTTAATTATTTAATGGCTTTTATTTTTTCATAAAATAGTGCTTTAATCTTCCTTTCCAGCTGAACATATCAAGCAGTGCAGCTAGGGTTATAGAACTAGAAAAGAAAACAAACCAAGGGAAACTTACTGGCACCAGAGAGTTTCACAAGTTTATGTAGTCTATTCATATTTGTGTTTGAATTCTTGGCCGACTAATCATTGTCAATTTGATCACAATTTCATTTTAAGTTAAAAACACAACACGCTTACATAAAATAAATATGCGTAATGTTTAAAAGATGTTCCAAGTAACTTAATATGTAATCGGAAAAATGCGTGGTACTGAATAACTAATTAAGTAAAAAAATTCCAAGTACACATAGGGGTACCTTTTAATCTTGCTATCGGCTTGAAGATTCGTCGGTTTATTTTTGTTTGTACCAAAGGCAATAAGGAAACGGATTTTTCACCCGTAGGTTGTATGAGTGACGTACGAGGCTAAATTTTATTTATTTTACGGGAGAAGTTCGTATGTTTCTGAGTAGTTGTATTCCTACTCTGGAATAGGATTTACTCCTTAAAGAAATGTGATGAAAATGTACTGTATTAACACAAAGGAGAATATAATTATATATGAGCAACATTTTATGACTTGTATATATTGTTTCATGATCTTGAAAATATAATGGAAGCAAGGAAAGCGAGCCAAAGAAAAACTGGATATACGAAATTTGTTTAATTCAACTAACGAGAACAATGCAAATAGAGGCTGTCTCCCAGATTAGATCCCCACAGGGCAAAATGGTTTCTTTTTCTTAACAAGGAGATTTTAGCTGCAAGCTTCTTTTCAGTTATACTGAGTGAAACGTATTAGAAACGATCGGCAAAAAAGTTTGTTGTTATGTCGTGGAAATGGCGGTTAATTCTTGATTTCAATTCTCTTGACATCCAAATGTCCACATATATGTAGGCTATTATTTTAAGTAAAAGGAGAGGAAGAAAAAGGAGTTGAGGGCTAATTCGTCGATTATACATTAAAGAAAGAACGTTTGGTTACATTGATTTCGTTCGAGTAGAGACGTTTCGTCGGCCAACTTTAAGAGTTAGATCTGTTTATTGATAAATATGACATTTCTTCAATTCTTACTTTTTGTCATTATCTTCGTTAATATCCTTTAAATTTTCTTGACGTAATTTGAATTCTTTTCTTTACGTACATATCTGATTTGGCCTTTGTTATCTTTTATGCAGGCGAAAAACAATCTTGTCTAAATTCAATTTCGATCACTGCTGATATTCAGGTAGACCGCTGATTCAGATTAAGGGGTCGCGAAAATATTACTGAAACATCGCGACTCTGAAAGTTCACTTCAGTAATGAGCATGTACTCTAGACCAGCCGCTAAAATTTATGAAGCTGCAAAGAACAGGCAGAGTTTTTTTCCTTTTTAATTCCTGGTAGCTTCTGCAATTAAGATAGTTTAATGGTTTTGCAAATGAAATTCATTCGATCTAAACAAAATTATGAGGCTGAGTCGATTACTTTAAAAAGTATGTCATTAAAACACCGTGTGCAAATTCATTTCTTCAAGGGTAGAATCTTTCAGTTTGCCGAGTAAACCGAAAAACGATTGAATTGAAAAGTTTCGGTCACTTCAGTCCAAGAAATTTATTATGTTGATGGTTGATGAATTTAAAAGGTCGAAAACATATTAACTAAGAGGATTCCGACTTTGATTTCATTGAACTCTAGTGAACACCGCATTTTACAGACGACTTGGAAACAAATAAGAAATAAAATTCTAACCAGATAGTTTTTTTTCCAATCTTCTTAAAAAATTAATTTGAAACACCGCAAGATTGAATAGAAAAAAATATTTGTGGGTAACTTCAAGTTTACATCGCAGATTTAGAGAAGAGAATGGAATATTTACTAAATCACTTTCCTGAGGAGAATGCTTTTGCGTCTTCTTTCCATTCTAGGCAATTTGTGTCACAGCACGGAGCGTTTTAAACTAGCCTTAATATATTCGTCCCGCACGTCGCAAGACTTCGTTTTCCTCGGCAAGTTATGAAAAATTCATTTTCAAACAAATCCTTTGCTAGTGATCAACAAGCTTCGTTAATTTTAAATGTGGTCCTTATCGTGAAATCTATACAAAAGCAAAACAAATTTCCCTATGCGCTAATGGTTTTTCTCCTTTTGTATGTGTAATTGTAACAAGGCTGAATTTTCTGATACGCGTGTAATAATGACTCTTGCAACAATGGAATTTCCCAAAATTCAGTGGAAAATCTGACGAGGCAGGTGCTTATAGTGGCCTGTTCTGCATAACAATATGCACAACAATCGCAACTCGCTCGAGTAAACGACGCAATATATAACAGGACGCCTTTCTTATGAAGAAAGCAGTCAGCTCTGTGATTGCATTCTTGAAGAGGAAAAAGGACGATTTAACATTACCGCAGCATACAAAACCCGCTGATTCTGAGGACACTCTTGGTGAAGCTCAATCTGAACAAGAAGACAGATTTTCAGTCATTAGATTGTGCAGGCGATGTGTTTTGGTCTATGAAAACAAAACGTGGAATGAATACGTGACTCAAAGATCCATTCGCCGGTGTAACAACTCTACTGAGCTAAACTATGCAGATGTTTATTGTGGAGAAGAAAAAACCGAAATCACTCGATCGAACTATGTTTTTTCCGCAAATCTTTGCCGAGGATTTCCTGAAATAATCCGCGTTCAAAGATCAATATCTTTGACCTTGATTTTCAACCATATTTTACGATGCGTGCCAAACTTATTTTCGTTGAACCATAATTACGGACCACACTATCCGCTTTTTATCTGGTTACAAACCTGCGAAAACGAACGAGAGGGGGAGGTCTCAAACACTTATGAAGATGACAATCAGATAGTGATAAGTTTTCCATTAGATGTGGCGTTTTTATTGTCAAACTTAAGCATTGAGCTTCCGGTTTCTGGCAAGGAAAGGAGTCTGATTGTGTGGGTTATAGCGAACAAATTTCCAAGACTGGTTATAGCGTTAGATCTGGAAGAAGACCTGATCGATGGCTACCTCGATGATATATTCGAAGTGGCGTTTTTACACATTCCATTCTCCGTTGAAGAGCGACAAGAGAAAATCGAGGCAATTTTCCGAGCTGTTGACGAGATCCTTAACATCAGCGCCAACGCTATCATGGTCAGCGGTGATTCACCCGAAAGCGCGATCACAGTGAAAGAAGTGATCATTGAGACCGCAACCGTGGTGACGTCCACGGCAGCGGAAAGCACGGCGACAGTTGGCATAGAAACAGCGGCAATGGCTTTGGGACAAGCAGCTGCTGGTATTGCTATATCAGTGCTAGTTGACATTGCGATAACCGCGGGCAGTGTTACAAGGGCAAAGCTACAGCGTGATAAAGGCTTGATTACTAACTCGCAGTTTAAATCTACTGTGAGGAGAAAGCTCTGTGATTCAGGCTGTCAATTTATAGGAGGCACTACTGGAACCATTGTAGGGCAGGTGCTCATACCAGTACCCGTCGTAGGGGCCATAGTTGGGGGGTTCTTTGGTAGTTTAATCGGTGTTGGGGTTAGTAAGGGTATTATCAAAACTTCGGAACTCATCGCAAAGGCGCAAAATTCCCGAGCTAAAGCGATCACCGAAAAGTAAGTCTTCAGATAAAATGCTGTAAGTTACCGCTTGCTGTTAATTGACCCAAAAGTAAACTCATCATCACCGAATTCGACTAAAGGAAAATTTACTCCTCCTGCAACGTTTCGATAGTTTCTGATTTCCTTTCTCAAACGATACACTTAAAAACGAAGAATATAAACATTTCTGATTGCTTCTCTGAAGTTCGTATGACCCTTTCAGATCGAAAGGTTCGCAAATTTGAATATGTTGTGGTTCAATTTTATCCTTGATTTAATTTTTATTTTCGTTTGTTGTATACTCATTATCATACATTACCATACCCAAAAACAAAAGAAAATAAAAATTAAACCAAGGATAAAATTGAACCACAACATATACATGTTTATAGAGTGCGTGAGTTAGAATATCTTCTGCTCGAGGGCTGGCAAGATATTCCCTCCTCTAAAGTTATTCTAAAAACAGAAACATAAACGTCTGCTACTGGGAATGCAATGAAAGACAACGAGATGTTGCTACGCATCAATTTTTCGCTTTACTCTCATTTACATGTACTTCGCAATAAAACATAAAAATGTAAATAAACTCCATAAATAAACGTTCTCACTAAGCAAGGAGTCTAGATTAATTTTTTAATCTACGGTGGTCAGGATACCGGCCAAGGTCCTAAGGCTCCGTTTACATGAAGAAGAGTTTTCCTGGGTACAAGGGTCACCCGCCTTCCCGAGCCACCCTTTCACTAAGCTAAACTAACTTTTCACTGATACATTTACTTTAAACATGGCGAACCGTATATACATGAGAAACAAAACGATGGCTCGACTAGACGGGTGACCCGCCAAGCCGGCTCGTCCTTTTGTGATGGTAGTCACCCTCCTGGACGGGCCAGCCTTTCTCCATATAAACAATTTGGCTCGCCTTGGTCAAGGCGAAACAGTAGGGACTTCAACGACACGACGGGAACGAGAACGTGGAAAAAACAAAACAAAACAAAACAAAAAACAATCAAGACAACAACTTTGCATGTGCATCACACTTTTTTGTACTTTTTTGCCGTTTTTGCACGACTACAACGCGAAAATGCCTAATTTCGCGTTTTATCACTTATGGAAAACGTAAACAAGCAACGACAAAATTTGATTTCTCTTTCTAAACTTCGATATGGTCCCTTGGAATTCGACTTCAGGAGGGTTCGCCTTCATTTGACAAAGTAAGTGGATAGGAATACTCGCGATAAAGACTGAAAGAAAGCCAATTCACTTTTCAAGCGACGTTCTCGTTGCGGTCGCGTCGTTGCATGTTAAAGTCCGAAACAGGTTTTATTCACATAAATGGGACCTAAGTACTGACTGGCTGACTGTTCCCAGGACCAAACGCGTACAAGAGCACGAATGGAGTACTGGTGCGAGTTAACGGTGCAGCCTCGTTCTCAGGATACACTGCTCAGAAAGAACATGATTTTGTCTAAAAAATTGTAAAAAGTTAACATTGCCCACAAAGTGTATTGATTATTATTGATTTGACTCTTCGACTTCTCCATTCACGTGCCTTCGCTTTAGGTACTGTTCTTCCCTTTGCCTGGAAAACAATAATGTCGAAACAAAGAAAACTATCAAATGGTTTTAATTTAGCTGCAAAGCAAACGATAATTATAGCAAACATAAAATTGCTAACGGCTTTCCTTCGATTCATTGTACTGTTAAAACAAATTCAAGCAACAAGAGAAAAAACAGAGGAAAATGCGAAGCACTTTAGCAAAGGCGTTTTTGAGCTACGCACGTCAACCGGGGATGAGGCCTTCTTGATTGAAAGGGCTTTGACGCTATCAAATTTATACTTCTAAGTGTCTTTACAATTATGTAAAGACGGTTTGCCCGAATATCTAGGCAAAACCACTACTCAAAAGTGCAGAAAGTCCACTTCCGGTTGATGTGCGTCGCTGAAAAAAGTCTTTGGTTAAGCTCACTAATCAGGCACTTAAGCCACAACGACGGCGACGGTTACAAAAACGTCACTTACAAAGTGAAGTCGCACTGTTTCAAACTTCATCGCGCTTATTCCATCTCGTTCAATTCGTCAAATGTTGGCAATTTTTTCTGGAGTTGAATTCTAAAAGGCTGTATCGAAGTTCAGGAAAAGAAAAAGAAAGTCGTTGTCTTGTGTTCACGTCCTCCACAATACGTGAAATTAGGAATTTTCACGTGGTAGTCGTGCAGCGACGACAAAGAAATATACAGAAAAGCGTGATGCACGTGCGGAGTTGTTGTTTTGCCAATCTAAGGCTGCGTTCCTTGGGATGATCCGGATCAGGATCAGTGATCGGATCATGTAGATCAAATGAAACGACGAATCCTCCTCCAGAGTGGATTCAGCAGTTCATTGGATCTAGCATGATCCGAGTGATCTCCGATCACTGATCCTGATCCGGATTATCTCAAAGCAACGCACTCTAAACCTATTGCTGTTGTGCCGTTTTCGTTGACGTCGCCGTCGTTGTTGCTTAAGCTCTCCATTATAAAACAAAGACAACGCCAACACACTGGGACGCGAGCGAATATCAGATCTTGAATGACAATACCGTTGATGTAAACGAAATCTACAACCCTCTCCCCCCCTCACCGTTTAAATTAACAAAACGGATTGCCGAATTGAAGATAAGATTTCCTACACAAAGAAGTGCTTTTTGAAACGATGTACAGCATATTCAATGTGCCTTCCATGGCTCTCATTTGCATTCCAACGAACGCTGCCAAAACTGGTCTGCTTACGAGCACCTTCCTTAGAAAATATTGATCTCATTGATCTTCAAGACGTTTAGCTTTTCCGACTTTTAAACTAAACTAAATGTGTACTTACGCTCTTAACAAGATTTCATCTTGATGGTCTTTGTTAAAGTGGACTACAGCACCGTGATCTAATTGGATCTTGCATAATGCTCTTAGCGGCCGAATTAAAGCCTGCCAGAGCAAATGACAAAACACAAAAATTAATACCTAAGGAAATATCTCCCACAGTTGTCAAGCAGAAAGTCTGTAAGAACTCTACAAACGTGAATCCTTTACTTTTTAACAGCACTTTCGAGCCTTTTCCTACTTCCTACCAACGCGTGTAGTGCTCGTGACTTACCGTAAAATTTATGATCGATTACGCGCCGCTCTCGACTAAGCGCCGCATCTTTACCGAGAATTTTTTAATAAGCACCGCTCTCGAATAATCGCCCCGGCGCTAATTTGGGTATTTAGAAATTATCGGCTCAGTTTGTTTGATCAGTAGGCGGTCAAATAAATGTATCAAGATGACAAACACCTGAAACACATTCAGACAATGAAAAGTCTGTAGCAGTGGGAGTTGTTCCTGTTTTCAGAAAGCTCAAAGATCATGACTTTTTAAGTTTAAAAACCATTGATTATCTTTATAGCAAGGTGTCTACAAGGATAGAGTTGACATCTATACAGGAAAGATGTCATGAAGAATATCACAAAGACAGTCCATACAGTCAACTGTCATGTAAAGACATGCCTCATGAAATAAAAAAAAAATTAAATAAGACAAGGAGGGACTAGACTGTTCACTGTCTCCTACATGTACCTGTATGTTTCTGTAAGATCGTCAAGATCAAGAACAGACCCTTATGGGTGGCCATCTTGGTTTCCTTTGCCTGGGAAAAAGTATCAAATCTACCTGGGGGGGGGGGCAGGGAAAGATTTGGGAGGTTTCATTGCCTTTCCCTAACCGCTATAAACACTCATGCCCACCCTCCCAGTACATTTTAACCAAGATGGCCAACATTAGACTGTGAGTCTCTCTTTTGCTTCACATTTAGTCAGGGGCATGCACGCGTGCATGAGCATGAGAAACAAGGGCAGCAGTCTCGCATGGTCAAAGAACAAAGAGAGGCTGCTTGTAGTTTAGCTAATGGTAACAGAAAGCACTTGATCTCAAAGATCCTATGGAAAAATAGGGGAGTCACCACAAACAGTCTGTATAGGGATTAACAATATCATCAAAAATTCCACAAACTGCTATCCTCACCTCTGCAACTTCATCATTATTCTCAAGAACAGATAAAGACAAAGCAATAGCCTCTATGGTGCACAAGCTTTTACTATTGGGCTGTGTTCTAATCACATATTCACTGATATGATCATGTTCTAACTGCACCTGGAAAACATAAGAAACATTAAAATAACATTAACCCTTTCAATTCTTATAGCTGCCAAAGTAAAAAAAATTGACAAAATTTCCAAATTTCGTCTTGCAAGTTCCTAGGGAATAATCAAGACCATTCAAAAGTTCTGCTCCCAGGGTTTCACTTGAATGGTAACACCACAGGAATTATCTAATTGCATCTGGGCTCTGTCTAGTCTATGTGTAGCCACACCCTCTCCCCCAAAACGAAAAACGGAGAGCGGGGGAAGGGTGCGGCTACACGTAGGCTAGGCTCTGTCTAATTTGCCTATAAAGAGCACAGGCTTGGAACAGGCCATTTCCAAGTTCCAAACATTCTCACTTTCAAAACGAGGCTAATTGCAAACCCTTTATTCTGAAAATGAGTTGTTATTTGCTTGAGAATAAAAAATCATTTTCATATCAATAGCTTTGCACATAGTCTTGCTTTGAAACAGAGGCATGGGCCAACTCGAAAATGGCCTATTAGATCTGTATGAATAATGCGCAGGGTGCTCAAGTGGCAAAGGTGCACATAGACTGCCAAAAAAATTCCCTGATTGGAAACCATTTAAAACAATTTAGAAATGTACACTGTATTTTGTGGCACTGGCTATCCAGTCTGAGTTTGGTTGCCATGGTTGTCTTCCCTAGTAGAGTAGGGCTGATCCACACTACTAGACAAATTTGGAACAGTCTTTGAAACATCTAAACCAAAAATTACATGGTGACAATTTTTGTTTTGAAAACATTTATCTACACCAGATGTAGATGGAACTATTTACTTTTAACAGGTCGTCACCTCTGTCATTACTTAATGGAAAGAATAATGGCTTTACACAAATCATTGACAAGAAAAACACCTTTCTGTTTATTTCATTGATTTTGTCCAGTTTTTACAAGGGGTAAATTTTGTCTGCGGCACCTTGAAGATTGTCCCATCTCTGTCAAAATTTGTAACATTGTGATCAACCATCCGCATTTGTTAAGCATTGATGATGACAGAAAATTTGTCTATATATACAGCTTTTTCAATAGTGCAGATTGGCTCTTATACAGCCTGTATCTGCAAATCTAAAACTTATGGAACTGCCCAGTAATATTACATTGTCTAGTACCTTTTCTGTGGCACCTCGGAGTTTAAGCTCACCTGTCTTGCCTGGCAGAGGAATGGATTATTGTGAAAGATATCTTTTGCTTGCCGCCATGTTCCATCCAGAACGATGATGTCATAATGCTCTCCGGGTGCAAGTTTATCCATTTTTTTAATATTCTCAGCTAATGGTAGGAACAAAAGAACATGTGATCATAAGAAGTTCTAGAAAATCTTTACTCAAGTTACTGTTTTTAGTTCAGCCTCAACAGCAGTCAAAAGGATTCCACAATTTTATGTTACAGTGGACAGACCTCATTAATATGTCCTATATATCCATTAACAGGTCTTAGCCATATTAACGAGGTGGCCGTATAAGCACAGTAAGGTGTCATATGTCAATCATCTCAACTTTCTTTTTTCTTAAAGATTCTACTGCATATCAAACAATATATTTAGTGCTGAATTAAGTGCGAAAATGGCTATTTTATTGCTAGAACAGAACATACCGGTACTTAATTCTACGAACACTACTTATACTCTCGAGCACTAGTATTTTGCAAGATTTCTTTTTGTTTTTCACTTGTCTGGCCATTAGAAAGCAGATTTGGTTTTGAGTAGACATGTTAAAAAGGTGAATTTATAAAGGAATGAATCTGTTGGGATTTCAGAAAATGGCCATTGGCTGCATTTAATGACATGGTCGCATGAACAGGGTTTCTTAAAAGGAAATGGATGGACAATACTGAACAATTTTGCTATGAAATGGCCTGCAAAGCAGGTGTATTTTGAAATGTGAATAATATGACACTGTTTATGTGACTAATACTCTCCTGCCATACTGGACATTGAAACTGACATAGTTGAGGCGAGTAAAAAATGATACCAAGGATGAGGTTGACAGGCTATTTACTTTCAAGATGATGACTGTGATCAATGTACCTGTGAGCTTTCAATGAAAAAAAGACCTACCCAGCACGCAAGCCATCACAAATCAACATGGCCCTAATGGGTCTTTTGCATTAGTTGATCATGTGATCAACGTTCTTTAAACACAAAAACAGTTTGCTTTTGAAAAATTTTGTTAGCACAAACTGAAAGAGCATATTATAATAAGGTAACCTGTTAATTTTCAGCCGTATATCTCAAAAGTAGTGATTGCAACGGCTGCTGAAAATTAGAAGGATATGTATGAGAAAAACAACTTCTGCCACCTAGTCATGCTTGTCTGGTTTTCCATACAGGTCCTTGTAAACTTTGAAATTTTCAAACTGTCGTAAAATATTTCCTTAAGTATTACAGGGCTCAAATCTCCTTTTTATTTGTAACAGGCAACTTGAGCCGGCCCCTTAAATGCATAAGGGAAAGATTCAACGACAGTTTAGAAATTTCAGAATTTACAGGATTTGTATGGAAAACCAAACAAGTGTGAATGGGTGGTACGAGTTGTCTTCCTCATACAAATCCTCCTAATTTTCAGCCACCGTTGCAGTGGATAATCTTGAGATAGATGGATGAAAATTTACAGCTTACTTAATTTTAATATGCTCTTTCAGTTCCTGCTAACAAAATTTTCCAAAAGTGAACTATTTTTGTGTTTACAGAAAGTTGATCAAGTAACCAACTATTGCCCTTTCTTAACACGCTGGCTGCATGTTGGGTCTCACAGCACATCAACCCTATTACACAGGAAAAAATAACGGATTCCCATTTTTGGATATTTTTGGGTATTTAAAGAATACCCATAAAAATCCCAAATTTGGCAAAGTGAGACAAGTCCCAACCAGGGAATTCCCAACCAAGTTCCCTGATTGGGACTTGTCTCACTCTTCCAAATTTGGGATTTTTGTGGGTATTCTTTAAATACCCCAAAATATCCAAAAATGGGAATCCGTTATTTTTTCCTGTGATTCAGATCTTGAGAATGATAACACTCACAAACCTTCAGGTCCAGGATACAGAAGTAGTGTGGTAGGCTTGGTCATGATTTTGTGAAGTTCAGGCCAATCAGTTTTAGAATTAAATCTTCTTCCTCTGCGAATGACGAGTTTCTCTGGGGGCAAACACACCTCTAATAGTGGTACGGTTGTTAAAAGTCGAGATTCCTGAAAGGAAGAGCAGGATAAAAATTATACATTAATACTATCAGTAACTATTATTAACTATTAGTACTGGTAGTACATGCAGTAAGACTTTTTATTTACTGGTATCTAAAACAGGTTGGAAAATCTACATAATTATTTAACAATTAATGAATGAGGCTAAGTATCTTATGAAGAATTATGGAGTTTGAGGAGGGTGTTATCCGTAAAGGCTGTAGGCCGAGGCAGATAACACCCTCCGAGATCTCTATAATTCTTCATATGATACAAAAGCCGAATTCAATAATATTATTGTTTTATTATTCATTCAAAATAATTCCTAGTTTAAAAACATAGCTAAAAAATGCTTACCTCCATTGATTTTACAATGTTAAGTTCACCTTCCATAGTGCACGTTCAGGGTTGTTCAGCTCCGCAAATATTCTCCAAATAGCAAATGTCGCCCTTCGAGTTGTCTTCTTGCTGTTCTTGCATGTTGTTAGCTATTTTTTCGCCTAGTTCTTACTCTGGAAACAAGTGAAATGTCTGCCATTTTTCAAGTTCACAACCAAAACAACTCAACCTCATTCCCAGGTCTTCTCGGTTAACGGTGCATTAACCTGCAAAAACGCTGCATTTTTGATGTCATTCCCTCGCTAAACACAAAATTCTTCCAAATTTGGTCATCAGTAACTGGTTATGGAGAATTACCGGTAAACGTGTGCTTTTAGCCTATCAGAATCTGGGAAATTTTTGAATGAATAATATGACTATTAACAGTTAAAATGCTACTACATATTATTTCTACTGACACATACCTCACGGGGATGCTGTAAGACATGAACTCTTGTGGAAATCTGAAGGTACTTGGATGGAAAGTGGGCACACAGGCAGACTGACAGAGGTCTCCTGAAAACATTTTTTTACAGATTGAGGGGTTAAAAATCATACTGTAATAATTGCTGGTTTTCACCATCATGCCATCAAAAATAAAAATCAAAACCATTCAATAGATAAAGTCCAGAATCTGGGAAATGAATGAAGGTGAATGAATACAAAGACCTTCGCCAAGATTCAGGTTGGTGCAATATTTCACATGCAAGATATTAGGTGAAATGTTTCACCTAAAAATTAATTTATAGAACTTTCTATGGAGATGCAATGGTGGACGGAAACCAACAAAAACATCTGTTACAAAGTTTTGCTAAACAAAAGTGTGAATTCATCCCTCAAAGGACTAAAAAACATTTAAGTAATACCTTCCCTAAAACAAGGCCTGTTCAGACAGCAAAATCCCCCAAAATAAGTCACTTTTTAACCTACAGGACAGCTCTCTCGGCTGCCACATAAATGCTGCGTCACACAAAAGGTTAGAAATTCAAGCATACTCTATTACAAAATGAAAATTCTTTATCACAAAATGAAGATTCCTTTTGGGGTGAAAATGTGTACAGCAAAAATATAAGTTTTTAGCTTCTCTAAAATGTAATGAAAGCAATAATTTAGGAGGATCGATAATTCTTTATTCTTGCAATTTGGTGGCATCATGTGAAAACCAAGAAATGATTTACTCTACTTTAGAAATCTTATAATGAACACCTCTATACGACAAACACCTCCCCCCTGAAAGAGACACTAAGAGTTACCCCCCTGTCATTCTTCAGCATTTCTTGAACTCTTTCACTCCTGGACTACAATTTAGAGATATGATTGATTTTGTCAGTCTAGCTTTTTAATCTGTGGTCAAAATCCTATGTTCAATGATAGAGACGTGAAGGTGAATTTTGAGCCTGTTATATGTGTTGTAGTTAATTTTTTATCCCACGTAATTTTTATTTTTCCTTTGTTTCAACTTCATTAGCATACGTTAGCATATCCAAAAACAAAAGAAAAACAAAAATTACCTGAGATAAAAAATTTAAACTTTTTACAATGAATAAATGACGTTTATTCAGTCAGTGACACAGGTAATTGTTTAGTGGCCTCAGCTCCCTTCAGTCTCCTGTAGCGTAGTGGGGGAGCATCTGGACTAGTAACCAAAAGGTAATAGGTTTATCTCTTATTGGAGAAACTCAGATTTTTTCTTACAAGCTGCCCCTGTCACTGACTGAAAAAAAATTTATCTTTCTCAAAATCCTGTGTTATTATCATTCAATGAAACCTGTTAATTAGCAGATCTTCAGGATGTTACAAAGAGAGACTTGTTTTTGTGTCACCACTAGAAGTGAAAGGGTTTAATCTCTTTGAGGTAGGCAACTCTATGATGGACACTCCATGCAGTGTAGGTTCTGATGGAATCCATTACATAAAGACTTGTCTCTCCCCTGCTTCTTGATAATTATAAAGCTTTCCCTGTTACCCTATTACTCCCAAAAGTGGCATGGCACCTCTCTCCTCCAAAAAAGCTCCCACTAGGTAATTCAATAAAAACGGAAATAAAATAGTAGGTACACGGTGGACCTCTGCGGAGGTGAGAGTCCTGAAAAATATTTGTCCAACTCATCAATAATTTATAAAGAAAATACAAAGTAAATTAATGTTTTATGACTGCTTGGAAATTAGATGGAAAACTGCCCATTTTTGAATCCTTAATTTTTCCTTCTAAAATCATTTTGTTTGAGAAGTAATATCAAGCATTCCACACAGTGTTTCATCACCAGTTCTCAAACTCATTAATAATTCATTAAGAAAATACAAAGGAAATTAATGTTTAATGAGTGTTTGGAAATCGGATGAAACACTGCTTAGTATTTGCATCCTTAATTTCTCCTTCAAAAATGATTTTGTTTGAGAAGAAATATCAAACATTCGACACAGTGTTTCATCACCAGATGAAACACCTCGAAGTTCGTCAAAAATACTCCGCTGCGCGTCGTATTTTCAACTCTCTTCTCGGTGTTTCATCTGGTGATGAAACACTGCATCTCATGTTTGATATATTACATGAAACACCCCGAAGTTTGTCAAAAATACTCTGCTGCACATTTTATTTTCAACTCTCTTCTCAGTGTTTCATCTGGTGCAATTAATCCTTTCGGGATCAATTTATTGGTCTATCATAAAAAAAAAGCATGGGTTTCACAGAAAATTCTTAACATCATCAATGCAACTTTGTTTTTCATCATCTTATTTTTGAAGTCGAGCCCTATAGTGTACGATGATTGAAAATATCCGATAGCAATCACCATCATAGCTTGCATGCAGACTGCAAACGTCTTCTATTCCCTTTTTGCACGCGGAAAAGGGAGGTATGCGTAACACTGTCGCTAATCGTGTTCCAGTTTCTGGTGAGTTCCCACGATTTACTTTTCCATCGGGTGATTTGATGTTGCTACATACAGTACAGACATACCGGTATATACGGTTGCTATATACACAGACAGCAGTATAAAACATCTTTGATTTCTTCGCCAAGGCTTTTCTTTTAGCCGATGAAATAAGAAACAAGCTTACTTACTTGCACCTATCACACATGTCCCTTTTTTCCGGTGGGTTTAAGGGGACATCTGCGAAAAGCCGAAAAAATTCGCCATCCTCCTCGTCCGCCATAATGAATTTTGAAAGAATAAACCGCTGACTAAAAATATCTAAATCTGCAACCGCGACTACGAACACAACTTCAGTGGAAGTACTCATCTTCGATAGATACGTCATATATGAACCATAAACTGCCATCTGTTTCCGCAGCAGGTCGAGGCAAATATGGCGGCCTACTGGGTGAAGAACTTCAGAATTTATTGTTGTCAGTTGCAAAATAAAAGATTAATGTAAGCTAAATAAGATGAAACTCCATCAAGTGCTAACTGGAGCAACGAATACATTCGACGACAAAGCAGCAGTCGCCGTTGGAAGCGTAGATGATCACCCTTTTACGGTAAGCAAGGTGCAAAATCTCATTTTCCGATTGATCGATCAGCGATCGCGGATTGTTATGTTAACACATGAGTAATGCAATAACACTGACAAATTCCATGTATAACTGAGAATTGCATTTTATTCCAATCTAACTTGCTTCAAGGTTTTGCTCAATATTTCTTAAGTATTTCAAGTTTAAAGCTAGTCTCTCAAAACTCAGTTGAAAAAATCTCAAAACTCACTAGGTACGCGCGTTTGCTTGTTCAGATCATATTTCTTTCTTTTGTCTTGGTGGTGTTAATTTTATAGGTAGCCTATCCTATTTTAAAGATAAAGCCAGTGACACAGTTTGCTGGTCAACAAATGTTGCAACTCTTGTACAACAGCTAATTGTTGAACAAAGTATTATGCAATGTTGAATCACAGCTTTCGACTATGGCGTTATTTCCGCCAAAATTCAAGCTTTTATATGCAAAATTGTTGCTTTGAGTTACAGTAATGCTTGTTTTTACAATCCAGTATTTGACTTATATAATCCAACATTGAGCATTCACTATTCAATGTTCGCATTTCAAAATCCAATATTCAACCTCTTTAATTCAACATTGTGCATTGACAATTCAACATCCATATTTCAAATACTATTCACATACGACATTCTTGTTTTACTTCTTCGCAAAACGAAAGGCCATATTTTAAATCCATCTTTCCCTCACATGTCAAGATGGCGTCAAAAACCCTGAGAAGGTCTTGATTGTGGAAACAGACCATTATTATTATCCATTATTATCAGATACCATTATTATTATTATTATTATTATTATTATTATTATTATTATTATTATTATTATTATTATTATTATTATTATTATTATCATATACCATTATTATCTTATGTTTAATGAGAACAGAGATGAGCTTTCTTCCATTCAAAAAGTTTCAAAATGGAAATAAACTTTATGTTAACAAAAACTTGGGTCAAAGATGATTTTTATCATTTCTTGTTTGTCAGGCTTATGCATCTGGTTGTGATGTTGTTATTCTTGTGAGTGGATTCACCAGAGTGCAAGTCATTCCTGGTTCACTGTATGGGTACAAGGAAGTCAGCTGTATAGACTGTTGTGATTCTGATGGAAAGGTACTTTGTGTTTCTAATGCACATGTTTAAATTTAATTTCGTTTTCAAGACAGTTTTGATTTGTTCTCCTTTTAACTTAAAGTACATTTTGTTGAAATCCAAAAACCTCAAAACCTTGATCAACATTAACTCATCATGTAGGTTAAGAGTGAAAATTTTCCTACTTTGTTGTTGAATTCTGTAGGTTTTTGGTTTCACTGATTTTTATTGTGGTTTCTCAGTGTTTATCAACCATCTGTGGTTTTATAGTTTCCAATAGGTTACTAGTTTGAAAAAATTCAAACCAAAAAAAATGCTGAACCATAACATGCATACAAGAAAATTGTGAGTACAAATTTAGCCTATTCACAGTGGTCTAAATTTGCAGTGTAATTTTTAATATTGAATCCAGGCCAAGTGGTGACATAATATGCAAATTCTATGTAAAATGTAATTTGGTTATGTTAATTTTATAAGGTGCAAAATAGCATTTAAATATGATCTAATGCAGATGTTTCATTACTGTGAAACTCACAAAACCAAGAGCACCAGAATTACTTATGGAAATTTATTGTGTTACAAGGAGAAAGCCAATAAGGCATGAGAAAACTAAACCTCAAACAGTAACAGTAATTAGTTTGTAGTTTTGTAGTTTACTGTCGTGTCCTGAACTTACAGTGTAATTCTGTCTGGTCATTACACAATCAACATTCCTAAAATTTTTCCAGGTGTTCACAGTTTTCTAAGTTTGACAATAAGTGGGTGCACTTACAAAAACACAAATAATCATGCATGGATTAAAACAGTGTAACTAGATTAGAACCTTTTTTTACTTTCTGGTGGTATTTACCTTATTTTTCTGATGCCTGACAGTGAATTTAAATTTATTAACCAATAAATAATTTATATCTGAAGTTCACACTATCTTTGTTCTGTGAAACTTTTAATCATGATTATTATCATAGAATGAAGATGATGTGAACTACGGAAATATATATTTAAATGAAGATATAATAATATTATTGCACCAGTTATGGCAGTTTAAGCAAATGGAGTGCTGCAGCACTAGTGCAGAAGCCATGGGTTCAAATCCCATTAAAGCTACCCAATTAACAATTGAGGAAAAAATTAATTTAGCAATAATATTACTTAAATTGCTTTTTCAAATGCTACAATTACAAAATGTATATCTTCATTTAAATTAACAAATGCTTAACTGAATAGATTGCAGCATCCTATGGGAAACAAGTCATTTTATTTGAAGCCAAATCAGCAACAGCCACTAACAACCATGTAAGTGTGAAGATTTATTTAACCTTTTATGTTTAGGTCTAAGCAGTGACCGGAAACTACTTTCTCCTGGGTATGTTAATATATATCCAAAATGGGAGTTCAGGAGAGTGACGGAAGTGGTCAGCACCATATTTTTACACTAAATAATTATCGCAGTGTCCAACAGGAAGGGACTTTCATGAACCCCTCGTCACATAACAGTGGAGCAAGAGAGAGTGTTGAGGTCTTTTTTGGTGTCAGTAAAATACCGATTTGGGGTTGGATCAATTATTCATTTCTGATTTACATGTTTTGACTCATAAACACAATAGGAAAAAAAAAACAAACTAGCGAAAGAGCAAAGAACCCTGATACTGACCCTGAGTTGTCCTTTTACAGATGGCCAGTATTTTATGACCATGTTTTATAATCTGTACAGTGGAAGCTATTTTATGTAGTTGATATACATGTATTAACAAACGAGATTCAGAGACGAATGAGGTTTCATTTCAGGTGTCAGCCTATAGGAGCTTAAAAATAAAGGTAGAATCTAACTGGTAAACCTGAGAGTGTCCTACCCAAGTTTGCCGGCTTACGGGAATGTTAATTACAGAGTTTGTATGTGTTTCAGGCCATCATATAGTTTGGTTCACAGAACCAAACTATATGATGTGAGTTTGAATTATGTAAACAAAACAACAGAAATACATGCTACATATACAAAAATTTGTGATGAAAGAACCAAACAAACTGGCAAATAAGAGATGTGCAAAAGCAATTATAGCAGTACTTGCTATTTGTCCCTAAAGTAATAACTAGCATGAAAAGCCGTGATACACAAAGTTAATCCTGGCTCACAGTGAAGATTCAATAGCATTCAAATTTACATGCTTCAGGAAAATATACAACTTTCATATGAACATGGCGGCACAGGAAAGTCCTAGTCACGTGACTTGTAGCTTAATTCAGTTTCAGTTCACCCCGAGCGTGAATGGTGTGAAACACTCTGCACAGCTGAAAAGCTGCAAGTCTGTGACCTCAGCATTCAGTCATCATCATCAACTAGAAAAAGCACTACGAGCCTGTGAACTGCTCTTTCGACATTTGTGTACTTCGCAGTGTCGCCCTGACACGGTTCTTGTATGATACAGTGACCTGTCGAACTTTGTTGTTGTGGCTGGGATTGGGTTAAGTAATGAGGCCGATCCTCCAATCACCTTGAAGAGCATTGCTGTCTTGAATCAAAATGATGTCCCCTTCCGTGGTATTCCTCCTTTCCACATGGCTGTATCTGTCCCTGACTCTTTTCTTAAATGGTCCCTGTGGCACCTCAGGCAAAGCTCTGCCGGGTAGGAGATCATTCTGACAAAGTTCACTTCCATCATCTGGATGGTTTCTTGGGTGTTAGATTGACTAGCTGCACTTCCTCAAACATCATGGTTTGCAACTCATTGGTCTCCGACAGCTGCATTTAGCACTTTCTTGATGGATTTCACAAATGCTTCTGTTACGCCACTCATCCATGGAGCATCGCCTGGAGTAAAATTCCGTTTGATTTTATGCTTCACACAGAATGCCTGGGGTTTGTGCTGGTCTAGCCTGCTGCCAGCATTCTTTAACTCTTTAGATGCAGACACGAGCTGGGTGCCGCAATCACTGTAGATCTTCTTAGACCAGCCTCTGATACTTTAGAATGGCCGCATCACTTGGAGGAAGGAATCAGTTGAGTAATCCTTGCTGACATTGACATGCACTGCGTGGGAGGAGAAGCAGACCAAAGTCACTCCATTGCATTTTCGGCGAACTCTCTTCTGCACCTCTTCCATGATAGTTAATGGTCCGAAGAAATCTATCCCAAATGTATAGAATTGCAGCAAAGGCTGCAGTCTTGCATACAATGCACTTGTGACAATGCTTTTGACTAACCTTTGGAGAATAGTAATCCAGAAGCGACTTCAGATTATAGCAACAGTAGCAGCAACGTCTAGGTGTCCACCCTTCCTGTGTTCATCTTCAGCAATCAGTTGCAATAGACGGTGATTGAGAGGGGGAAGGATGAACGTTTGCCTGTTCCGTGTCGCCTGCATCCAGCACTCCGCTCAGCCTCTGACAGCTACAACAGTCAAGCCATCTTTATACTTCGGACAGAGTCTAATAAACTTGCCCTCTTCAACGTCCTTGGTAATTAACTGTTGTACATCCCTAATCTTGAATTGCTCAGCTGCATCAATGTCTTTGGTCTTGAGTTCACTCAGTCTGCTGGGTGAGTGTTCAGTAACTTTATTATGACACTTATAAAGCTTCAGTTTTCTAGCTGTGGTATTCGTCAATAGCTCATTCTTACTAAACCTTCCAATGTTGATTCTAGTTTCCAATATCTCTTTCTCCGTTGCCTAGCATTCGTGACTGCTTTGTGGTGCTCGGGTGGCTCTTCTACATTGGCATGGCTTGATACTGGCCACTCCTCTACTGACTGCCTGAAAAAGTCTGGGCCTCTCTGCTATGCACCATGTGGTCCTGGTTCTGTGGGGTTTTTCCTTCAAGTTACCCAGTCTGCAATGTTCAAGTTTCCTGCTACCCAAAACTACTCCTGAGGACTTGTCTTGAATCACTTTGATTTGCTTCGCTGCGTAGGTATTGAAGCGATAGCTTTCCTTGCTTATCATGGCCTTAACTATTTTTGCTGTGTACAATGTGATAAACAACAGTGAAATGGTATCTGGTCTCAGCCGGTGTGAAAACTCTCAGTCGCTTGCCAATAACAGTGCCACTCAGCTCAAGGCACACAATGTCAATAACCAGGTAACAGGAGCTATCCTGTTTTTGCTGGCAATAATTCGTGCTTCATATGTCCTATCTTTTGTCAACCACCTCGCGTAGGCAACCACTAGGTATGGATTGCCAGAGCCATCTGAGAAAACCACCTACACTGTGTCTTAAATTGCATTGCTAGGTTTAATCCATCTAGGGAATTCTACTTCTTTTAACTGGAATAACTACTCGAAGAAAGTTACCCAGTCATGTCTCAAGCGGTCGGGAATGGGATCATCCCAATCCAGTTTCTTGTCCTGTCCCCAGAGCTTGCAAAGTATGATCTTCACATAAACCATAAACAAGGATACCAGACCCATAGGGTTGTACATTCCATTGACTTGAGTCATTTCATTCTCTTGGTTAGTGCTTCCGGGATGCTTGCTGAGATTTGCTCTCAAGTTGGTCTGGCTGTTTGTGTATCTTTTGCTTCCTTTTTAGAGAAGTTCAGTTTGATGTTTGACGTGTTCCAACCCATACCAAGCACTCTTTCCAATTCCATGGCATCATCACTTGTGCCGAACAAACCTCGTGCGAGATGCTGATCTTCATGGTTCTGTATTTGAGCTTCTTGCCCTATTTCCCTGCCGACTCTAGGCGTGGCCCACCCTTAATTCTTAAACTGTCATGCTCAAGGATTTTGTCAATTTCAGATGTCAAGGTCAAGGCTTCTTCTCTTGTCTTAACGCTTTCTGAGATGTCATCCATATAGCTTTTTTTCAGAATAGTCTCACAGGAGCGTGGAGACTCATCACTGCTCATTTCTGCTGTTTTGCAAAGCGATACTATTGCTATGGTTCCTGACGGGCGATCTCCCATGTTCACGCCTGTCATCGCATACATATGTTTCAGGTTCTTTCTGGTCATCTAGATCCCTCCAAAGGAAACAATGAGTCCTTTGATCTAACAGAGGTATATTAATTGAATGCTACTCCTTCCTCTCTAAACCTTAGCAAAACATTGGTCAAGTTGGTCAACATGTCTGGGCCCTTGGCATAGTTCTTGTTTAATACATGTCACCAGAAGTTTGCACTACTGTTAAACGCGATGTGGCAAGGAGTGGTCTTGCTTTCTGGTTTAAGAACTTCATGGTGGGATATGAAAAAAAATTGGTAACTTGTAGTCTTTGGTCTCGTTTTCAGTCAATTTGCGGGCAACACTGCTTTCAACCATACCGGTACTTTCAATCTGCTTGCGCTATACTGTGGTGTGTACTGGGTCTCTACTGAGATGTCTTTCTGTGGCTTTCAGGGCAGTGAAAGCAGCCCTCTTGTTCTCTGGTAATGTTCTAGGATCCTTGATCCACAGGTAGCCTGCCTCCCATTTCTTCTGATCTGCCTTTTAGACAAGTTTGTCTTCAATAATCATGTATTCCGTTTCCTCCTTTAGTGTCATATGTTTTCCACCTGGATGACACTGTCCACATTTAGATGATCCACATCTCGGGTTGCATTCAACCCTTGACTGCCCTAACTCATAGAAGTCATTCACTCGCACCATGGTAAGATGGACAGTTGCGTGTTGTAGAACCTTGTTGATCTCTTCAATGAGTGTAGGGTGTTTACCTCCTATCAGCGTTTCAAATCCATTCTCTAGCAGCAACAAGTGTCCAGTTGCTTGCTTTCATACAGGGTGGATATAAGGCAGCATACTCGTACTCAATGAGACAGTCAACTTGTCCTTCCCTCCCTCTGTCTACTGATGAGGACTTGTGTTTTTAAACAGCTTCACAATACCATCTACTTTGATTGGACAGATGTCTGTAGATACTGTATGTGATGTACTCCAAGTATGCTTCTGGTGACAACAGCATTAGCATTGTCAATCAGGCAAAGTTCATAGCCACAGGACTGTCGCTCTTCAACTACTCCCCCAACCTTAACTATGTGAAGGTTGACTTTGTGTTCTCTTAGCTTCATCAGTTTAGCTTGGTGAAAAGTTATAAAGGAGAGGGTGCTGCCCCCATCCCACGGTGTGTTCTGGGTGGTCCACTAGCCTCTTCGATTGCCTCCATTAAGCTTCTGGAGTTGTAGGAGGATCTCCTCATCCCTGCCAGTGGTCATTCCGAATATCTCTTCACTATGGAGGATATACCGGACGCGTGTGCTTCGTGTAGCATGTTGTGGTGAGGCATACCCCAACCGTCTTCTCTACAAGTGAAGTTTCTTCTGCAGGATTTTGTCGTATGGCCTTGCTCAAGGCACTTAAAGCAAGCATTGTTCTCCTGAACCAATTTAACCTTCTCTGACGCTGATTTGCTGTTAAAGGCTTTGCACCTCTATATGGGGTGTCCATGGTGGTTGGGGTGCATCCAACAAGGCGGTTTCTCTTTACTGGACTTTCTGTCAAGTAATAATGTATGTGACAAATGGCTGGGCTCACTGATTTTCTCTCTAAGGTCGCAAAACTTGTATTCAATCCTCTCTCTAAATAGCAGCAGTAGGTTCAGGTGGGTTGGGAAATTGTCTTTGGCAATTCCAGGTTGTGTCTTGCTGGTAGCAATCTTTATCTACTCCTTCTCAACGGGTTCTGGTAGCTTCTCTTCAATCATACTGATGATGGTGGAGTTACTGATCTCGTTTTCCAGGTCCAGACTCTTCAGATCTATTTGCGCTTTTTTGATCACATTTACCATCTCAAGCATTCCTTTAACGTCTGCGTCTACACTCTTTTTTAGCTTTTTTATTTCCGACATTATAGCATCCAGCAGCTTGCCCTCATCTCCATTCTTCTTGTCAAGTCGCTCCCATATTTGTTCAATGTTTTCTTCTAAACCTTACAGTATACTTTATTTCTTACTTCATCAGATAGAAGTGCCTTTGTACAAATGCTTCCTCACTAGGCTTGTAGAGTGGTTTGATGTGCTTTACAAATTCCTCTTTTAATTTTGCATACTTTCTTAAGTCTCCTTTGAATGGGTCAAATTTTATTTTCTCGAGTCAGATGCCACTAAATGTACCGGGCTTGTCGTAAGGTGCAGCAGCTGATTAATCCTTCGCACTGTTTTGGCTGATAAAGATCTCCACCATTTCACAAACCTTGTAGTACTTTTTTGCTTCCCATTGCATCTGTGTTAGGGACAAAACCATTCTGGATTGATATTTGACTTTATAACAATAAAACAAGCCAAGGAACGTTAATGATTATTTTTGTTTTTTAAACTTTATTTCCACACAAGGAAATTTTTTCCCAACAAGAAAACCCACGATAAGGCTGTAAAAGTGGCAGGAAAACAAACACTTACGCTACAGGAATTGGCGCCAAAATTCTCACCTTTCACAGAAAATGTTTCTTTCTGAGACATGTTTGAATCTCCCAATGTTTTACTAACTTTGAAATTGTTACAATCTTCATAAGTTGTGATGCCTTCTAAAAAAAGAGATTTAAATAATCCCTCTTTCAAGCAAAAGGGAAAGAAAACTCTGGTTGCAGCTAAAAAAAGGTCTGGAAAAGCATATTCACCTTGGTTGCGAACAACAGTCCTAGAAAGGATTGCGAGCGGTATCTCGTCCAAAACAGTACTTGCTGTGGCTGGAATAAGAGACAAAAACGCCCCCAAAAGATGGAAAGACATCTTTCAGGTGAGCAGAGATGTGACTCCATTGAAAAGATCTGGTGGCAGGCCGAGAAAAGCAAAAAGACACTCTCCCGAAGAAAAAGTTTTGGAGAAACTCGCCAAAGACAACCCTTATGCTAGCATTGGAGGTTTTAGTGTGTCGACTTTTGATTAATCTGGTATTGACATCAGTTCAAGAACTGTCAGTCCACAACTGTACAGCAGAGCAGATGAGAGGTTTGGCTACAAAACTCGAAATAAATCTTGCAGCGAAGACAAATTGGACTGAGTCATTGACATGCGGATGAGATATCTCGGAGGCATGCACAAAACAATCGATCAATCCCAGTGTTGTCCACAAGATTATTTTACTTCGTAAATGAATGACCTCTTTTTTTGGTGTCCTACGATGAAAAGGCTGCTTTAGAAAAGGCAAACAGCTTTAGAGTTCCCTACCATCTGAAGAAGTGCACTTTCTTCATTCTGCGATAGGACCAAGAGGCTACTACAAATTTTGGCTTTCAGAAAACAACGCCAACGATGCCGAAGTCAGGCACTTTGTACTCAACAATATTCCACCTTCAGCATATGCACCAAACCTTGGCAGTCCTCCAGTGCCTATGGTAATTTCCCCACTCAGCTTTTTTATTTGGGATCGTCTTGGCCGAGCAGGAACGTGCAATAATCCATCTAAACAGCATTGTAAACCTTTGATACATGAGCGGTTTAGACAATCAAAGATTCAAGTTATGTTACCACCACCGAAGGGCCATGCGGCAAATCCAACGGAGCTGTTTCAATGGCAAGCTCCTGGGAGAAGAGACCAGACATATGGTCCAGCAAATTTTCGAGAGGCCCGAATAGCAGTGTCAGAAGTTCTTGGCTGCCTTCGCTTTAATACAGCAGCATTTAGTGGCTGGTACAAAGCGTGAGCAACAGGCTGCCATCTTCAAAACAGAAGGAAGACCGATCTTGTCACAAGAAGAGTTGTCAGATGACGAAAGTCCGAACAAAATGTTGTATTTCAGTGGCCAAATAAGCTGTAGACTGTCCTAAAGTTTTTCTTCCGTTTTCCTGTCAAATTCACATAAAAACATCTGCAAACTCGTCACAATATTCCAAACACAACAACATTCGTTTTCAGTGAAAACATGTGATCAGTGTTTCTAAGAAATCATGTGATTTTGCGTACCTTTGTGATTTCGTTACCAAGTTTGTAGACGCCGTAATGCAAGTCCTCATTGCGTGATCAACGTGAAAATATTTTTCCATGTGTGGAATTTAAGAAAGTTAAAAAAAAATGTATCATTAAGGTTCCTAAGCTTGTTTTATTTTTATAAAGTAAAATGTCAATCCAGAACAGTTTTTTCCAGCATACTAGGTATTCTTCTTGTGCCTTCTCACATGCACACATCCTAACATTCAGTTGTTTCTGGGCGTCCTTAACTGCACTAACTAGGTGTTCAGTGGTTGTAGCACTCGCGGTCGCTATAAGGTTTTGGATGGTCTTAATTTACGTCTGGAACTTAATTTCTTCCTGGTCTCTTATGAGCCAACGATTCTTCCATCTGTTCCTTTGCTTTAATTCTAGCTTTCTCATTTTCTTCCTCCTTAGAAATTTCTAACAACTCGCATGACCTTACATGTATCTCTGCTTCCTCTATGTCCTTTAATACCAGTTTTGAGCTCCATTTTTTGTGCTTTAGCTGCATTTGATTCTTCCAAATAGCTGTCTGTTTTCCCCTCCATCTCACTAAATGTTTGATTCAGTTCCTCAGTCCATTTCTCATCCAGTTCATCCCCAGGAAGTAATTTCACATATGCGTCATGTTTGCCTTGAACTTTTTTCCATACAGCTCTCAATGTATCATATCTGCTTTCGATGGTTGTTACTAGTGCTTCGGCAGTCATAGTTCGGTCTAGGTTGCTAATCACTCAGGTAAATTTTCCCTTTGCTGTTATACAAGCTTCTTTGCTGATCCTTGCTCGCTCATATCTGTTTGGCAATCCTCGCTCCTACTCTCTGTTGGCATTTCTCTGTTGGAAGGTATGAAGTTGGCCTTCTGTGGAGATTGAGCTTCCTAAAAATCACATACAAGCGGAGAAACGGCTACAACAACTTAAACGGTGTTTCCAACCTACAGCTGTAGTCCTGAATTTGTTGCACAGTACAGACAGTGATGAATGGCGGTATAGTTAAGGGTTATGCAGTGAAATTGTCATATGAACAAGTGGCTGGTACCAGCAGCCACATATGGTACCTTCCCCATCATGAAGTGATCAACCTCACGGCTCAAGGCTCAAGGCTCAAGTAAGGGTGGTATATGATGCAGCTGCACAATTTGAAGGAACTATAAGATGACACTACATTTGTTCAGGAAAGCAGATTTGCCGTGCATTGCTGCTTGGGCATTGTAACAGACTGCCACCAACAATGAGGCTATGTTTGGGGAGGATATTCATGAAATTGTCAGGAAAATTTTCTCTGTGCACCATAGTTGGTTTTTGAAACCATCAACATAACAGGCAGTGCATTCATTATTGGAACTAATGTGATTGTTACGCAAAGGGAACTTTTGCCAGACTAAATTCATTTCGAACATCAAGGATGTATTGGCTGCCATTCCAGCCGAAGAAAGAACAATCAAGAATCTGGACCTTGATAAACTTTCCCTAGAGAGAGCCCTCAGACAGTAATGGAATGTTGTTACTGATATGTTTGGAGTCAAAGGATCGCCGTCATCAGGACAACTGAGGAACGACACAAGGCGAGGGTGTTTGTCAACATTGAGCTCTATCCTTGATCCTCTTGGTATGATTGGGCTAGTTGTGTTGTTTGAGCTAGGGGAAAAGTGTGGCAAATATCTTGACTTTGTCAGAGTATTCCACACTTCTACACCTTTGGGAATTGTTGAACCAAGTAAAGAATGACAAAGGGTTGTGACTAGGGGAAAAGTGTGACAATATCCTCACTTTGTCAGAGTATTCCACTCTTCCACACTTCTGAGAAGTGTAGAACTAAGTAATGAATGACAAAGGGTTTGTGACTAGGGGAAAAGTGTGACAACATCCTGTCTTTGTCCGACTTTTCCACACTTCTACACCTCTGGGAAGTGTAGAACTAAGTAAAGAAAGAGAAAGAGTTTGTGACTGAGTAAAAATGTGACAATATCCTCAGTTTGTCAGACTATTCCACACTCCCACACCTCTGAGAAGTGTATAACTAAGGATGAAAAAGGAAAGTAACGATCCTGTGGCCAGCGCTAGACATTGGTGACATTAATGTCTTAGAAGATTTGTGAATCGTAGAGGACCACCTAAATCCATGTACTCTGACAATGGAACCAATTTTGTCTGCACCGGAAAGGAGATCAGACAGGCAATGGAGAATTGGAACCAACACCAAATCAAGAATGAACCCCTGAGGAGAGGGTACAGTGAGTGTTCCAGCCACCAAAGGCTTCCCATGCTAATGGGGTCTGGGAAAGGCTGATTTGTAGTGCTTGAACAGCCCTGAAAGTGATACTTGAAAAAAGTTTTGTTGAAGAAGATTTAGAGGCAATCTTTAATTCCAGACCACTTTGTGCTGTTTCAGACGACCCGAATGACTTTCAACCATTAACACTAAATCAACTATTGTTGCAGAGAGATTAGTAATTTGCCACCTGGATCCTTTGTGAAAGAAGATATGTTGTGGGGAAAGAAATGGAGACAGAGGCAGATATAAGGTGACCACTTTTGGAGACGATGGCTGAAGAAGTATGTTCCAGCTCTACAGGAGAGACAGAAATAGCACAGACCTCGACAAAACGTGCAGGTTGGAGAACTAGTACCTCTAGTGGATCAAGACCTTCCCAGGGGAGAATGGCATGTGAGCCATTAATGTCAGCAAAGAGATTGGCTCGTGGAAACTGTTGAAGTCAAGACCGGATCTTCCTCGTCGTTTTTGCGACCCATACAGAAATCTTTTGTGTTAGAGGGAGCAGAGAACCTCTATCGTGATTAAGACATTTGTTAGGATAAAGGATCGGACATTGACATTGTCATTGACACTTAGTTAGTGGACTAAGTTTGTTTGGGAACTCACGCCTAGTTTGTTATTGAAATGCTTCACTTAGGTTGCACGTGGGGCAGGGTGTTGTGGCCGGGTACCCTGTTTCTTCTTCCCGCCTTTAAGGTCATGTGATAAGCTGTTTTTGTACGAAGTTACTCGATGTATTAGCATGGAGCAATTTCACCCAAAGTTTTTGAAGCCTTTCACTGCTTTTAGTTTGATCTGGACAATATGTACATCCTTGTTCTGTATAGATTGAATGGTTTGTCCCGATAAAAGAGTTAAAAGTATGTTTACAGTGGATTTGCATGCCTACACACAAACTTGATCCTGGCTGACAATGAAGATTCAATAGCATTCAAATTTACTTGCTTCAGCAAAATATAAAACTTTCATGCAAACATGACAGTACAGCATGGTCCTAGTCATGTGACTTGTAGCTTAATTCAGTCTCAGTTCACTCTGAGCACAAACGGTTTGAAACAGTATGAGAGTTGAAACAGGGTTTTGTGAATGTGGTTGTAAGTAGAGCTGTCCACTTACTAGAGCATCCGTTAAGAGAGCTTCCACTGCATTATCGTCTTACGCAAGAAAATGTTGGAATTGACTGCAGCTGCTTGTGCTCATCATCAGAGGTTGGCAACTGACCTCAGCTCATCATCTGGCTGGACTGCAAAAAGGCACTTAAACTACATGTACTGTAATTTTTTTCATAAACTGTAACATAGAGTATGTTATACAATAACAAGCAAGTCTTAAGAAGCAGTATTTTACATTAAAGGCAAGTACAGCTGTTACACTCCTTTTGGTTTTTTGGTCATTTTTTGAGCAGGCCCTCTGATAGGGTGCAAACCATTGAGAAGTTGTGCTGAATTTCCAGGTAACAATTATGCAACCGGAAAGGTCTATTATGGGAAAAATTATTCCTTTGTGCAAAATTTCACCATCACAAAAAGTAATAATAACGTAACATAACATTGTCAGAAACCCTGTTTAAGGTGGCTCCGTAATTAATACAAGAGCGTTTAGCTGTGACAAATTTTCCGTCATAACTTTTTCGATTTTAACGCGATGGCTGCGAAACTTTGCAAAGAACAACATATATCATTCGGCAATAATACGAAATATTCGGATTTCATTGATGGTAAATATTTCTTGAGAAATTAGCGCTTAAAAGGACCCTAATGTTCAAAGAAAATCGCGTCTAGTAAAAAAATTTGCTGATATTTTTTACTGAAATTTCTGGTATCGGCTTTAATTGATATAATAAATATGCCAGAGGAATTTCAGAAAAATCGTTGGAGCAGAAGTCCGTAACTAAAAGTCGCTCAAAATTCAGCTGCGAAATTGTTTTGGAATTTCAGAAATAAATTACTATCAGAAAGAAGGAGACACCAGTTTGAATTTTCGGGACAAGTAAATTCAATGTTTGCTAATTCTTAAAACAAAAGCCGATTGCCTATCGTGCTATTCTTTAAAAGGTACTTTTCAGTTTTAGAAGCACTATAAATTGCTCCAAACCTTGCTCTGAAGTAGAATGACTTGTTCCTCGACATTTTTAAAATATCCCTTGGCAGTTTTGGTTCAAACTCCTGCTACATACATTTTGATGTATTGCAATGCATCCTCAACGGCTTTTCTTGCTGTACGTTGTTTCCAATTCAGGAAAAGGTATTGGGATTGTAAGCTACCTTGTATCGAACCTCAGATAGAACTGTCCAGCGCCTTTGTTTATGACCAGAAAATGAGCACGTGCGGCAGCTCTGCGAGGAATTCGCACCTCAGCCAGGGGGATTTAATGATAATGATACCCATGTCTGTGAACCGATCTGTATAAACATGTATTGCAGAGCAAAACATAATAATCAAGAAAAATACCCATTCATTGAAGGAAGGAGTGACAAAAATTTCAGAGTTGTAAATTTATTCACGGGCAGTATTTTTGCGATAATTTTATTTTGCACTGTGATGTTATTCGGTTCACAGGCATGGTCATCATTGTCGTTCGTCCCCCTGGGTGAGGTGCGAATTCGCAGAACTGCCGTCGGCTCATTTTGTAGTCATAAACAAAGGTGCTGGACAGTTCTATCTGAGCTCTGATAACGAGGTAGCGCCCAATCTCAATACTTTTTTTTCCTGAGTTGGAAGCAACGAACAGCAGTAAAAGTCGTTGAAAATGAATTGCAATACATCAAAATGTATGCAGCAGGAGTTTGAGCCAAAACTGCCAAGGGATATTTTAAAAAATGTCAAGAACAAGTCATTCTACTTCAGAGCAAGGTTTGGAGCAATTTATGGTGCTTCTAAAACTAAAAAGTACCTTTTAAAGAATAGCACGATAGGCAATCGGCTTTTTGTTTTAAGAATTAGCAAACGTTGAATTTACTTGTCCCGAAAATTCAAACTGGTGGCTCCTTCTACCTGATAGTAATTTATTTTTTGAAATTCCAAAGCATTTTCACAGCTGAATTTTGAGCGACTTTTAGTTACGGACTTCTGCTGCAACGATTTTTCTGAAATTCCTCTGGCATATTTATTATATCAATTAAAGCCGATACCAGAAATTTCAGTAAAAAATATCAGCAAATTTTTTTACTAGACGCGATTTTCTTCGAACAGTAGGGTCCTTTTAAGCGCTAATTTCTCAAGAAATATTTACCATCAATGAAATCGGAATATTTCGTATTATTGCGAATGATATATGTTGTTCTTTGCAAAGTTTCGCAGTCATCGCGTTAAGAACCAAAAAGTTATGACGGAAAATTTGTCACAGCAAAATGCTCTTGTATTAATTACGGAGCCACCTTAAAAGGATTATTCGTTACATTTAGAGTTGTATTAACTTGTTTAAAATTTCACTTTGTCTTCAGGGGTTTCCTTTCCATTGGGAAAATTCAGCAGAACTGTGTTTAAATTTCAGGATTACTTGTTTATCGTGGAATAGAGAAGGTATTTAATAGCATAAATAATTATTATGCATATTAAACCTTTTCTCTCATGTAATAGTGGCCAAAGAAAAATTCTCAAGAACAGTCCATTTTTCTGTAAAACCCTAGGAATTAATTTAATAGTACTATGCAGAAAGTCTGCCAACAAGGTTTTATTTGGATGGTAACAATATAGGATTTTGTGCCCAGATTAATAACACATGTACAAACTGTTTAAGGAGTGGCAAATAGTTTTGCCATAATGTAGTCCTCGAGTTGAAGCATTAAATTTACAGCTGTATGGCAACAAAACAACACAGTCATGTTTTTGTTGTAGTTACAGTTTGTAATTTTTTATCTCAGGTAATTTTTGTTTTTCTTTTGTTATTGGGTATGGTAATGCATGTTAATGAAGTTGAAACAAAGGAAAAATACAACTTACGTGAGATAAAAAATTACCTACAATATTTACACGACATTAATAGAATTTTTGCATTGAAATTAATAAAATAATTAAAAAGATTACAGCAACACATACTAGACTGTGTATCATCTTCCAGTTTGCTCTGCGGTTCGGAATGCATTCTACTCTTGAATTGCTATTTTTTACTTGTTACTCATGACAAGTCTCTTTGTTGGAACTTAATGTAAACTATGGATGGTTCATATCAAATTTTGCCAATGCTATTTATTAGACAACTGACTTAAATCCTCTGACACAATTAACACTTTTTTTATTATTATGTCGCCTTTCAAAAACTTAGTATTATGGCTACTGCCTCCTAGCTTTAAGGAAGGCATAGCCATCATGTTGTCATCTCTGTGCGTTCATAAGAAAGTCAGTAAGTAAGTTAACTTCCTGAGGAAGCCCAATACCGCAACAAAACAAACTTGGCCCAGCCACTGTTGCAGCCACTTTCACGGTCCAAAAATCATAAATGCTTCTTGCGATTAAGTTCGCCAGCACAAGTATTTTACAGAGAAGCTGGAGGCAATTTGGACCATCAGCTTCTAAATATTACAGAGGGAAATCCATGTAGTAGAACATTGAAATCAATCGTTGAATTCATGGTACGGTAGAATTTCCCCGGAGAAAAAGCCATAAATGAAATAGTTTCAACTTCTTGGAAAGTGTAAGTTAATGTGGCCTTGTGGTGTAGCTGTGTTTTTTCCATTCTTCAAGATTTGTTTTTTTTAATTGCAGTATTCTTCAAAAATAAAGCAGTAGCCACATACATGTACATAAATACAGTCATAAACTACATATTTCTTAAAGTAATTGTTTGTCCTTTTGATGTTGCTATAGGGAAGAGGTTGCTTGTTGGTGGAGATTTTATTCAGCTGTGGAGTTGTGAAGAGTATCAAGGACAGAAAAGCTTACTAGAAGACAATGTGTTTTGGACTTGCATCTGGGCGTGCAAGTATGTTACTAAAGTGATATGTAGACCTTTTTTATCTAGAGCTACAGTGTATGAATAAAAGTGGATGATGAATCTCTTTCTTCCTTCACAACAAATTCAGTGGATTTACAAAGTGGTACCAGGACTGACCTACATGTAGGGCCCATTCAATTGACTGTATTGGAATAGGAATAATATGTGGAATAAACTCTGGAAATGGCCTGTTTTGGCATTCATGGCATAATAACATCTAGTTTTTGTTGCAATAAAAATTAAAATGCATGTAGCATGTAGAAGAGACAGTGATAGATGTTTCTGTTGGTTTCTGGCTGCCATGTTGATGCCCATGTTGATGGGCACCAACATGGTATCTCTATACAAAGCGCTTAAATTTGGTAAGGTAATACTTTTTTTCTCCATTCTATTTTGGAATGTGATCAATCATACATGTACGCATCCTAAGGAAATTTCAATCACATACAGTTATATGATTGTCATAAATCTTCAGCTAACTGGTGATGATTTGTACTTTCACAATGAATGCCAAGGAAGTCAATCCGTTACCTCTATATGTTCCTGACCAATGCGAAATGGTGTGGAGTGGGGGGAGCTGACAACTTTCACAAGAAAATTTATTGTTTGCTTTCCCGTATGTGTTGGCACTTGGTGATATAATTTATTGACAAAAAAAAACCCCGGGAAATCACTGCAAACAAATGGTGGACATTTTGAACAACCCGAACATAACTACAACCTTAAATAAAAATATTAAGAAAAGTGGACATTGCCATATTTTGTTTTAAGATAAAGCTCTTTTAGCCAATAGCAATTATAAATACTTCCCCTTCCCCCCAAAAAAACATGTTGAAGTCCAGCTGGATCATTTCTTCCCCTGAACAAACAACATTGATTCGGGTGTGGTGGGGGGAGGGGTCATAGCAGTACCAAATCTGTAGGATAGTTATTCCGTGGGTGAGAAAGTGCAAAATTCTTGACACCCTTTGTCTAAGAATGTAGTTTTTCTTGGAGTCAACATAAAGTTGTATTAATTTTCAACTCTGCTTAATTTCACTCAGGCCCTCTGTACCTGTTCACCTTCTGCAGTTTTCTCCTGATGGACAGTATTTTTGTTCTGTTGGAAAGGTATTTACTACCTTAAGTTACTACGTGTGAGCATTTCCATTTTTCATGGAGTCATGATCGTTGCTATGGACTGAGGGTTGGGAGAGTGCTTAATTGTTCTTGCTGTTGAGACTAAGTTAAGCTCTTACCATGTTATTAACTATTAGATGTAAGCATTTCCTTTGCTCAAGAGCAGTGGTGGTGGCTACTGACTCAGAGATGGGAGGGGCCTACAGTGCTTCCTGTCGTAGAGACTAAGTTGAGTTCTGGATTTGTGGTTTTCTTGTGGCACATTACCTTGACTTTATCATTATACCAAGTGCAATACTCTACTGTCCTGAAACCCTGACACAAGACTGAAATTTATGTTGAAGCATAACCGTTTAATGATTCCTCAAAATATCTCTTGCAGTTAATGTTTTTTTCTTAAGGTGAATTTAAATTTTTAACATGGTAAAATCTATTTAACTTGTTAATATTACAAGCAAATATTAGTTTTCTGGAATCACTGATTGCAGTAAAAAAAGGGTAATATAATTGTTCACTGAAAGAAGCTGCTATATTTTTCGTACTTGGTTAATATTACTATTTGTTTTACTCCAGCATGACAGACTTGTTAAATTGTGGTTTGACAACAATCAAGGTGAGAATACTTCAGATGCAATAATTTTTATGGCATTGTCAGGATCCTAAGAATTCATACCTTAGCAATGGTAGACATAAAATTCAAATTGAAGTTTGGCAGTCTCGGGTTCTAAGGGTTGGATTTGTAAAGCCATTCTAATTTAAGCCATGGGATCTTTCCAAGATCATGGCCAAGACAGTCTACTAATAATCTTGACAATTTTTCAGTAAACCTGCCATATGAAATTGATGGAGGTCAGAGCAATGGTATTTTAGACTACACCTTTGTGTACCTGCCCCATCCTGGTCCTGTCACCGGGATTTCCTGGAGAAAAACCAGTAAATATGTCCCTGTGTAAGTAAAGGCTCTTTTTATTAGTGTTATATACATGTGCAGTTGAACCGCCAATTCTCGGCCACCCCTGTTATGCGGCCAGTAGTCAAAGTCCTGAAGTAATTGTAGAAAAGAATGGGAAATTAAACCTCTATTAAGCAACTGCAGCCACTTTTTATCTGTCCCAGCAAGAGTTCCTCCATTGTTGTCACCTCTATTAAGCAGCCATCAAGAGCTTGATCACTTAGTTTGGCTTTATTTCAAGAATAGGATGAGGAAAATAAAGGCTGAGGTAGAAGGTGACGACTGATTGTGGACCATTAATGCTTCTCCTGTTGCACTTTTGTTTCAAGATAAATTGATGTTTCTGCTAAAGATTATGCTAAGTTCTGATGAAACTCTATGGAGCAGCGAACCTCCATTAGGCGGCCACTTGCTGGTACCCCGAGGGTGGCCGCTTAATGGAGGGTCAACTGTTTTGTCACTTTCATTCAAGTGTGTCACTTATTTCATAATTAACAGGTTTCAATTACCATTTTCAGCTCAACTGTGGTCAATTGCCTTCTTACATCCTGCACTGACAATGTTTGCCGCATTTGGAGTGAAACTATCAAGCAATGTGATCATAATGACCCACTCTCCTATACAGCATTGAATCGTAGCAAGTGTCTGTGGCATTTATCTCAACAGTCAAGCAAAGGTCAAACAAAGGATGAAGCGTTAGCAGACCCACTATTAAGATACCAACTCTCCTCAACTTTGCAATTTCATGTTGCCGCGGCAGTGAATGCTTTGAGTGATATTCCCATACTGTCCTCACTCGATTCCCTTTCAAGTGGAAATCACAGCAGCTTCGTTCTTCATTGGTTGAACAACAAGGAGATCCAGTTTACCATGGCTGCAGAGTCTTGTCTTGGTGCTCCAGTTCTTGCCCTTGAAGTGCAGAGTGTTGATGTCAGTGACGATTCCTCCATCAGTGGCAGTGAAGCTGAGTTGTTGGTGCCCAGTGATGATGATATTTTAAGTTCTCCCAAGTGTAAGTATTTATAGGACGTGAAAGTTTATATAGTCAGGTCATGCAAAGCTTAGGACAAAGACATACTAGAGCATGCAGTAGCTGCGTGTCTCTTATGGATTATTAGTTTCCCATAATTTTGCTTGGCACAGATATGATGTACAGGTCCAAAGAGGGATTCCATAAAGGCTGGTAAATATTGCATTTCCATCAAAGGCAATGCAGCACATAGCAACTTTGCTCTCTCAAGTGCAAGTATTTATAGGGCGTGAAAGTTTGTGTATCCAGGTCATGCAAAGCTTGATAGCACATTAAGAAATACCAGAGCATACAGGTGTAGCTTCATGCCTCTCATGGATTATTAGTTTCCCATAATTTTGTCCATAGAGGGATTCCATATATAGTAGAGCAAGGCTGGTAAATATTGCATTTCCATCAAAGGCAATGCAGCACATTGTAACTCTGCCCTTCATTGAGCGAATATGTTTTTAAGCACAGTGTGCCCTCGCGATTTTTGTCCAAGGACAGTAAGTTCTTGTGTTTAAAGGGATTGTAACAAGAGAACACTTTTCTGAAATAGTTATTTTATTCTATTCAAGCGTCTCCATTCATAACCCGCAAACTTCAGACAGTCAAGGAGAAGCACTCCCCAGAAAAGGTGAAAGAAATTAGAACACCATCCTTGCCAAGATCAAGAACACCTCTTGATTACTTGAAACATCTTCAAGATGACACATTAAGTGACGATGATGAATCAAGTACATATGCTGTAGTTGTGTCTTCATGTATTGGAAACCTTCTGCATGAGTGGTATAACAGTCCAGATACCCTGCTCGCTGTTCATCCCGTTGATGGTTCTCTTTTGGTGTGGCTTGTTGAGTGGCTTGACGTGCAGAATGGTGTGCCGTACAGACAACCTCAAGTCAGCTTTTTATCGCGTATTCCCAGTGTCCTTCCACCGGCAGATGCAAATTCGCTCCTGAACAAACTCTTTGTGTATTGCCCACGAGAGGACAAAGTGAGAGCCTTGAGAAATGTCATGGTTAATAAGTATGACTTTACTTCCGTAGCTCATAGAAAAAGTGCAAAACCTGGTGGTATGGCCCTCAATATTTCAAGGTCAAGTTATGGGAGTATACCTGGAGGAACACATCCTACGGCAATCATGATTTCTACTCACAGGGATGGCGCACTGAATCTATGGCAACTGGCATTTGCTGACAACTCGTCATTTTCGACAATAGTCAGTGTCTCTCATCATTTCCGTAGGTGTGGGCACAGGTATCCTATTACTAATATCTTAGCACATCCAGAGCTGCCCTTGATGCTTTCAACATCAAGCCATGTAATTGAAGCCAGAAGTGACGCAGATTTTTTCAGTCCTGTGGATGAGATCAAGGGCAAATCCCGAAAGTTACATTGTAATGAACTCATTGTCTGGAAGGTTGAAAGCGTGTCACCCTTGCGACAGAGTGGTGGAGTTATGGAACTGACTCGTATAAATTCATCAAGACCGAATGCTTTTATGAACGTGGCATGGGTTCCAACATTATTCTTTCATTCGCTGATAACATTTGACAGCAGCACGTTAATTCCACCCCATGCCGTAGCACCATGTGCATGCTTTTTGGCCTTGGATGGAACTTGCTATAGGTTTTACCAAGTCATCCTTGATGCTAGAACACTTCAAGGTTACATCTCAAGTAACAAATTTAGAACACGTTCAACTTTGTACTCTAGTGGTAGTGAAGAAAGCCTTGATTCACTGGACTTTGATAGCGAAAGTCAATCAGTGCCTCTGGAGTATTTCATTGAATCAATAGTTAGTAGGCAGTCAGGTGCAACGCCGGGCTGCATTCTTAAACTTTGCTCATTGGTTGACTCCAAAGACATTCTACGGGAGCCCTTGCTGCTCCATGTGTTCACGGAGAACTCTGTGAAGTCATCTTGCTACTGCTCACTTGACAAACAGGGTGTTGAGGATTATGAAGAACAGCAGCATGGAGCCAATACTTCAGAGAATAGCTTTTATGTTGTTGGTGTTGAAAACGTCACAGACAATGACAATGGTGGTGCTGTTGCTTCAACGATTTACATGTGGCAAGTGACTGTTACTGCTACAAAGCCAGAACCAAACATCAAAGGAGCAGGGTTGGAAGCTATGTCAGCATATCCTGAAGTCGTACAGCCCATAAGCAGGAGTAGTAGCAGTACTTCCACCAGGAGTGTGAGCCCCCTAGACTTACCACAGTTAGGTCATGTGACCAGTAGCATTGTTTCTCGGAATGTGTGTACTCAGAGACTACCACTTCCAAGTGGAACAATTGTCCTGACGGCTACTAGAGCTGCAGATAAAATGTCATCCTCAGCAGTCAATCCGACTTGTCCAGCACAGTATTTGTTCACCACATCTTGCTCTGATGGTAGAGTAAGATTTTGGTCTTGTAAGGAAATCGAAGCTGAAAAGGAGTTCGTTTTTGAAGAAACCTCCTGGGTCTCTTTTGGACAGAAATGCTGTCATACAACAAAGAAGTTGGATAGCCGAGCCTTGGGATTGAATGCCCCTGGTGAGGTTCTTTCCCTTAGTTGTGCTTATACTGGGAGGATTGCTACGCTTTGCAGGAAGAACAACGGAGAGGAAAACGGGGCTGAACTTTTAGTCTGCATCTGGGAGAATGAGTCTTCAGGAGGAATGGACTGGATCCTTGAAGACTCACTAAAACTCGACTGTCCATTTATCCCTGACAATTCACAGATTCGTCTCGAGTGGACTTCAGCTGAAGATGGGACTTACATTCTCACAGTCTGTATCGGCAGTGAAGTTTTTATTCTTGCGTGTGCCTCAAGAATTGCTAACACATCGGCAAGAGGAGAGAGCTCAACAATTGGCAAAGAAACATGGCTCCTTCTTCATAGTATCCATCTAACGTCTGAGAATAAGTGGCAGTTACTGACCAGGGCTTTATCTTGGATTCGCAATGGAGTCCTTGTGGTGGGTTTAGGAACTGAGATGCAAGTTTATTCACAATGGAAAGCAGTGACGGATGGAACTCTCTCACCTTCTGACACGATGACCTTTGCTCCAACAGCCACACTAGAGAAGGCTGTTGATGCTTCTAGAGGCGAGAAAGGAAATCTTGTCCCTCTGACGATCTCTCCTGGTACTGGAATTGGTTTGTTTGAAAGTGCAGCTGCCATTGCTCCTGTTCTACCTCAATTTCACCCCAAGCACCTGATGGAACTCATGAACTTTGGCAAGCTGAGAAGAGTCAGAGCCATATTGCACCATTTGGTAAGTTTCTAGTTATAAAGGAATTATAATTTTCTCAGTGAATTTCTATCCAGTGGATATGGCCTTGATCTCCCTACTGCTTTCTCATTGGAGAGCAATTTATCCACTCGAGGGTAAATTTCTATCCAGTGTATATTGGACTTGATCTACCCATTGCTTACCCACTGGATAGCAATTTATTCTTCAGATAGCATTCTACAACGTTGAGACTGATCTCACAAGGTGTACATTTTTAGGTGTACTGTGTTGCTGGGAGAGAGGCCATGGAGGCGGCATCCAAAGCAATTGACCATTCATCTTCACACAACAGGCCTCGGCTTAGCAGCCTGAGTAGCATGAAGAGTATAGGGAATGTTTCCAGTTCAAGTGAGACAGACCTCAGGGGAGTGGAGGGTGATGACAAAGATAGAGCTCTGTCCGTTCCACCATTACCACTGTATGCTCTTCTTGCTGCCGACAAAGACACAAGTGGAAGTGGGTCAGCTACGGCAGGTATTGTGTTGTGCTTGTACCATTCACACTAACGTTAGTTGAGATATTTTGTAAAAAACACTTTATATGCAAAAATATTACTGTCCTTTCACGCTTACAATGTACTGAAAGCAAAGAGAACAAGGCCTTCAGAAAAAGAACCATTCCAGCGAAAGAATAGATTGCCTTCATTAAATGCCCGGAGCTCTGAATATAGACCCGAGCTTATGACAGAGTAAGTCTACTTACCCTTCCGTCAGGGCATATTGATTTATTATCTGCATTTACCATGTCATTTTAAGTGGCCTTGTTTGTTGGAAGAAACTTCAAATGACGGCGCCCCGGGGGGGTGGGTATGTGGTATGTGGGTATGTGCCGCCCGGGACTCCAAATTGGCACCCCGTTCTACAAAAAAATTCCCCTCAAATATATACCCCGTTCTAGAAATAGGCCAATTTTTTATACCCCGTTCTAGAATTCGCCCTAAAACTGATACCCCGTTCTAGAAATGGGCTATTTTTTTATACTCCGTTCTAGAGTGCAACAAGAGTATAACAGTGTGCTTGTTAACGCATTGAACCGTATTTTTAAAAGCAATCTGTCCTTGAAACGAATTTCAAAGGGCTGCTTACAAAACTGGAGCTTTCGTGCGTTCGAAATATTATACCCCGTTCTAGAAAACGCCTCTGAAATGGATACCCCGTTCTAAACCAGGAGCTTCAAAATCACGACCCCGTTGGGCGGCACATACCCGTATAGGTAATGTATGGGAGTACCCCCGGGGACGGCGCACAAGCAAATAACAACTGGGTACATTTTTAATAAAGCCATTTATAGTATATAGACAACGCATTACCGTAACAAGTTGAGCGTTGACGTTAAGCTGTTGGCCTTGTCTCCGTTATCCTGTCATTTCAATTGGAAGGAGATGTAAAAGAACCGACACTGCTACAGTCGAACCTCCCGTAAGCGACCACCCAAAATGCCAAGACTGGGTGTTCGGTTACGAGAGGTGGTCGTTTACAAGAATCGAACCACAGGGGGTCTCTTCGGAGAAGAGGTCCAGGTACATCTACTTTATAGAAGATAATTTACTGCATGCAATGTCTAAGTTACGACATGTGTAGTTCCATGTTATCACTAAAGTTCTTCGTATATTCTAAGTCACATAGTGCACACAGCGAAAATAGAGATCAGAGAATGCGTCAAGTGGTCGCTTACAAGAGGTTAAAAATAATGGAAAATATTAACCGCCAGGCCTAAAAAATGGTCTTGGTCGCTTACGGGAGGTGGTCGTTTACTAGAGGTTCCAACTGTAAGGCTTTGACTGTTTTTTTCGATTGGCGGTCGCTTATGGGGGTGGTCGCTTACGAGAGGTGGTCGCACATGGGGTTCAACTGTGTTCGGAAAGAGTAGGGGACGTAGACCCCAATGGCGCGGTCTATCTCTCATTGTAGCGGGGGAGTGGTGGGGGACTGTTTGGTGATCCCTATAATTAGTGTCATGCGCTGTTGCAGAGTCCCTACCAAAATTGGCGAACCTAAGTAAGTAAATGAATAAGTTAATGATGGGTTATTATTGTTCAATTGTTCAGCTGAATCAGTAGATGGTACCCAAGGCGTATCAACAGATGAGACAGACTATAGTGCTCTCTTTGAAACATCAAGATTCAGTGCCAGTTTTGACTCAGATGAAGAAGACAAATACTTGGATAGGCACAGAAGTAAGAGCAGTCCAACGCATGTAGCTCAGGCTGGTAGCCCTGTTTACTTCGGCTTAGCACAGGTTTGTAACTATGTATTATGTGACAGTAGTATAGAGGAAACGTGTAAAACTGTAATAAGAGTAGTCCAATGCATGTGGCTCAAGATGGTAAACCTGTAGTGTTCACTGCGGCTAGTACAGGTTTTTAACTAAGTACTTCATTGTAGAGCCTCAGGCTGGTGACCCTGTTCACTTCGGCTAAGCACAGGTTTGTAACTATGTACTTTGTTGTAGTAGCATGTGGGGAACGTTTCAAACCCAACTAAGAGTAGTCCAAAACATGTGGCTCATAGAGGTAGCCCGGTTGACTTCCATTTAGAACTGGTTTGTAACTATGTGTTTAACAAATAGATTCCACGTTACCGTGAATCTGTTCAGTTATAGATCACAGATGATGTCAAAATGTGGTAAAAACAAAGAAGTGGCACACGAGCCGTAGGCGAGTGTGTCACTAATGTTTACCACATTTTTGACGTCTTCTGTGATCTATTACTGAACAGACCTACGGCAACATGGAGTCTATTTGCTTTATAAAATGGTCAGAAAAGAAAAAAGAGCGATACACGTACCTGCCTCGTACCGCTTGGCTGTTCGAGAATTTGTGCTAGTTTAGGAATTTTTAAGTCCCAAACGCTACCTTTCATCTCTGCTTCTTCTTTTTCTTTAACTTTCTTGTATCCAGTGTATCATTTATTTGTGAAGAATATTAAAGGGGAGGGAAGGGGGCTTAAAAAAGAGGCAGCTTATTCACTTTCTTCCCCTGAAAAGGAGGGGGGCTTATTCGAGGGAGCGGATATTTGAGAGGGGGAGCTTAGTAAAGGATTTACGGTAGATAGTAGTATAGTGGGAACGTTTACAACTATAATAAGAGTAGCCGAGAGTAGAGTAGGCTTGTAGCCCTGTTCACTTCAGCTAAGTACAGGTTTGTAACTATGCATTATATTTAGAACCCGAGTTAGAGTAGTTCAATACATGTGGCTCAGGCTGCTATCGCTGCTAACTTCGGGTTAGCACTGGTGTTTAAACATGTATGTACTTAATTGATTTAGTAGCATTAGTGGGAACGTTTAGAATCCAAGTAACAGTAGTGCAATACAGGTGACTCAGGCTGCCGGTAGCCCTGTTCACTTCGGGTTAGCACTGGTGTTTAACCATGTATGTTGTTCATTGATTGTAATAGTGTAGTGGGAATGGTTAGAGATGAAGTAAGTGCAGTGTAACATATGTGGCTTAGGCGTGTGTCCCTATTTAAGTTAGTAACGCTGTGTATGTACAAAGAGCATAGTGGTACTGTTTAGAACTCATTATCATGTGTGCTAAGTGGCGTTTATGAGCAATTTCCTTTAGGTGAAAAGTAATGAAATCAACTTTAGTAACTTGTTTTGTGGAATATGTGAGTACTTTCTTTCTCCCTTATTTAATATGTTCACAAGTTTCTTACCAAACTGTATTTTAGGCCCGTTTGCTGTCATACCAGCTCACAAAGAAACCACTTCCTGGCTTGACTAGCATAGAACAACTAGAACTGTTAGCATTGGCAGATACATTTGCCTCAGCCAAGCTAGATTTGGAAGAGAGCCCAGGATCCATTGAAAGAGGAGTCAAGTTTGCGAAGAAAGATGGTAATGACTCTATTTTTTTTTACTTTTTTGCTGAAGCGTCCACCAGTACCGTAAATGATGTAATAGATGCCCTCTTCCAAATAGACGCCTCTTGTCAAATGAACATCCCTCCTACGATTTTACGTTTGTATTACACGCTCCCATGAGAATTACTCCATAATACTAGGAAATAGCAAGAAGGAGTAAAATCATTCAAAATGCTCAGTTTCTTGCTTGGTTAACAAGGTTTTGCGCATTGTCTCTTGTTCAATGTCATGTTTAAAGTAAGGATGGGCTACCAATGACAGCATAGTGACCCTGTACAACCTCCTCTCACATAGGTTTGATCTAAGATATCATCAAGATTTTCAAGGGTATAATTCCAGATCTAAGTTTAACATACGTTAAGACTGCTGCTAAGCGTAAATGGGGCCATTGGACATCAATTCATTTTGCTAGTAATGACTGGAATGATTTGAATCATGATACACGAGAAGCTGGGGATATTGCAACCTGTAAGAGGCTTATAAAGGGGAGGGGGCTAGCTTATAGTAATTTATATTTAGTAGTTTTAACATCACTCTGACCTGTTAATAATATTCTCAAATTGCATGTTTAGGTATTGTTGGATTGAGAAAGCATATTTAGTATTTAGTATTTTATAATTGTTTATCTAGCTTTTTTACATTTATATTTATTTATATATTTCGTTTTATCAGGACCCTATTGTAAAACACTTAGGTGAAGTAAGCTTCCTGAATAAAGATTGATTTATTATTATTATTATTATTATTATTATTGTTATATGTAACTTCTATAAGATTTGAAACAGCATGTGAAACTCCAGACGGACTAGACGTATTAATGGATAGACTGAATATTCTGCTATTTGTAAACTCTCTCGCTTTTTTCACCGAACGCATATTTCTTTGGTTGAGATTGTTACATTTGTGAAAATAAACGGTTAAAAAAGAGTTTTTAAAAGCATAGTATGAATCTTCGGTTTACAGCAGGCCCCTTTCCGAAGATGATCGCTGGATGGTTTGAAATGAAGCATTATAGACAAGACTGGATGTCAGATTGAGTTCGATACTTTTCTATAAATATTGCGATCTTGCCTTTCTAGAATATTATATAGACTTACAGGGCTTGATGCCATTGATGCCATCACTTTAAGACTACTCTATGTCTCGTGTTGTTTTTCCTCAGATGAAAGTTACCATAGTATTGGCGGTCTTATGGGAGGTCCTGGAGGGGGAGGGGGTGGATATGCTACCACAGGCAGCATTGGTGCCACAGCGGGTAGTGGTGGGGATGCTGTTGATGAATGCGGACTGCGATTCTTACTTGCCATGCGACATCATACGTGTTTGATGAGGTCACTTCCTCCAGTTCACAGAGCTGCACTTGAAGAAAAGGTGAGTTGAATGGCCACTTGCTGACAGTGACGTCAGATAGGCAAATGTTCCCTCATGATTCGATGATCGTTCTAAATTTAAATTACTCACTGCTAACTTCAGCTGTAAACGCGTAATGGACCACGCCCAAGGTCATATGGCTAGATATTGGTCAAGTGTTTCTTGCGTTTTTATGTATGGAGAAGGAAAATAACGCAAAAAAGGAAAGAGGCCAGATTTCATCCATCTTGACTGAACAAGCGTGGCCAATAAATGAGTCTCTGGACGAAATCCTGCAGTGTGACTATTTAAAAGAAACCCCTTTGGAAGTTTCTTTCACATGATATTATTTGGTTTTCAGCATTTTAGCAAATGAAATTTGGGAATTTGTGGGAATTTGCTGCTAAAACTATGGCCAAAACGCCACAAAATACAATTTGCACGTACAAGCAAATTAATTCTGCAGAGCAAAACAGAGCGCGTACTGTTCAAGGTCGCTCCATGGGAGTTTGTCGAAGCCCTTTGCGGTTATGTGTGCTTGACAATGAATATGTTTCCTTGGCGTAGGGTTTGTCATCATCGTTCTATGGCTGGGCGTTCCATTCTGAGTCTGAGGAGGAGTTGTTAGCAATGGTTCCACCGGTGTTAAGAGGCGAGGCAACCTGGTCAGAATTGAGGAAATACGGAATAGGATGGTGGGTCAGAAGCAACGACACACTGAGAAGGCTTATAGAGAAGGTAAAAAAAAAAAACGATGTATACGACATGAAAATGTTCATACAGTTGAACCTCTCCACAACGGCCACCTTGGGGACAGAAAAAAATGACCGCCGTAGAGAGGTGGCGGTTGTAGAGAAGTTTAAACAAGAGTCATTATATTGACTGTCGGCCACAAAAAGTGGCCGTTGTCGAGAGATGGCCTTTAGTGGAGGTTCGACTGTATCGTAATATCCACTCCCCTCAGACCTCAGGGCATTTCAGGTAGAATTTACAACATTGGTTGGGGAACTTTCCAGACCACGTGGGACACAATTTACAATTAATAAAGTCATGATTTATGAATGCCCCCTTAAGGTAATTCACTTGAAAATGATGTACCATCCAGATTGTTTTCAAACTTGACACAAATGTCAGCCATATATTCAAAAACTGCAATAAAGAGATGGGGTCACCGTGCTTGTTTTCGCCTTGTGCGCTTGTAATTCCGAGTGTTTTTTCCTAGTAGCGCGAAATGTTCGAAGCTTAAAGAACCGTCAAAAATTCTTGTTTTATAGCAAAACAACGAATCGCACTAAAACCTTAAGCCTGTTTGTTTGTCTGGGCTATATATTTTAAATTAATAGGACAGTTTTCACATTATCTCTTACTTCTCTGTGGCTCTTAATGCGGAAATTCAAGTCATTCATATCTAAAAAAAATAAAACTTCTCCTATCCAGACTTTTTTTTGTCCTTAATATATTTTTTGTGTAACTATAGCGAGTAAAAAGCACAAATAAATAAGGAGGATCACTGTTCTCGCTTCCTCGAAAAACGACAACAAAGGGAGAATTTCGGCTTCAAATGATCTTTTTGCGCGAGGGGACTGGGGCTAGTTTTAAGATAAATACCCTTTTAGCCGGGTAGAATTATCAAAATCGCTATTAAAAACATTAGGACTACAAAAGGAGCCGTAATTACCTCTTTTTAGGCGACCGGTGGATATCATCGCCACCTTTGAAGTAACAATTGTATGTGCACGAGGTGATGCGCTCTGCAAAACAAGGGAATTGCCTTAAGTGAAGTTGAATGTGAGATAGACACAAGGGGATGGCTATTGGCAGAGATTTGTTACGTTCCTAGTGGTTAGTTTACGTCCCATAAGGTCACGTTACAGAGCAAAAGTATTGATACGGGGCCTGTAGGTTTTTATCCTTATCCGAATAGACTAGAAAGCCTAACTATTTGTGATGTCGGAGCAAAGGCAGTAACTTCTCGTCAGTCATTTTAAGGCCCCCTGAGTGTTGGTCCGACAGGGAATCGAGTCTGGGTCTTCCACTTTACAGTCAAGTGCTCAACCAATACACCTTTTTACCTTGTATGTTCTGTTTTTCCAATTCAGATCACGAAAAAATTTTCCAGGGAATTTTCCTTTTGTCTTTTCATTAATTATGCATCCATAGGCACGTGGATGCACCTTTATAAGACGAAATTCGAAAAAAACAGTTCTCTCGGGTACCATCAAGTGGTCTGAAATGGGAAAACAAAACGTTCAAGCTAAAAACGTCTATTGGACTAACCAGGCGGCGAAAGATAGTTTTAAGTTTTGTAAAAGCCGTACAGAGTATAGCCTTTACTCAAAGACGTTTTTAATTCACCCTTGACCCCATTTAATAATAATAATAGTAATATAATATAATTAATAATATAGCGCTATTAATACTAGTTATTCATAGCGCTTTACAATTTTAAACCTTGTACTAACTATAAAATAGTTTTTATAATTTACCCTGACGTGCCTTTGTTTTCTAAAACCTCTTTCACACTTACGGTTCAGAAACCAGAAATTAGGATGAGCGAAACTTTGTACGGATACCCCCCTTCCCTACCCTTCCCTCTCCCAGGGAATGTTTCAATTTTCTGACAGTAGCGAGAGTACAACATGGAGCCAATATTCTTCCTTTACAGACGGCAAAGGCACAGTTTTCAAAGATGCAAGAACCCATTGATTGTGCTTTGTTTTACCTCGCCATGAGAAAGAAGAATGTCATTTGTGGTCTTTACAGGTTTGTAGTCATCTGAATGTTGATATTTTCGTCACATTTTTTATCTGCTGCGATTTACTTTCTTTCGTTGACGATATAATCGAGGCCGGTAGATATATCTTGTTTTTTTCTTATACGGAAAGTTTAAAATATTGCTTTTCGTTTTTCTGGGTGCTGGAGTTCGCGGTTTACTGCTCTGGTCGTAGCCTGAAAAAAGAGCCGACATTTTTGGACGCCACCAACGGTTTCCCCACGAAATAACGTCTGAGGATCGAGCGCATAAATTCCATACTTACGACGTGTCACTATCCAGATCTGGGTAGTGCTTCTGGCCCCGGTTGGATGGCGCTATCCACCGGATAAATCAGTATCCTGCGGATAAGTATTTGGGAAACCAATTGCGTTATCCACTGGATAGAGATTTATCCATTGGATAGAGCTATCCACCTTTTGAACAGCTGGGGCCTGATTGGTTGAAGATTTGATTAACCAATGAGAAGCACTACCCAGATCTAGCTACTGACACGTCATCAGTACGGAATTTCTGCGCTTAGACGTCATTTCGCGGAGAAACCGTTGGTGGCGTCGCGAAATGTCGGCTGTTTTCTCGTCTTGGACCTGAAAAGACTTGTTAACCACCACATCTTTCTATTTAGAACTGTAAGAGATTCCAAGATGTCACAGTTCTTTGCCAGGGATTTCAAGGTGGACAGATGGCGCAAAGCAGCTTTAAAGAATGCTTATTCTTTGTTGGGCAAACAGAGGTTTGATCATGCTGCAGCGTTTTTCCTTCTCGCAGGTTCTTTATGGGATGCCATACAGGTATCAATTTGCGGTTTGTTGGGTGCAAAGTTACATGTAATGATTCCACCTCAGTTACACAGCATATTACACATAAACACTCCATAGAAAGTAGTTCAGTGAATCAGTTCATCAGTACCCTTATGTGAGTGCTCACATTATAAGAATTTTTCCACAGATTTAAAAGTTAGAACTCACCTTGCAAAGCTGGACCTACTACAAGTGCGCAGTAGCTTTCGCTTTAAAGGTCGCTTGAATCTAGAAATTTGGATTTTGAATCTAGGAGCAGATTTAAGACAAGTACTGGGAACATATCACTTAACGTAAGGTTCCAGCTAAGAATTGAACACGTAAAAGATCGGAAATGGCTCTCGTTTTGTGCTGAATTATCTTTTGTCCTTAAGATCTGTTAATAACATTGATGAAAAGTCGTCTTTAGTTCCCCTTTCTCCTCAATATTTGTCAATCAATCAATTAATTAATCAATCAATTTATCAATCAATCAAACTTAATTTCATGACCGTGACTGTGCGGACTACCGTGTACTTTTACAGGTAACATTTTTTGAAATTTTTTACATTTTTCACTTCGTTTTTTTTCTGTTAGGTTTGTATTGGTCGTCTGCACGACCTTCAACTGGCCATGGTACTCGCTCGGTTGTACGAAGAAGAGACTTCCAGGGGTCCTCTGTACACTCGCATCCTAAAGGAGTGCATATTAGGGCAGGGGGATAACGCCCGAGACCCTAGTCAAGGTAAAAAAGAAACAAACCAAAAAACACTGTAAAATGTTAACAGGAGAGTGGAAAATGATGTGGGCTTCAGACTAGCTCCTTCATTCTCCATCCTAGATCAGCACAGTATAACGTACTTTTGACGCTGCGCGACCTACCATCCAAACGGATCCAGTCTGAAGCCTAATAATATACTTGTTGTGGTTTTGTGGCTCGTGAAAAGGATAACCCATCTCAAACTCTTTATTTGATGTAGAGGAAACGAAAGAAATCACTTTCGTGAAGACGGTTTGGATATCGGAAACTAATCACCATGAAGTGTTGCTTAATTTAGCGTTGGATTTGTTAAAGACGTGTTGGTCATTTGAAAAGCTTCATCAAGCAATCGACACAATCTTTTATCCGATAATTTATAAGACCCCTTGATCTCAGCGCTAAATTCTATTCTAGCCCCTTTTTTCAGCCCACCCAACCCTTGTCGGGATATTATTATCGGTCTGCAGACCATGTGGAGTGTTTAATAATGATAATAATCATCATCATCATCATCATCATCATCATCATCATCATCTTTATTTCCAAGGACAAAAATACATATCCTAAGTTACAGTGAAGTCAACTATCATTATAAAACCTTATGCTTAAAAATTGACCTATTTACAAAAATTGTCTTAAAGCGCTGTGTGTTTATTTTTGGCAAAAGGCACCCTACCTTACGTAATTTGTACTTCGTTTGTTTTCTCTCTGGTATTATCCGACTTAAGGGGTGAACATCTAGACTAATTGATTTCTTAAAAAATAGAGCGATCTTGTTTTTTCCAGTAGACTAAAAATGTCTACTGGATATGATATGAAATGCCACTTATGACATCTCTTCAGGAAACGCCGAACTAAACTAAGATCTGAGTCCGAGGTTTGATATATTAGCGAGCATAAACAAAGACGTGCTCTAGCGACGCACGTCGATCGGAAGTGGATCTTTCGCATTCTTGAGCAGTGGTTTTGCTCAAATTTTCGGGCACATCTTCTCCGTAAGGGTAAATGCAAATTTGTTAGCGTCAAGAGGGAAAAGGCCTTTCTTCCGGTTGACGATTGTCGCCCCAAAAACGCCTTTGCTTAAGCTCCTTATTACTTTAAGGACAATAACCTACTTTGTAAACTTTCAGGGCCCAGTTGTTCGAAGGCCGATTAGCGCTTAACCAGTGGTTAAATTTAACCCGGGTTTCTTTTTCTGGTATTCTAAAGCATTTTCTCGGATAATTTTCTCTGTTATTTTTACATCTTCCAATCATCAACTTGTACACAACAAGAATTAAAACTGAAATGCTTTTGAAGCTTTCAAATCTGAATTCAAATCTCGCACTAACCCTGGGTTATCTTAACCCAGCTTTGAACAACTCGGCCCTGACCTGCAAAAATGTGATGGTGATATATTGAGGAGGCAGGTGTCACTTTAAGATTACGTAATGTAGATATTAACAGGTTTACTTAAATATTTCAGACCCCTTCCTCAGAAGTATAGCGTACTGGATATTGAAAGACTACAACCAAGCTTTAGAAACCTTGATTTTTGAACCAGCAACAGACACATCGCAGGAGAGGAAATGTAATCACCTCGCTGCTAATGGCAACCCTGATATTTTCAACTTCTACTTGTATCTGCGCAAACATCCGTTGATCAAACGACGGCGGTACATGCATGAATATGATAGCAAACACAAGATAAAACCGGTGGCACGAAATGTCCCTTCAAGACAGAAAGGAAGTATTCGTGAAGAAGAGATCATTGATGAGCCGTTAACGCCTATGGAGCGTCAGCTGTTTTTCAAGACAGCGCATGCGCATTTGAACTCTGGCTGCCCCACCCTGGCTTTGCAAGTGCTGATGGAACTACCAGCTGCTGATACCGACGAACGTGATGTTAACAGACTCACAGAAGGTGACGCACCCGTCCAGGAACCCAGCGGAGTCGTTGATGATGTCACGGATGACATGATCAATACTGGGACGCTGAGTGACTTTTCATTCAGTGGGACCTACACTGATGCAAGCACCAACGGAATTGTTGAAGAAGTGGACTGGAGCAAGCCAGTTTCCTCCAAACTGGAAGGTAATTCATCTTCCGACTTTGACTGGAGCCAGCCTATTTCATCTAAACTCGGTGGCGATTCAGCTGCCGATTTTGACTGGAGTCAGCCCTTGGCGTCTGATCTCGGCGGGGATACCGCTGATGATTTCGACTGGTCGAAACCTGTTTCATCTAAACTAGGAGGTGATGGTCTTGGAGATTTGTCAAATGGTTTTGACTGGAGCCAACCTGTGTCAACGAAGCTTGGAGGACTTGGGCTAGACAGTGTGAACGGCACAGACTTTGACGAAACGTCATCTAGTTCTGTAGCAAATCGTGACAATGATGTCGATTCGTCGAGAAAGACAACCAACTCTGCCGACGATGTCAAGTTAGAAAATGCTGATCAGCCTGTTTTGAAATCAAAAGAGATACGCCAGTTAGATGTCATGGCTCAGCAGATGAAATTTTCCGCGATTTTGAAACTCTTGATACATGAACTTCATGGACTTCCGTCCAGCTGTGAGATTGCAGATGAAGATTTGAGGCCATTTTTTCTAAAGTGGCTGGAAAAGGAGTTAGAGGCTCTTCACAAAATGTCCGACTATGGAAGTGTAGCTGAAGACAGTGACGATGAAGTGGAAGAAGCTGTTGAAATAAACGTTGAACAAGGTATTAGATAGGAGTGAGGGTTTTGTTGATTTGCGACAAGGTGTGAACACCAAATGGCATAATTCCCGACTACAGAAACCCTAGGGTACAAGCCAGGGATTCCTGGGATCGCTTGGGTGGACAAGGGTTAATTATGATTGGTCGGTGGTGTTCAAGGCAACCATTAACCAATCACAAGTAACGCGTGTCCACCCAAATGATCCCACAAATCGTTGCGCCGAGAGCCATTCCCCATTGGAATGGGAAATCTAAAAGAGAAGAACACTGGACAATACCCACTCTTAACCCAAAAGTTAATTTGAAAATCGCGCTACAACAGTACATTTCCAGATATAAGGGCCACGATACCACACACGATACAACACATTGTGGGCCCGCTAGACTGTACAGCTGACAAGTGACAAATAAGTGCGCATGCGCTTGTTCGCCATCTTGAATGAGACCATAAGTACGCGAAGCAGGGCAAGGTTGCTTCTCGTTTGTGTCTATCATAAAATCGCCTTTCAAAGGCTAAAATGCAGAGCTTGGTTAAGAAGAATTAAGGACAGTTATTTTTGTTTTTTACAGCGGATGAAATGCAAGAAGGGAGCACGGCAGATAAGAATCACATATCTTTGAAAATCGATCGCTCAGCTAAACGCATTCAGTGGCTCAAGAAGAATCAGAAACTTCTCACAATGCTTCTCAACTATTGTTCTCTTCACGGGGCCAGCGGCGGTGACTTGGCAGGTAACGCCCTTCTCTTATTTGATTTCCTTAACTCTTAGGCTGTGTTCGCACTTTACCGGATAGCTATATCCGGTATATTATGAACAGCAATGGCACAGAACTAGAACAAGTTTTTCACACACATCTAACATCTTGCCGCAGCGTTTGGCCGAGATGTTTTGGGACGCTTTCCATTCAGTAAAACTTCCGGCTTGAAATTTCGGAAATTCCACGTGCCCAATTGAACATTACATTCCGGTTGCACAGACCCGACCCAAGCCACCGCGCATTTGGTTATTGTTCTTGTAAGCAGGATACAAAAGAGTGGTACTGGGAAGAACAATTTTGTCAAATGGAGAGGGACATTTCGGTCCGACCGGCTGAGATAACAGGACCGGTCAAAGTGGACTACCTTCAAAGCTGGTCTCGAATATTCTGATCGGACCAAACCGAAATGGTCCGTTCCATTTTATGTACTAACCGAAATTTCCGGAATTTTGGGTTGAATGGAAAGCGCCCTTGGTCAACTAAATCCCAGTCTTCACCCATGAACATTAACATCCGTCTTAGCGGATTCTAGTCCTCGCTTCTACGTATCCACGTTCGCTGCGGTTTGGTCCGATTTTGCCTAATCATGAAAGGCAACAAGGCAAAAGTTATTTTATTAAATGATTATAACTACGCGTGATGAAATAACTCAAAACCTGAACTCTCATTGCAACAGCAATGCCTGCAATAATAGCGGAGCTTTCTCTCGCGCGCAGCGGATCGGAAGAAAAAGGGTAAGAAAATTTGGTTATCTGTGCATCTAAGAAATTTTCGTTCTCACAAAATTGTCCGTGTGTTCGTCCCCCTCTTAATGTTAACGGATGTGAAGTGTCTTACTAGCTTAAAAGTCCAAGGCATTTAACTAGATATCGGACATCCAATGTTATGAACAATTGACAACTGCCATGATAGGTTACCCGCTGACCAGTGTCACATGACTGTATTGTGGGCTCAGGTGTACAAATCATTGAGATGAAGTGTTTTTTTAAGTTCTTCGCTGGCCAGTTAAGGTATTCAAGTGATCGCAGGCTCAGAAGACTTAACTTTAGAAAGAGTTTTTAAAAGTACGCACGAGAGCTTCACTTTTGGCCTTTTGTTTAAATCTATATTTTAGCTCTATTTTGTAGACCATTTAACACCTCTGCTTCTTTAAAAGGAAGATCATGGGAAGTGAACGATGCTTAAACGATTCATTGGATTTTTTATTGCAGCGATGAATATGGAGCTTCTGTTGCTGCTCCATGAAGTGGAGCAGATGCGTTCGCTAGTTTCTCCGCTGTACGTTCCGTCAGCGGGCCCATCCGTTCCACCACTTATTCTGGCGTCAGTGTCTGCTTATTCGTTCCTGGCGAGTCCGCTGGGATTTCTACAGTCTCTCACTCAAGATATTCTAAGATTTCTTTTCAGGTAAGAGGAGGACGTCGCCAAGCATCAGAATGAAATAAGATTTCATTTTGTATGCTTATCTTACTGAATACCAAATATCACCATGTGAAAGTACTGCTAAAGACGTTTCATTTGAGTGGTAACATTATAGGGTTTTCATTCGAGAACTCAAATGTTAGAACCGCGCGCGTTCTTAGACTGAGCGGGGGGGGGGCCTTGCGTGACGAGACAAAAACGGCTGCGAGGGAGACTGATTAGCAAGTAGAATCATGTGAAAGTGCTTCCGAAGATGTTTCATTTAAATGGTAACACTGAAGGATTTCATTCACAGTCCGTGTCAACAGTTCGTTTTTGATTGCTAAAGACTTTACCGTTTTGCTTAACCTTCAAACCCTTACTGTGAGTATTCGCTATTGGCCTCGCCCGCTGTCCTTTTTGGCCATATACAAGTTTTCCCGCTAAACGTATCCATACTGCGAAAAGAAGTGTGTTCGATTTTTAAGTCAAGATGCTGAATAATAAGGAATGTCATTGAATTGGACGTTGCTTCAACTTGTTATAATATTGAACATAATGTGTTATTACACGCTTCTGTCCTATAAAACGGATCAGAAATCTTAACTTCTAACGTTTAACGTCTGTAGCATGAAGCGACTGACTTGGAACAATGAAAGGGCGAGATCTATTTTGGAATCTTGACGTCCGGGAAGCGATGCCTATTTCCCTTTCGTAAAGGGTCGTTGCCATTTTTAACGGTCGATGCCACCATTGGTAACCAAGCCTTTAGTCATGATAGATGTAATATATTCCCTGGATTATGTGACAATGAGGAAAATACGTTTTTGAATAGACTTAGAAAGAACGACGTTGACGCCCAAGTTGAATTTACGCTAAAAGTTATGGAAAGGGCTAGGGTCAGGTGTTATTGATGCATCAGTTAAGAAAAACAGTTTGCCAGTTTGTGACTCAAATTGTTCGGAATTTTTGGCGGGTCGGTGTGGTGGTGTAGTGGTAAGGGAGAGATATTAGGATACGAAAGGTCTGGGTTGGAGGTCCTGGTTCGACACTAGGTTGCGATTTTCTTTCTTTTTAATAGAAACACTCTCAATAAAAGGTCAAAAATTTTCTAAGTGTCTTAAAAAATGGCAGCGACCGTTTACGAAAGGGGCAACTGTGGAGGCGATAGTCTGCGCCACAGACGAAACTAAACCTCTGGGCCCCCACCTGTGTAGAAGGATCTGAGTTCGCGCCATGCTAAAAATCATCGTTGCGAATTGTACCGTGTAACATCACCTTAAAGGGTTAAGGTAACTGTTAACTTAGAGTCTTATTATACACAGCTTACCGGGTCCTCCGTCACCCAGCCTTCCCATCCGCTTAGCAAATGTCCTACACAACCTGACAGGGACCTTATCAGACTGCATGTATCAGAGTCTTACTGGCATGACTAAGGAAAAGGATACTTTAAGTGAACGTCGCGGCTCTCTGAAGATGGAATCATCAAGCGTAAAGACAGGTAGCGTTAGGGTAGCCACGACGAAGACGGCAACGACGACTTCAAAAAACAATTGGTTTTGTGAGCAAACAACAGCTCTGCACTTGCATCACGCTTTTTAGTACATTTCTTTGACGTCCACTGCACGACTATCAGACTTAAAACTCCTAATGCGACGCTTTATGGAGGACATGAACATACGAGGGCAAAATTTTCCTTTCTCTTTTTGAAGCTGGATTAAGTCCTGAAGAATGCAAGTCCAGCAGAAATCGCCTATATTTGACAAATTTTTCCAAATAGACGCGATAAAGCTTGAAAGGATGCAAATTCAGTTTTTTGGGGCGACGCCGTTTCCACTACCGTCATCGTCGTTGTTACATAAGTTCCCTCTTGTCATAACTAGTGAATGCGATCTATTTTTCTGTTTGGTGCGCTCCAAGGCAGGACAGTTGTAATGTTGTGACATGGCCCATTTAACGCCACACTTAAGCACTTAACTGGCTCCAGACCTGCAAAGTGCTCTCCCTTTAAGTTTGGCAAAAAAAAAATGAAGAATGACAGTAAAATACAGCTAAGCTTTGACTGCTTTCAGTGATACTTTCTGTTGAAGGTTCTTTGGTTAAAAATATATCTTGTATCCAAATAATTTTTTTTTTTTTACTTTTCGTAGGCAAAGACGGTCACAAGATTAGTGGTGGTACCGATGCTGCAAAAACAGCAAACCCCACAAGTTCCCCTTCGAAATGGCCAGGGGTTCGCTTGCTCCTGTCTTTGTTGGCCACAGAAAACAGAGACAACAGTACCAAGCTACGGATCTTATTAAGCGAAGCTTGTGTAGCAGTGTATTTGAGTCTTCTAGCCCTTGCTTGGTCCAATTCCCAACCCAATCAGCTGTACCGACTGGTGGTCAATTCTCTCCATTCTGGAATGTGGGGAAAGGTGTTCGGTGGAGGCCTCAGAAGTGCTGTCCAGCAAACTGGAGGTAACTACAGTCGAACCCCGCTTTACAGACACCCGCGCGATACGGAAGCCTTGTTATTACGGACAGTTTTCCATATATCCTTGGGGAAAGAAAACCCTTACATTTATTTTCCTTAAATTCAACCCTTTTAATACAGACACCGGTTTATGGGAACAATGGTTACTTTTTTCTTGTCCGAACAACAGATTCTCATAGAAAATTAACCTCGCTAATACGTACGGACGCTTGATTGTAATACTTACCTATTCTGAAGGTACAAACCTTCGGATGATGCTGTAGTTGAGATCGATAAAGTATAGACGCCAATTTCTGACTATTTTGGCAACAAATTACGTTTTGTACATATGAGCGACTTTTGAATGATTTCGGGCACATCCGCAGAATAACGGTTTTTTGTAAGTTGCAGACGTTAAGTTTGACGATGCTAATATTTTGTTTTATTGATTTAGTATTTTATTCCAAAACATTGTCTTTTGAACCCTATTAACATGACATGAAGGAACTCACGATACCTGGACAACATGCGACCAAGCAAAAATTGTTTAAATTCTGAAAGGGTGCCAATTCTGTTTTCTTTACAGGGAGTGGAACCGACCCTAAGAAGAAACCTCGAACTCCTCCCAAAAGCAGCGTCGACAGCCGTGGAAGAGGACAAACCGGCGACAAGTACTGGCAAGGCGCTCGCCAGCGATGGAACTTCAAGTTGTTGGGCCAGAGTCTAACTGAAACAATGAGTCAGTGGCTCACATCAGAAGTGAAACCCGTTTATGTTGAACAGTTTGTCCCTCCAAGCACTACACTTCTGGAATATTTTATCCACAAGGTACAGCAAGTAAGGCGGTGAAGTTCAATATCATCATTAAGATTTGCAAGAAGTTAAAATTCAGGTCGTATTTTCCACTGGCTGAGGAACGAAATAAGTAGAAAATGTTTTCTCACACACCGCTGGGGCTGGGCCTGAGGGTTGTTTTGATTTTACGTGCTCAGTGTTGTTTGTCAGTTACTTTTTTGCTGTCCGCCATCTGACCGAAATTTCAGAGCCCCAGTTCCCACCCAACCCTTCGTTTGAGTTGAAGACATACACTCTGTTGTTTAGATATTCTTTATTAAGATGTCAGCATAGAGTCTTACTAAGCTTATAACTCTTGTTTCATACTACTACTGTCTTTTGTCTACATTTACGTATAATCGTAGGCTGAATTGGTTGTAGAAATAAAATAGTCAGTTGGCGGCGGTCAGCTTGACAATGGCTCCCATGGGTGTGTGAGAATTTACAATTCATCATAATTTGATTTGATTCTCGGGTTTTCGCGGTCAAACTTATCGCGAAATTACGAAAATAAGGGTCCTTTTAAGTAATGGTCCAGATAAGAAGGAAAGAACCAAACGCAATGAAAGCATCGGAATGCAAAGAGGTGCTAACTTTACTATTGTTTTTACTACACTTCTGATTGGTTTAAACATCAAATTTTGCGAAACGTTCGCAAAGCAGCATGTATATTAATCCCTTGTTTTCTAATCAACTTCCTTATAACAAAATCTCGTCTGAGTCTAAGTAACACAGAAATCCTATGTGAGGAACATGTAAAATTGTAAACTTTTCGTGGCGATTTTTTTGAACTCCTATGATTGGTCCAAATCTTTAAACACACAAAAAACACCCTTTAAAATGGAGTTTAAATACATTTTATTTCCTACACCGCCTTTTTGTAGGTTTAGGCATTCTCTGTGTGAAAGTGAAAACATTCCTAACTGGGGAAAGAGTATTGCGCCATAAAAAAGGAAACTGCTTCCCGTCTTACCCGGATCATTACTTAAACTAGAATGACTGAATATGTTTGTCATTTCTTAAATTCATGATCAAATTTGTTTTGACCAAAGTTTTGAATTAGAGAATAAATCCACACTTAAATTTCGCAAACTTTCAAAGTAGACTTGAGTATCTTATGTTTCGAGCGACTGACTGACCGCGTTTCATAACCTTCTGCCGCATGCTTTCACTCGAAAGCCCGTCGCTTCGGCTCTATTGTTTTTCAGTTTTGGACAAAAATTTGTCAAGCCTGAGGCAGGACAAAGGCATTTTTTGAAGGAATTCTAAACAGCCTCACCACCTGTACGCTCTCTCTGACCACAAAATAGACCTTTCCACGGTTTCTTTCAACTTTTGACGTGGACAAGGTCGGGAAAATCCGTCAACTCCGCTGGAACGTCTGCCCCTCCCACCTCCACCATACAAACGTCTGTAATTTTTCGCAACTTTACGGACCTATATCTTCGCACGCTTGAGGGCTATGGCTGTCAAACTTGGCAATTGTACCAATTTTAAGGCGGTGTTTTAAGTTTAGTGGTGTGGACGAATTTTCCCTAACTGATCCATGTCAAAAGTTGAAAAAACCGCGGAAGGGTGTGTTTGCAATGGAAGCAAAAAAGCCTACTTTTGATGAGCACTAAACTCTTTTTCTTTTTGCATTTTTCAGCCAGCCGAAGTAGGAGAGAAAGGGATGAGGCAATATGATTCTGAAGATGAGGTCAGCGAGTCAGAGGATGACGACCCCTTTGAAAGTGATCATGAGAGCGATCATGATTATTTCTCGTCAAAACGGAAGAAAAAAATCGAGCCTACAGATTATTTAGACCATGACTCGTACGGCTGGTGTCTTATGAATTACACCATAAGTAAACTAGTCCTGCATAACCTACAGACGTTTCTTCCTGACGTGGGGTTTGAACTTACAGGTATGGCTATACTTTATCCTGCATCTGACTCGTCTCCTTTGCTCCCACTGAAGTTAAAATAACGGCGTAATATCAGCTTAACTTTGGGAGGCAAGAGTTAGAACGCTAGGGTCGCGGTTTCAAACCATGGAGGGCAGGTCAATAGTTAGGGTCTTACAATAGCTGAGCAGCACCTGATAGCTGAGTGAGAAACAAGAGTACAGCCATTTAGAGATCCGAAGAAAACCGCCCAAAGTCTGTCATTCAAGTCTGAGGAGTCAAATACAGGTAAACCCAGCCTTGCGTAGATTAAGCGTGATTGCCTGTAACATGGGGGCGTTACGTGGGGGCAAGGGTGTTGAGTCTGGAAACCTTAGCTCTGAAGTTCTAAGTGCTAACCACTAGAAAAGCATACCTCTACAACCTAAGTCCGAATTCCAGAGAACCGCTTAATAGGTAGAGCGGTTCGTTAAATAGCTACACTGCTTAATTATGTGGACCTGTCAATTGATCTTTGTAAATAACAATTTGTCAAAAGCTGCTACCATTATTTCAAATGATAATTAAAGTTCTTATTTTTATCCGTTAGATTTGCCGTCGTTATCTTCCCAGTTACACGCTGCTCTGAAGATGGTCGAACGTTGGACTCAAACCTTTCATGATAAGCTGGAGAGTTTTCAGGGACCACCGCCTGACTTCATCTCGCAATTCCCCGTCAGCCAGGACGGATTTCCCAGAGGTGGACGAGCGTTGATGAGATACAAGGCGCTGATGGATCCACAGAACACTCCTTTTAGGTAATCACCCACCACGCGCGCGCGCGCGCGTGTGTGTGTTGTGTTGTGGTACCTCCAGTGGAGATGTAGTCTGCTACACAGCCGTTTTTAGTGTCGTCACGCAATGCTCCTCCCCACTAAGTTAGTGGAGCGTTGCGTGACGACACTAAAAACGGCTGTGTAGCAGACTAGTGGAGATGAAGAGAACTTGGAAAATCCCTTGCAAGTAATTGTTACACAGGACTCTGCTCCTAATGACAATTTTTTGATCGGCCTTAGGTTCATCCCACTTCCCCGCTCCCCTACCCCCTAGAAATGTTGAGCCCACAAGAGGTTTTATTCCCATCCATTTTTCTAAAATTCAACATTGTTTAGGGTGGGAGGGGGGAGTTCGCTAGTTTTACTAATATCACTGGAAAGGTCGCAACACTTTTTATATCCATTGTAGTCTTGCTTTGCGAGTTTTCGTTAAATTGACTGATGGCGCAACCGTTGCCACTCACAAGATATGTTGGCTTCTAACGTTGCTGTATATCTGCCCTGTTCTCCTCTTGGGGAGACGTTTCCGCTGATGATGACGACGTCGATGATGATGATGATGGTGGCTCCTAACTTCTTTCGCCGATACACTGCGTAGTTCACATGCACCAAAGCCAATTCCAAAATCATTACTTTGGCCATCGTACTAGAGGCTGGCCTGACAATTGCTTTTACTGCTGACCACCTGGAAAAACGCCACGCGATATTTTCAGTTGTAGAAAACTTCAGATGACTCACAGACATTCAGGCACTAAAATTCGATTCCTTGTTCCTTCTTGCTATATGTTACCTCGTTCTTTGTTGCTTCCTAGGTCCACTCGTAACTCTGCCGAACCTGTAAAACGTTTATGGCGAACCTTAGTACATCAGGAGTCCATAAAAGAACTTTTTATACAGAACATATTTAAGAGAGAGATGGCATCAAACGAAGAAGTAAGCCCTTTTCTCATTTCCTTACTTTTTCCCATTTCATTCTCTTTTTCTTCCTTCCTCGCTTTCTTTCCTCCCTCTTCCCTCCTCCTCTGACTTAGCCTCTCCTCACCCTCTTCTAACTCCTTTTACACTACTCTCTCCCCTTCCCTTGATCCCTTCTCTTTCCTATTTTTCTCTTCCCTTCCTCCCTCCTACTTTTCTCCTACCCATCCATTCTTTCCAGCCCCCTGCTCATTCCCTGCCTTCTCTCCGTTCTTTCTATGCCATTTCCTCCCCCTCCCCTTTTGATCCCGCCCGCTTATGCAAAATTCGGGAGGCAAATAAGGTGCATTATGGGAGATGTACAATTGTCGAATAGCGAGTCACCGTATTCATTCGATTAAACGCCGCACCTTTTTTTGCCTTGCGTATTCAAGAGCAGCGTTTATTCGAGGACGCTGTTTACTACGAAATTATATTTCTGAAATCTCTGCCAGTAATAGGCCATTTGCGATGGCGTCATTTTACTACTACGACCAGAATCTTTTAGGGTTTTGCTTTCGTGTGCAAATTAAGGCTTTTGTTATTTAAACCTCACTGGGATGAAATGAATTCTGGTCTTGGTAGTAAGAGACGTCATCGTGCAAATGGCCCATTACGATAAATCATTTTTAAATTGTTTGTAAACCAGAGAGATGTTAAAGTTCCATTATCTTAGTCTTTTGCTGAGATACAAGTGTAACTGTCTGGATGGTGTAGATTACAAATTTCTACCGAGTTTTTCTATGTATATAATCGCCAAATAAACGCCGCATTCTTCTGATTGGGTGCGGTGTTTATTCCGGGCGGCGGTTATTGGTAATTTTGCTGCTATCTGCGGCGTTTAATCGAGGGCGGCGCTTAATCGAGTAAATATGGTTCATTCTTCTGTCTGGCTTTTTTCCTACCTGTGTTTCTTCCTTTAGCCTTTCATTTCTCCGTCTCTACTCAGCCCGCCCTTCGTCCTCTGCTCTTTTCTTACCCCTCCTGTTTCTGTTTTAGGTTGATCGAGTTGATGCTGCAATCGAAACAAAGCCAGTAAAGATAGTCTACAAAGATGCCGAGGGTATCAGCACATTCTGCATAAATAAGGTACGTATTCCCAACAATACACTATCGAGAAGGGAACTGGAGCCTAATTGCGTCCCGCAGTTGTTTCTGGGATGGTTACTGGGAACGCGCCGGTCAGCTATTGGTCATTTTTTCCCTGTCCCTAGTATTAAACAGTCCCAACTCGGACCCAGCTTTCCTCGCGCTTTTTAAGTCCCGAATGGCGGCTAGGCAGCCACCTGGCAGCTAACGGTTTATTCAAGGTTGTGAATTTGGTATTTGCACATTCATTTCAGCGTTCATCGGTCGTAACTTGTAGTTGTTTTTCTTCCCAGGCAAATCCAAATTGTATCGCAGTAGGGAGTGTGAAGGATGTTGAAGAAGTGGATATTTCGTGTTTATTAAGTCCGGAACAAGTGATGTGGAATGACGATGAATTGGACCATGAGATGACTGATGCTCAGAGAAGAAGGTTTGTAAAGTGTAAAGAAACTAATTTGGATAAAATGTCTGTAATTATGATAGCGGGCCTTATCTCCAGGTTGCTATAACGCATGCGCGGCATGCATATGTAGCCAGCATTCCTTTGGTCTTCCAATAAGAATGAGTCAAATACATAGAACGCAATCTGATCACGTGCGTTGTGACCTTCTCTCGCGTAAAACTTACGCAAAGCACAGCGTTGGAACAAGAGCATTTTGACCTTCGATCGATCTCACCCGCACTCCCTGACCTTTGGTACTACTTGTTCATGTTAAAGAAGCTGTGTGTCACGAATTCTCCCAGAGTTTGGACAGTGCAAACTACCACCGAGTTGAGCGAAATATAAAAAAACTGCTCAAAACGTTAAAAGAAGGTATAAATAATACAGCAAATACAAACGTAGGCACGGATGGACAAACTTGATGGAGATTGAAAAGGATTGCAATTGTGGTTTTTGAAAACTTGTTACGCTAACAGTTTTTCAGAGTTCATTTCTGTTGTTTGTAACGTGTGAAATAATACTGGGAAGACATATTTGTTTGATAGGAAGCTGTGATTTTGTCATTCACAAAATGTTTTCAGTTGCATAGTGATTAAGGACACGAAATTGGCATTCTAGCCAAATTGAACGAGCCTGCCGTAACTCAGTTCCATTAATTTCTATAGTAGTGTCATTCTGCGGAATGTGTCAGGTGGCAGTAAAACAGATTACCCGCATGATGACAGCCTTCATCCTTCAATGCTACCACTCCTTATTGTCTCAAATTAAAATTATTTTGTAGTGTGGTGGGCCCAGTTCCTTGAAAAAAGTTTAACCCAGGATTAAGCCAAATTTTAAGCAAGGTTTACAAAATACTGTTGTGCCTTTACTTCGAAAAAAAGAAATAATTTCACAAAATGTTACTCTAAGCAATGCATAGGAAGATAAATACAGAAAGTGGAACAAACTTTTAATCGTAGATTAGCGCTAATCGGCCTTTCTGGAACCCGGATTGCAGCTGTTACTATGTAACGAATGCCTGAATAGATAATTTCTAGAGTCTAGTCAATTTATACTCGGCTTATTCTAAGCTAAGAAAACGGCCGACTTTTCCTGATTCCACCACTGGTTCCTCGCAAAATGACGTCAGAGGAACGACCGCAGAGAGAGGCTGATATAGCTACAGAACGGGAACTTCAGTTGACGGCGCGCGCAAACCAAACATCTGGCTTGACCAATTGCACAGCGGGAAATTGGGCACCGGAAGTCGCGTTTAGTCCCTTCGTCCCGTTTTCCCGTCGTCAACTCGTTCTTCAGAGGTCTATTCTTGTTCCAGAACACAAGCAAACGAACGCGCCCATAGCTATCTCGAAAAGCGCGCCAAAGTGGAGGGTAAGACGAGTTGGTTTGACAAGAGGTTAAGAAATTTTCTGGGCTTTCTTGTTAAGAGGCACACGTCAGAGGATTTCCATGTTTTACAGTAATTTTTTTTTCACCAATATTTGCGGCTCTTCCGTGTAAATGGTAAGCGCTCTAAGAGTCACGTCTTTTCAAGACTAACAGCATCTTGAGATTATGTCTAGTTTGAAAGTAAGCTCTCTTTTTGGATGAGTCGCGAGAAGTCACGTGTGGGAGGGGGGTGGGGACGGGAAAGGAGACGCGATAGTGAGAGTCGGGGAAAGAAAGGGAGAACTTTTTTTTTTTTCGTCCGTCCCCCGCGGACTGTCTTACGACTGACTTTTTTCGTTTCGTTTATTAGTGATGAACCGGACTACAATCAGGCAGGTAGTATCAGCCCCCAAAAGACGACACCAGGCGGCCAGTCTCATTACTCAGGAAGAGTGGTAAGTGTTAAACAAAGTGCCTGCTAAATATACAAGAAGACCTCGTTAACTTGTACCCCGCTTCTTTTGAGGCTTTTCGCTTGAATCAAAGTCAGATTTCTGGTGCTTCAATCAAACGTAGCTTTCAATTACAGCAGCTTACGATTGAATGATATTTCTTTAATTTGGCAAAGACATGTTACACTTAGTGTGGCGAGTCATTCGGACGAAATATACATGCTTTTAGACCGAATCAGTCAGATTTAGGAAACGTTTAGGCCATATCTACATCATACCGGATAGCCTCTCATGTCGACGTGAAAAAATAGTCCATCCTGGTGTGAACAGAAACAGCAGAGAACTGTAACAATTCGTCTAGGTATCGAGCATCTTGCCGCTGCGGTTGGCCGAGAGGGCTTGGTGCTCTAAATCCCTGTCGTCACTCTTGAATATTTACTTCCGTCTCAGTGGGTTCCGGTTATCGCTCCTATTCATTACGTCCGGTATAGTTCGATTACCTGTTCACCTCAAAGAGTGGCGCAGAAACCTAACCCATATGTGACTCTCCACTTTCAAGATCGGCACGGTGTAGCTTCGCTCCGTTACAGAAACCGCGCTGAAATCACTGTATTTATGTGTTAACAAAAGCCCTATCCGGTATGGTTGCCGTGCCAGGGCAAGAGGTATCCCGTATATCGTAGACATAACCTTGATGTAACATTAAGGAGCTCAAGCAACAAGGACGGCGACGGCTACGAAAACGTCACTTCAAAAGTGAAGTCGCGCTGCTTCAAACTTTATCGCGCTTATTCCATCTCGTCCAATTCGTCAAATGTTGGCAATTTTCTCTGGAGTTGAATTTTAAAAGACCGTATTGAAGTTCAGGAAAAGAAAAAGGCAATCGTTGCCTTGTGTTGGCGTCCTCCACAAAACGTGAAACTACGCATTTTCACGTCGTAGTCGTGCAGTGACGGCAGAAAAATGTACAAAAAAGTGTGATGCACGTGCAAAGTTGTTGCTTTGCTAATCTAAACCTGTTGCTTTTTTGCCGTTCTCGTTTTCGTCGCTGTCGTCGTTGCTTAAGCTCTGTATTGTCCAATCACGTAAGACGAAAGCAACCCCAGTGGGCCAACAAAATCTCAGAGCAAAAACGGTTGCCGGCTTTTCTTTTCTTTGGCATGTGACGTGATCGCGTTTTTGTTCTTTGCTTTTTACAGCTTCTTAGGAGGCCAGTTCATGGCGTCAAACGGATGGACTCTCATCCCCATCTACCTTACTGTAAGTAAATTCAGTTATATCAATCGCATGATACTGGTGAAAGAACACGACAAAAGATGTTACCAGTGGCAAACCGGATGACTGAAAACATCTACCCTGGGGAAAATTACCATTTACAAAGACGCAGACATGCAAGGGTGCCAGTGGTACTAAACTAAAATACCATAGTTATCTCTGACTGCACGACGCGTCGGTGGGCGTGGCTCAGCAAATGGTACCGAAATTTTCTGACCGTCTCGGTTGGATGGCCCTTGGAAAAAGGGGAATAGTTTTGAGGATTTCGACTTCTGTGGAAATTTTGACCTAAATGAGCTGCAACGAAATGTCCGTTTTCCTTTGCAAATCATAAGCGCTCGACTAGTAAGCTCGAGTGACATACCCAGTGCCAATCGCGGAGAAACAAATGTATTAAGCCCTAGTTGGTTAAGAGATAAAACTGAGAGTTCTTAGAGAATGCTATAAACAAACTGGCAGTAGCGCCTCCCCGAACTGAAAAGTTTCAAATCAAGTATTCGATTCCTTGCCACAATTTCCCAGAGTAAGGTGGTTTTTTGCACGGCTTCCCTGTAAAGCAGGAAGTTTTCTTTCTTTTACGCTTAATATCAGTTCAATTTAAGTAGATTCATCCTAATATACTATCATTCCTTGTAATTGCCTGAACGATTTTACCGTGTCTAAAAAACGTTATCTTGCTCATGTTATCTTTTCCTATAAGAATATACGTCCCGTTGGAGGACTAAGCCGATTTTGTTGTAAATACGTTTAATATAATGTACCAGTCAGTTCCAAAACCGCCCATACCCCCAGCGGGCATGTAACGTTTTTGAGAAAAAATTTAATCAAATTCCCTGGTATTTTGGCAGTTTAGATGGTCAAATGCCCCGCTGGCTAGTGCTTCAAAAAGCATCAAATTCCCCTCCCACCAGCGACTATTCAAAAATTTTCCCATGCGTCAAACCGTTTATTCAAATGTAAATATCGTACTAAGCACAACCGAAATATACTATACTTCAAAATATACTATATTTATTTTTTCTGTAGATATCTCAGGCTCCCAAGATGGCAGCATTCGCATGTGGGAGTTTGGTCATTCTCAGGAAATTACATCGCATCACACATCAGGTTCTTATCAAAGAGTCACCAGGGCACGGTTCAGCCCGCACGGGAACAAGGTAATATTGATGTTATATTAATGAGTACTGTCTTTACTGTATTTAAAAACAATTTTTATTTTCTTTTTACTTAAAAGTAATGATAATTTTACCTCCGAAAATTAGTATGTAATAAATATATCGCGGTTTTCCCTTCCAGTGTTGAACATTATGTAGCTTCTGCATCGCTTTTTATCTACAAAGATGCAATTAACAGACAGTAATCGAATGCTGGACTGATATTGGCTTATGTCCGACCCAGTATGAACTGTGGTGAGACATTATAACTAAGTTTGAGCCACTTTCCGCATTAACAATAAAGTTACACAACCAAAATGATCCAGACATATTTCATTTGCCTGTATCCGTTTTCCCACGCTTGAATTGAAAGGGAAGTGTGGTTTTCCGCACGCTGAGGAACGAATGAAGCGGAAAGCTGACTTTTTCATACAGAGCTGGGAGAATGGGTTCCAGTTTGCGGGTGGTCACATGGTGTTTCAGAGTTCAGTTGTTCAGTTATTTCCTGACCTGCCCCTCCCATCCACCCTTCGTATGTTTTGTGAGTTGTTTTGGCATTTTTGAAGTAGTGCCATAGCTTTGGTTGTTATATTTGATTGTATCTAGTCTCAGTGTCTTGTCAGCCGTATATTATCTCTTATGTGCTGTAGTACTTGTGATTTGTGGTGTTAATATTAAAGGTCGGGCTGCATGGTTCGCTTGGCATGGCTCTAATTTGTGTGTGAGAAAATATCCTTCAACTCTTTAAATGAGATGTAAATTTCTGGTCATCGCGTTATTTGTGCCACAGGCATACCAGCTAAGCGGTCGAAGGGGTACGTTATGAGCAGTCAGTTATGAGTTACTGCTTTTCTGTTTAAGGTTGGAATATCAGATGTCAGTGGTCAGCTTTTGTTGTGGCAAGTCAGCATTAGTAGTACTTCGCCTGATCCATTTCTGGTAAGACTATTTTGTTGCTTAGTTCAAAGGTAAAAGAGACATGAAGTTATTTTTATAACAGTTAGTTCGTCTCGTGAAAACTTTTGCTGTTTACCTAGTATATAAAAAAGCTGTTTTTGCGGAGGGGATTAAGGTATGGGGAGTAAGTATATTTGGCACGAAGTGGTAATTGTGGGGACGGGACCGCCATTTTATTTAGTCACCTGAGCCACGCGACGGTCTAGCCGTCCACCACTAGGATTGATCCGGCCCTGGAGTCCCAACCCGCGACCTCCTTCCTACCAGACCAGCGCTTTACCAATTAAACAAAGCGTGTAATATTCCTCGACCATGGGCGTTTAGGCAGCGCATGTCAGTCAGAATAGCTCACGTTCAATATATTTAAATTCTAACACCACTCCGAGGCTTTAGGGTCAAAATTGCAAATTTTTTACGACTCCGTTGTCTCACAATACCCAGAAGAGACTTGAACACAAAGAAGACCAAACCAAATATAGAAAAATGACCAGAAAGCCACGGAGTCATGGTAGAATTTTAATATATCGAACGTGAGCTATTATTTCGGATGAATTTAGGTTTCTGGGAAACTGCCCACCTACCCCTCTCCTATCCAACATTTTGCCCCAAGTGAGAAGTAAGTGTTAATGTTGACTTAGGGGAGGGGTAGGTAGGTAGTTTCCCAGAAACCTAACTTGATCCATTATTTCTTAACTGCTGGTTTTTCGTCTTCCAATTACTCTTCTTTATGATATCTAGAGAAGAAAAATGGGCCGAGTTAGCTTTCGCAAAGATTTCTGGTATTGTTATTGGGGACTCGTCGGTCAGCTATTGGTCAATTGTCCCCCTGTCCCCACTAACAGTCCCAGAGGACTTTGCGAAAGTCAACTCGGCCCAGTTCCCTTCTCGTTTCTAAAGTGGCGAATAACACAGTTTGCGTGGGACGGTACGGAAAGGCACTCTTGCCGCTTTTATTTCTTATGTAGACGCTGAAGTGCCACAATAAACAGACAAACGACTTCGCCTTTGTTGGATCGTCGAGTTTTATAGCAACCGCAGGTCACTCTTCGGATGGAAGGTAAGCCTCCTCATTCCTTGCTACCAACACGCGCGAAAGTGCGCGGAAAAATTCCCTCGCGCGAGGTATCTTCTCATTTAGTCGATTTTTGTTTTAGCTGATTAGAATTTTGTTTTGAACTGCGATATGGTAGTTAACTATAAAGCATTTTTAGATTCAGGCAACTCCCTTTTAAAATCCCACACTTAATCGGAACATTTTCCATTTTTTCCTTTCTCTCTAGCAATGTCTGCCTTTGGGACACGCTGATTCCTCAAAATAGTTCACTTGTTCACGGTAAGACATTTTTCTGAAAATAAAATTCGTTTTCAGCATATCTAGGATGTGTCTAGCCTGCGCTACAGACGAAACTGAATTATGGTTAAGTCAACCTTCAAAACAGCGCCGAAATCCTCATTCTGGGCTCCCCACCTATGTACCGAGAATTGAGTATGTTCCATGATTGGCCTGTTAAAAAAGCCGTTGCCGATTTGCCAGTCAGGTTGAAAGGAAATTCAAAACGCACTGGAATCTTTTGGAGGTCCAGAACAAGGAACTCGTCGCTGCTTCGCAGACGTTAATAACCGGGGTTAGATTTCGTCTGCGACGCATGCTAGGGTGTGTCAGGTCCTTACGCGTCGTCCAAGTAAATAACCCTTTTTCTTTCATTTCTTTTTTCAGCATTTATTTGCCATGAAAGCGGAGCTCCCTGTCTTGCCTATGTTCCCGGTCAGCAGCTTCTCATTTCAGGAGGTCGAAAAGGAAATATTTGTATCCTTGTGTTTTAGAAGAAATTGTGCCAATCTGTCAATAGCGTAGCCTCGTTTTGGTCGTAAGTGTGGCCTACGTGAAGTCAGATAAATATCGAGTGCAGCTAAATGTCGTGGGTCGTGGGAAGAGGTCGTGGGTCGTGGGTCGTGGGTGTGGGTATATGTCGTGGGTAAAAAACAAAGTATAGAAAAAAGAAGAGAATTAAAAAAAAATTACAAATTTTACAGAAAAAAATTGTGAAACTCATGAAAAGAAAATCTCCACTTACACACCAGCCCCATTCCCATTCTCCGCGTTCAGCAAAGCAAATATTAAAGCGAATCCTTAGTACAAACGGACACATAAAAAACCTTGAAAGTGTAAAGTCATACGGCTATAAAAATGCAAATGAAAAGAAAACCCTCAATAAAATTTACAGTTTCTCCTTAACTTGAAAGGTTGAACATGAAGATGGTTTCTTCGTATGCTAAGTGACCTGAAACTTTTTTAAGAGAGACTCGCCCAAAGATATGAAATAGCTCAAAATTGTCCTTTTTTCCCCTCATTGCGTTTTCCGATCTTCCTCTTCCCTTTTCCACGATGATCGCATTCCATCGTGTTAACAAATCTCCGCTGATCATTGGAATTGTAGATCGAATAAAGATTAAGTGAGCAGCTATTTCCATTCAGCGAGCCAGAGCTGTTGCATTAACTTTCTGCAAATTGCATGTTTCGTCATATTTTACATCTGATTCGTTTATTTCGCGGTGATTGCTCAGGTATGGATAAATCTTTGCTGACCGCGGGGAAGGAGAATGGGACTGGTGTGTACGCGGAGATTTTCGTTTCATTAATTTTACATTTTTTTCTATTTACTTTGGTAATTTTTATTTTTATTTTGTTAATTCTCTTATTTTTTTCTATACTTTTTTCATACCCAGACCATTTACCCGAGGAGATTTTTAATTGATAAAATCAATAATCAAGAACTTTTTTTATTTATTTATTTTATTTTTATTCTATACTTTTTTTTACCCACGACATTTACCCACACCTACACCCACACCCACAATCCACGACCTCTACCCACTACCCACGACATTTATCTACACTCATAAGTATCTGACTTACATGAGTCCGACAGCAAGAGCGTAGATATAACATGGACCAAAATCAGGAACAAGTCTTGTTCTCGTAAACGATCGCTTGAAGGTGTTTTAAGAGAAGGCTGTGCGTGTTGTTGTCTTCAACACAGTCGTTATTTCGGTCCTGATCCACCGCTCCTACCTCGTTGCTTTACAACCAAAGTAACGGCTACGTAGGGGACTAGAAGAGTTGCTATTATACATTGTACGGACTGTCTGTCTTCTCATTGACTAAGAGCCTACATTTGTTTTTGGAAACCAGCACAACCAACAGATTGGTGACTACTCTCTAGGTTGCGCGCGCAATGCATGCTTCCCAAGGGCAATGTCAAACTTCAGTGCGACGGTGGGTTTGTCGTTATTTATTATAAAACAATTATTAGATTCGGTTTTCGTTTTATCTGGAATAATCAAGGTCGAGGAAAATGTTATCAGCCGAGCCCGAAAACCTCGACCTTGATTATTCCGGATATCTCAAAACCCTTATCCAATAATTGTTTACAAATAACATTTAAAAAAGTCGCAGGACTGAAATGAAAGCTACTTCACAAGTTACCTGTTCAGTTACTCAATCAATTTGATTCCAATAGTTTTCTCCTTTTGATATGTGGATATGTCTCCCCCCAAAAAAAACAATTATGAGAAAAAAAATGGGAAGTAGGCCGGGAGGGGGGGCAAAGAGTTGGCTCTTTAATGTTTTGCTTGGGTAGTCCTTAGACCCGCTAAAGGTAACCATTTTGCCTTGACTCATGGGAGGTATTTTTGATTTGCGGCAGCGGCAGCTGAGACACACTTTTTTAGCTCATGACGCCCCGGTTAAAAGTATAGTTGTGGACGAAAACGAGGAGTTCTTCATTTCTGGTTCAGAAGATGGAGATATTAAGGTAACTACAAGCCGCACTTCTAAATTACGGGCTATTTATTCACCTTTTACTTAAGTTCAAAACGTGTTCTCAAAGCATTGCCTAGTCCACGTACGGCGTTTTTCCAGGCCTTCTCGGTCAATTCACTTCCTTGACGTGTTCGAGGCGAACAGGCAGGAAACGCCTCACTTCTTCGCTTGGACCACGTGACCCGAAACGCATTAGCCGCGCGGAGGAATGAGGCCTAGGGACTAGGCAACTCAATGCATTGTGAATACTCTATCCAATGCGTTTACAATGAATGACGCAGTGGATTTACTGACATAAAAAAATGTGTAGACAAAGTCTGGAGGAAAGTGAGGAAGCCTTTTTAACGCATCTCCCTTGCCCCACACTACAAAAACCCCTACCCCCTTCCTCTTTAAATTTCTGCGATTTATGGAAATCAAGCCAGTGTGTTGTTCTATACAGACCCTTGTCGACTGAGTGACTAAATTAAGGAATTGGTATATCTTTCTGTTAGGTTTGGGGGTTAGCTGTGCATGAAGAATTGGAGTCTTATCCAAAAGAACACGGCAGAGGAGCGTATCTCCTCAAATACGGGACTCAGGGTGTGGCTCTTATGCACCTACAGCCCAATGGTCAACTGTTTTCGTGCGGTGGAGACGGCACTGTCAAATGCAGACAGCTGTCAATAAGAGAAACTATCGTCAACACCAAGTTACCTTGAGGTGGGTTTTGCGTCGATCAAAAAAATACCTCGAAGTGGATTCTCTGTCAGATTGATTGTCAAGATACTTTGAACTGGGCTTTATTTTGATCAAACAACTGCTTTGAAAGGGAGCTGTTGAAAACAAATCATCGGAGTCAGTGCTCAGTCAGCTACGTGGTTCGGCAGCTATTACTCGCAGAAATAATCCTGTCATGCTGCAAAGGAAAGTCTTATGCTTCAGTGGACATTGTCAGGGAAGCAAATCAGCAAATCAAAGTCTCATATAATCTACAATACTCGTCACATCTGTTGAAAAACACCTGTCATGTTACGCCCCCCAAGTGTTATTGCACGTATCACCCATTTGCAATAGGCCATTTTCGAGTTCCCCCGGGCCTCGGTATCAAAACGAGGTTAAGTGCTCAGCCTTTGATATGGAAATGATTCTTTATTCTCATGCAAATAAAACTCGTTTTCACAAGAACGGTTGTGCACTTGGTCTCATTTTGAAAGTGAGGGTTTTTGGAACTCGGAAGTGGCCTATCAAACTCGAATCTAAGCATTGGGGAAGAAGAGAAGAAGTACTCCCGGGGAAACGTTAAATATGTTGGTTGAGTAGGCGTGACATGAAAAATTCTCACTTTCAGTCTACTGTTTCAACGAAATTTGACGAGTGTTGTAGGTCATTTCTAAATAGCCGTTCCCTACATTGATGGAGAGGCAACCTTGCATTCCTCGCGAACTTCAACCTTTTAATGTGAAAGGCACTGAATGAACATCGTAAGCTGAAAAAGCGTAAAAACCGATAAGATTTTAATTAAACAAAGAGCTTGAATCTAATCTCAAAATAGATACAATCTGTACAAATTTAGGAATTACATTTTATCATGCCAAGACTTGGTTGTCCGAAAAAGTGTTGTATCTGTTACGCAACGATTTTTACAACATAAACGTTTCCGAGACGTGCTTGTGTATCAAGGGGCTTCTATTCAAAAGCAGCCTAAAAATTAGTCGTTATTTTATTTTAACCCCTGCATTTAGCAATCCGGTCCTCTCGAACAGTATGTTCTAAACGAAGAATTTGAACAACAGATCATGGAAAAGCGTTTTCTCGAATTTCACGAAGGCTCCATTACCAGCCGCTGTTCAGGAAATGAACCCGCGCTCCACCTCCTTCTGGGTGATCAAAAGAATCGCTGCCTTTACAAAACAAAATAGTTACGTTTAGGTTCTTTTGGCTGTAGAACAATCAATTTTGTTTCATTTGTATTGTACCCTCCTTTGTAATGGATATTAAATAGGCTCTGAGTTCTAAAAACTGACACTTTCAAAACGAGGCTAAGGGCCTGTTTACATGGAGGTGGGGGACCCCATAACCTACTTAGGTGGGGTAACCCGCCTCCCGCCTGCCATATAATCTCCAGGAGCTCATCACTTGTGATTTCTCATTGTTATTTGATCACATTTACATGATAGGTGGGGTGACCCGCCGCAGGTTACCTCACCTACCTGGGATCCCCAAGCTCCATGTAAACAGGCCCTAAGTGCAAAATCTTTCTTGTGAAAAATAGTTGAATTTGCATAAGAATAAAAATTCATTAATATCGCACTTAGCCTCGCTTTGAAACAGAGGCTTTGTAGGCATGATTTAAATTCGAATTGTAAATAAGCAGAAACATAAATGGGTTATGTAATTGACCCTAGCTGATAAAATTAAGGCTTGCAATTAGCCTTTAAGATGTTTAAGAAGTGTTGAAACCGCTCTCGTAATTTTCTCCTTCTTTGAATCGCGAAGAAGTGCAGTATTTGAGTCTTAGCGTAATCGTAATAAATATTAAATACAAAAATGGTAGATTGAAGAAAAATTGAAACGGTACTTGTCCTTTTGTAACCGTCTGTGAAGTGTGTGGCACATCAAAAATATGAGAACGGAACAAAGCTCAGGGAACAGGAAACTCCGTTCCCATGGCCACCAGGGGACGGAAGAAAGAAAGACCCTGGGACCTAGCGTCTCTCCACGTTGTCACAGGGAAATCTTGTAGGCGTGGGTTGTTTTGAATAGAGGGAAAATTGCAGAAAGTCGTGAGTAAAATGTGGTGGGTCCTGAGTCATGATATTTTGGTTTGGTGGGTGGTTTGATTGGTGGTTTCGGAAGCGTCTTCCTCTTCCCTCCCCCTAGAGCTATAATCCCCGACGCCTGCCCCCTCGGTACATTTGAAAATCAAGATGGCCGCCATTAACGATCTCACGAAAAAATAAGGGACGGTAAACTGTCTGTCGAACTACCGATAACTCGAACTTTTTCTTCTTCCCTTTAAAGGTTTAGGAGTCGACTGTATATTGGTTGAACTTGTACAAATGTTCACAGTTTTGTATCCTCCAGGATTACCTGTTCAAAAGTAAGCTGCAAATTACTGTGGTCCTTTGTCCACATTTTTTGCTGTGTCACCTGCGTCAAAGCGGCAGCCATCTCGTCTGTTCCTGTATTTCCTTTGCTTCCTATTACTTCGCGCCTGGTGAAAAAGAATAAGCTTAAGGCTTGTTTAGACTCGGGAATCCGTAGTGCATACAACACTGGATTGACTAAGGAGTTGAAAAAAAATATCAAGAAAGTCACCAGGAAAATGTTGTTAGTTATTTTGTACCCAAGAAAGACCATCAGGTTATAAACAATTGTAGGGATCCAGGAACCCGAGGCGATAAGAGATGCAAATAATAAGGTATTCGTTAGGCGTCTGTTTTGCAAGGCTCTGTTTTGGTGATGAGGAACAGTTTTTTGCTGAAACTTTCTCCAAATACCCATGGTCAGGCCGCAGATAGTCAGAACAATGGACAAGCCGTATAAACACAGCAAAAAATACAAATCCACTATGCTTAAGAATTTTAGTAGAAAAAAAGTAGAAATAGAACCAAGGATAGCCAATAACCACACCGTGAACATAACAAGCCTGTATGCTCGCGTAGAAAGTGTTCGGTGCTTCAGCGGCCAATAGATGGCGTAAAATCTCTCAGCAGATATCAAAGCAGCAGAAATAAAAGAGGTCTGCGCGAAAACAACAATAATCATTTTGAGAAAAACGGGAGAACTTTCCTGCGATAACTGTTGGTAAGTCACAAGTGTAAAAATAGATATAGGTAGACACAAACTTCCCAACAGAAGATCAGCAAAAGCCATATTTATAACAAGATATAAGCTTTTCTTTGCCCGAAGCTTCTTGATAAATGTAAAGGTAATAATTGTGAATAAATTTCCCAAAGTAATGAAAACCGCTTCCCAGGTAAGAACACAACTCCAAGTGATGACTTGTGCGTTAGAAAGGACTTCTTCAGCATGTGAAGGGGGCTCGTCTTGTAAGTCTTTTGTGGCTGCCATCTTCTTTATTTCTTGTTTCTGGCGTAAGTGAAGTTCTTACTTTTCTTGTTAACGCGTCGCGGAGAGGAAAAAACCTGGCCATGAAGCCAGTCTTTCTCACAAAGGCAATTTTTCTGATTTGATGAAGGTAAAATCCATTATTTTTCACTACCGGAGCTTTAAATAACGCCTGTTTTCCGGCCACATAACAAAGCAGGACAACATTTGGCATATCTGACAGTAATGAGACCCGTAATACACTTTTCGGAAACGATAATTCACCAACTACTTCCCTATGCTTGTTGTGCGAGAAGCCGCTACTTACTATTTTAAAGAATATTAGAAATACCTTATATAAAATTATCCCGAAATCACGGATGCAGCTTACATTGCAGTCTAAACAATAAAATAATGCAAAACAAAATACATAGGCAAGAGTAACAGGCTCCTCGCTATAAAAGAAGCTAAAAGATAAAGTTAAGTTGAATGAGTGACGTCATAATGACAAGTTCGATTCAAAGATGTACGAAGAGAACTTTAATTTCAGGTTTGCTAACATTAAAATTGTAATATCATGCAGTTCAAACTTAGATGAAGCGGCATGGAAACGAAAGGGCTATTTCCTGGCAAATATTGACAACCGATTAATTTCAAAAAATAACTAAAGGTATGTCGCTAAAATCCTCAACAACGATTAAACAACAAGAACAAAAAGGTGCAAGCGACAATATAATAAACTTAGTGAGCAAAATAATTTTTCTGTGGTTGTCAAAAATGTAACTTCAAAAATAACAAAAAAAAGCAACTGAGGATACAAATGGAAACGCAGAGGGCCCCGATCAGTAGGCCAAGAAGTAAGCAAATTTAACACGTCAACCAAGAAATTTATCTGCGACCGTTAAAACGATAACTTCAAATAATAAATGTATCCCAATATAGCAAGAGTCACAAAAGTCTGTAGCGATGAAATGGCAAATGCAAAGAGGAGCTTCAGCAGATACCCTGCTCGCGGAGCGGAGGTTTCTTTCCAAAAAGATTATTTATAGCACGTACGAAGTCGCTGGCCCCGCTGACATTCGCCTAGCCTTGTTTGCGTAAACAAGTCGATCACGCGAATGTCAGGCGACTTCGTAGGTGCTATGAACCATGCCCAGTGAAAAAAAAAACTCAGCTAGCAGGGTATCAAAAGACCGCAAATTTAGAAAATTAACGTTCTTGCGGTACTTGGCCTTTTTGTTACAACCGCTTCAACAATTGTAAAAAATGTCCCCCTTGTTACTTTTAGCTACTTTTGGTAAATGTTTTTTTCGTGAAGTCATGACCTGTTGCGAGCCCTCTTCGCCTTTCCCATTCCCCTCTCTTGTCTTTTACGAATTTTGTTATTTTTCTCGAAATAATCAGTTTTGAAGTTATTTTTGTTTTCACTATGTAAACTGCCATACAGATAAATTTCCTTGTTAATTTGTTTATACTACTACATGAGAAATTTCTGCAATTTGATTGGCTTAGAGCAGTGGTATTTCAGCTTAATTTAAAATACCTACATGTGAAAATTACAAACCTTTTGAGAGTAGTAGTAAAAACAAATAATAACACGATTTGTACGTGATATTTGGCATAAATACCACTTGCGATATTTCAAAATTGTCTCAAATTTCACTCGCCTAACGGCTCGTGAAATTACGTATAACAATTTCGAAATATCACTTGTGGTATTTATGCCAAATATCACTACAAATCATGCTATTACCTATACTAATTTCTCTAAATTTACTAAAATCGTGGCCTGCTGAGGGACCTTTCTATTTCTTTCGCATTTGCATTTCTTTCCCTACATGCGACTTTTACTTTTCAAATTTCCACATTTTTGTTATTTCCCTTGGAATAGTTTTTCCTATCACATATATCTAGCCGGATTTTTTAAAACGTTATCGCCAAATGGACCTTTTGCGTCGAACAGGTTTTTTCGGCCAAAAATTACCTTCAAAGTACCTACTATAAAAGCTAAGAGCGCAACCATTGTTTTTTTTCTCTTCTCCTCCTTTCCTTTTCCTTCGTTACCGTCATTTTGAAGCTTCTCGAGCTTAAAAAACCTGCCTTTTGACGCCTTTTCACCCAAATGACTGCAAATTTCGTTAGGTTAGTTTTCAAGAAATCGGGTAGATATATATTGGAAAAAATATAAATAGTTAGCTGAGAGCGAAGGGTTGTCATCGCTGTATGTCTATAGTGTGCGAATATCTAACAGGGCTGTTTTCGTTCCTCTGTTGGCGATGGATAGGGCAACGAGGGGTTAGCCGGGCGATGCCGATAGCCAGCGCAATTTTGCCCGGGCTGCGGTGGGAGCCCGCTCACGGGTTTCACGCAACCGGTTGCCACTCTGCTGCGTTCACTAATAACCCAGTACTATTACTGGCGTCGGTTTCGACACCATCTTTTTGCTTGTGACTACTTAAGTCCACCCGAACCTGGTGAGGGTGGAATTAGGTAGTCATAAGAAAAAAATGGTTCGAAACTGATGCCAATACTACTACTAGTGTAGTTAACCCACAACAGCATTCATGATTTAGGTACAAATTTAATATAAAAGCTATGTAGGCGACGCCTGAGTTACAATTAATTAGCAATTAATCAAGTCCCTTAAGACTTTGTTTAAGACAGCCCACTTCAATGAACAAGAAACACAAAGAAATTTTGAGGAGAACCCCGTTCTGGTTCGAAACTAATGCCAGTACTACTACCATTGTAGTTAACCCACAACAGCATTCATGATTTAGGTACAACTTTAATATAAAAGCTATGTAGGCGACGCCTGAGTTACAATTACTTAGCATTGCTTTAAGACTTTGTTGAAGACAGTCCACTTCAATGAACAAGGAGTTCCAAGAAAAAAAAAATTGAGGGGAGCCCAGTCCCCTGAGATTCTCATGTGTCCATAATATATCTAGCTACATCTCCAGGGTGACCAGGATAGTCAAAACTCCATGCTGTAATCTGCGGCTGCAAAGATGCAGAAATAGATATCAGTGTATGTTAAGCAAGATACAGGTAACAACCATTACACATTGTAAAATAGCATTCAACAACACAGGGCGTGGGGGGGGGGGGAACGACTGGACGACAATAACGCCTGGTACTTGTTCCGGGATTAATAAGAGCGGCCACAGATGCCACTGCTCTAATAGGAGCCACCAACTTTGAGTTGAACATTCGACGCCGAGATAATATCAAACGGAACTGAACGAAGACCACAAGCATCTGAGTTCCAGCTCAGTACCGTTTACCAAGTCCTGTTTGGCGACGATTCTGAATTGTCCAAACAGCTTAAAGACCTCGCTGAGGCAACAAAATGGACGCCCACAAACACCAGGGGTTCAGGCATTTCAAGCACGCCAAGTCCAAAGGATTTGGACACAAATACAGAGGTCAAGCAACGAACACAAACAAGCAGTTATACTGGAAAAAGCCCGGTCCCACACACAACAAGCATAATCAAGAGGGGAGGAGGCAAAGAAAATGGGTCCAAAAAAACCCCTCTGCCAAGGCAAGTGATTCAGGATGTCGGTTTCAGGCTGGTAGATTGCAACAATTTGTCCCAGCATGGAAAGAAAATAACTACTAGTGACCCTGACGTCTAAGACTGGGTTGAGCACTGTCACATTGAATTTATCATTGGACAATGCACCGCCAATTCAGTATGGTGGTTGTAGGAGCATCAAACTCAATGACAAAGAATCAGATATCATTGGTGTAGAAATTGCCAAACTCCTGGATAAAGGGGTTGTTGTCGAGTCAGCTCCTTCAGAGGGAGATTCTATCTTCCCTGGTTTTCTGAGGCTTAAAAAGAATGGGATAGATTACAGGATGATTCTTAATTTGAAAGAGTTTAACAAATTTGTGGCCTATCAACACTTTAAAATGGACTCACTTAAATGTGCCACAAGCCTAATGACCCAAGGATGCTATATGGCTTCAGTAGACACAAGGGATACCTATTACACCGTACCAGTACAGCTCTAGAGCACCAAAAATATTTAAAATTTACATGGAGGAACAAATTGTATCAATATACTTGCCTACCTAATGGCCTGGCATCAGCGCCAAAAATCTTTACTAAGCTCTTAAAACCTGTGTTCAAGGTACACAGAAAAAAAGGCCATTTATCTCTGTCATATATGTATATAGATGACTGCAACCGCTCGTCCTAGGCCACCTGGGAATATGAAACTCGCCTATTAACCGTTAAAACTCAGAGCCACCTGGAGTAGTTTGTGATTACCTTTGCTGCTAATTCAGAGCAACCCTGAGTTACTAAAGAGCAGCTCAGAGCAACATTGAGTAAACAGTGAGTACTTTTCAGCTGTGACAATCAAAAGTACTCACTGTTTAACGTACTGTAGTAGAGTTCTACTTCTTGTGTATTTCATGTTGAAATAGTAACCAGTAAATAAAGTAATTCATACAACAACATACTTAACATAAAAACAGTGTCCTTTTCAAGACGGCTGAAGTGTTCTTCTGCAATCACTTCAGTCCTGTCTGTCAGTTGAACACGGCAATTGGACGCTTGAAGGCCCAGCAATGGGGCCCCTTTCTCTTTAAGCTCAGCAAGGGTTTGCACAACAACAGCTGTCTGTACGCTACCGTTTGTTATCTTCATTGTACGTCGATCGTATGGTCCTGAAGCAGCCATGGCGTATCAGGCCCTTAAAAGATAATAAAAATGAAAATCATTCAACTTTGTTATATTTACCTGCATGTTGTTCTAAAAGTAAAGTTTCAGTAAAACAGGCGACAAAAATGTGCAACTTGTTTCGCACATTGCTGCAAAACACGTCGAAAAGCAATGTTGTGCGTTTTACCACCTACATTCAAACCTGTCTCGCAACAAATAAAGGTTGCTGCAAGTTGGGTGAATACTGACTTCTAATTGGATAAAATTATGCTGGAGTCATGACATACACGGAAGTTACGTTACTTGCTTCCATCCTCAGGGCAGATAGTGGGGGCGAGAGAAAGTCTAAACGGGCGGGAAAATATGGCACAAAGAAAAGAAAAGAACAGCGAGAAGAGCCCCTGGGGACAATGTCTTACCAGACCAGTTCCAAACTGTTGCAGTCGTTCTGGCTTCTGATTGGTGCCAGAAAACTTTTGTGTTTTTCTGCCCAATCAGAAGGCAGAACGACGGCGACTGTTTGGAACTGGTCTGGTAAGACATTGTCCACAGGGGCTCTTCTCGCCGTTCTCTTCTTTTCTTCGTGCCATATTTTCCCGCCCGTTTAGACTTTCTCTTGCCCCCACTATCTGCCCCTAGGTCTCCGAGGATGCTGAAGGCAAACTTATCTTGAAGCAAGTCAACATTTTAATTGTCCAAAGTGTAAAACTGAAAAATGCAAGAATAGTTTTCTTTTAAGTTATGTTTACAGTAGTTGAGAACTCGATATAATTTTGTTTTTTATTGTATATAGGAACTTGACGCATTCTTTTGAATTAGTGATTTTATAACAGTTTTAAAATCATAAATTATATTGGATCATCTTCCTTTGATATTAGTTGTAAAGCGCTTTAATTAGTTGTAATTTAGTTCAGTCGCAAATTATTACATTTGTAAACCTTATCGCAATTCACCTCTTGGATGCAAGTTTTTAAAGGTGAATAAACTATCTATCTGTCTATCTATCTCAGCAGTATCAAAAGCAGCTGATAAGTCCAAAAGCAAAAATATAACTGATTCCTGATTATCATTAGCAATGGCAATACTATTGAAAACAGTACCATGAAATTCCCTGTGCGCAGATTGGAGACCTCACCAAGACAGTTAGCATCAAGATACTTTATTAACCGTCTTTAACCCTCACCAAAAGTTTTTGTTTTATTTTTACAGAGTAAAACAAAGCTTTTAGCGAGAGAAGAAACTTCTATGCTTTACACGTTTTATCACCCATGTTCAAACCTGTCTAGCAACAAATAAGGTTGATGCAGGTTGGGGAAAGTTGTTGCAGAAAGTAGAGAGCAGTTCTACTTTTTGCAGAAAATTCTGAACATGTTGCACGTTTTACCATCTTTGTTCTCTCAGAGAGTAGCTTGGCTGGTAGTTTGTGGAGAGTGTGACATTGATTAGCACATATTTCAAACAACTTTACCACAATTGCCTCTCTTCTATGACACAGTGTTTAACAAAAATCTAGATAGCTCTAGAGCATTAGCATATGATAGCTCAGGGTAAATAATCTTTATAATGTGTTTTTGCAGTCTTTCTAGGTCTTTGCTAAGATCATTTGTTAGAGAGCGATGAAAAACTGGACTGCCGTACTCCAGAATAGAGCAAATGCATGTGATGTAAAATAGAAGTAGCTCTCTTGTAGCAACACTCGATTTCTTAAGCCGTGTTAGAAAATATAGTCTTGTTGAGACCTTCCTTATTACTAGTTCAGACACAAGGACATTCCACTTTAATTCACTGTTAATATGAAGTCCTAACAATTTCATACTGTCCGCAGTCTCTAGGGTCTAACCGCTTACACAGATAGGGTCAAATTCTGGTTCTTTCCTTGCGAAACTAATCCTGAACTTTTTGCATTTCCTTTCGTTTAACTGAAATACCACTGGCTAAGTACAACTCTCACAGCCTTTATCTACAAGCTTAGAGATTGTGGTATCATCCACCCATTTCCACATATCTGCCTCTCCTCCTGCATTCAAATTGTTAATCATTATTAAGAAGAGCCATGCTATTCTCCTTTCACGTCTTTCAAAATTATTTGGCTTTAACGGCTCTGTGTTACAATGGTTCCACTCATATCCTTCTGATTGCACACAGTACGTCAACGTGAATGGGTCTTCTTCTGATCATCACTTTTCCCTCTGATCCCACTTTACGAGGTACATTTTTTGTAACAGCTTTTAAGAAATAATTAGTAAAAACGAAGAAAAGAACTTTTAGAGAATTCTAACTTCAAAAAATCTGACAATCCCAAGGATTTCTCGGAAACGGTAAACGAATTTAGACAAAAATCAGCCAACCAAATATCAGACAAACTTGTTGCAGATGAATGGCTCACCTGTTCTAGACGACTCTCCACACCCAATAACTCCTCAAAGAGTGGGTTTGAGAAGTTGGTTGACTTCATTGTATCCAGACTTGCCGAATTTGCAAAATTAAATGAACCAATCCTGGACGAACCAATTACGCTTGAAAAGATACATACACTGAAAAGGATCAACCGAGTTAAAAACTGACAAGGCAGCCAGAAATGATAGTATATCTAATGAGATAATCAAATCAAGCGTGCCTATCATTGGGCCTGTATTGAAAATTCTTTTTCATAAAGTTCTGAATTGAGGCATGTTTTCCCAGTTGTAGTCAGTAGGTTATACAGTGTATTTCACCCGTATTTTAAGTGGGTGATATAGGCGACCCTAATAACTATCACGGAATTACTGTACGTAGTTGTTTAGGTTAATTCTTTACCCTAATTATTAACCACCATCTTACAAAACATCTTGAC